TTGGGAATTTTAAAATTTGTTTCTAAAACCACAAAATCCATTTAATATTCGACAATTTCAATTTCAAATTCTTTCCACCTAAAAAAAAAAATCAATTTTCAGATTCGTTTAACTAATTGCAAGATGAAAAAATGAGATTTTTAGAAACAAAAAATTAAAAAGTTCATTTTAGGAATTTGAACAAAATTCTAACTTCGAGTTTTGACAAAAAATTAGGTTTGAGAAATAATTAATTAAAAAATAATTGTGTAAAATACTGTGATTAAAGGCAAGAAATTAAATTTCATTAATAAACAAGTTGACTAGTAAGTTGAACGAAAGTTTTTTCAGTAATATTAACAATTATAAATCAATTTCAAAATTAAAAACGAATACTGTTCCATCTTTTTTTTGTTAAAAAAAGTTTTTCCTAATAAATAAAAAAAATGGGAATTTTTATCCTCTACAATTGCGCTTATATTTATTAGTTGATTTAAAAATTTGATTACAGTACCTGTAATATCATTTGTAAACACCGTACTTTTGGTGTATTTTTCTTCCTGAAATTCAATTCTTTTTCTTTCACAACCTCCCTCTCTCTCTCTCTCTTCCATTGGTTTACTTTAATATAATTAACCTTACTGAACAGAGTTCATCAGTGACATTCACTACTGCCACTACCGCCATTTATTATCACAATTACTACTACTACTACTACTACTACTATTAGTAATAATAATAATAATAGCTATCAAATGTTTATACTTTTGCTAATACTTTTAGTAAATAAAACATTCATTGTTCAGAAGTGACCATCCAATCTCTTTGTAAATAATTCTTCTTTTATTTGATTTTATTCAATTTTATTTTCCTTTTTTGTTGGAGTTTTTTCTGTTAGCATTTTTTAAATTCAATTAATTCAAGTTGAAATTAACCAAATAAAACTAATGAGGAAAAAAGTAATTAACTAAGATGCTAAGTAATATTTAGGAAAAAAAGATTAGAATATAAATATGAATTACTAATGATATATGATATTATTTATTGATGTCTATAATTTAACACAGCTACGAACACGTATGAGACGTAGAAAAACGTCAGAGATGTAAATTGTTAGTGATGAAAAGGTATAAACGACAATAGAAAGCAATGATATCATAATTGGATACAATGTGGCGTTCGAGAAAAATGAATGTAAATAATTTATTAAAAAATTTTAAGTTTATTCGTTAGATTAAAACAAAAATAAAACTTCATTTTTTGTTAAGCTAAACTAAAATTTCATTTCAAATAAAAATAGTCAAAGTTTGTTCTGCAACAAATTTGCAATTATTTGATAATTTGCCAAACACAACTTTAATTTTTGAATTATTTCTCCATTTTTTTTTTTTTTTATTTTATATTATAAATCACAATAATATCGCAATAATTTAATCAATGTTTAAATATTATATTAATTTAATTGTTATTTTCAATCAAATTCTAACTTAGACACTGATAATCACATTAGTTTTAAATTTCACTTTCTGTCATTTTCAATAATTTAAACTAAATTTTAGCAACATTTGAACTTCAACCTATTCTTTTTGATAATTTTTAATCCAATAGCGAAATTTGGTATAACTATTAATAAATGTATTGAACGATGAATATGCATGTGTGTATAGCTAATATCTATCCATCAATCTCATCAATCCACTTCACAGTTGTAAATACAAGAAAAGGTAAGACAGGTAACTGGAGAACAGGTAAGAACTAACAAGGTGGAAGAATTGTTTGTTATAAGCTAATATTGATTGAGAGTGCGAATAGCTCCTATATTTAAGAGGTATTAGCACTTGTTTATATACTCAAACATACAAACATATGGCTGTACAGACACGGACAGACACACACACACACACACACACACACACACACACACATACATAAATATGTCTTTTCGTTTTTTTATTCTTTCTTTCAAAATTATCACATCTATAAATTATATTTAGTACTTAAATGTTTGAGTGCTTAAATTATTGGTAAATACAAATGAAAAGCATACAGTAAAATAAATACAAATTGGAAATTCTTATGAAATTGAGGAGAAACTATTTAATTATTAATTATTTTTCAGAGAATATTTTTCAATTTACTTTATGAAAAAAAAAAAAAAAAAAAAAAGTGATAAGAATAAGAAATATTTATTTCAGGAATAGATGTTAAAATATCAAAATAAAAAAATTACTACACTTAAACAGAAATCATAAATATTGATTTATGATTTTTTGTTTTTGTTCATCGATTAACATTCCGGAAAGGCAGCCGAATTGACTGGATTATTACGTGCGAGACCATAAATTGTGGGTTTCCATTCTTCCGGAAAACTTTCATTGCAAAATTCTTCCAAACAATTAATAATGCTTTGTATTTCATACTGTTTGCACCATTTCAATGTCTAAAATACGAAATAATTTAGCTGAAAATGAAATCAAATAATTCGACGACATTAAACGAATTTTTATCATTGATAAAAACTTTGTGTAAACGAATTTGAGACGAATATTTTAAGGTTTGAATAGCAGTGATTTGCATATTTAAATTGTAATCAAATCGAATTCCACAAATCTGTTAGCCTTATTGTTTCTTAGTAAGAAATTAAAATTATGTAATAAATGTTATCAAATTAATGAAATAAAGCATAACTGTCAATAATAACTGACTCAAAAGATTTGGAATAATTATCAGAAATACGAGAAAATTATGATTAATCTTAATTAATTGATTAATTTTAAGAAAGTTATCGAATATTGAAGACATTCTAAACTAATAAAAGGAAAACAGAATGAGAAGAGGCCCGGATTATTTGATCATTCTGAATAGCTTTTTTATAAATTCAATCATTTGTTACATATATCAAATTTGACAATATTTCCAGTTTTTGTTTGGGACTGATTCTGATTCTCAATAACTACTGAAAACGATTCTCACTCAATATTTCCGAGAACAATTCTTATCCGTTCCAGAAACGATTCTTCAATCAAAAATAACAGCAACGCTAATATGCTGATTAGATGATCAACACGATGGCTTATTATGACATGTAAAAATAAATTCAGAGAATCAATTTAACGATTTCAGGAAAGGTCATAGTACTGGTCATGTACAATGTGTTCATTCGACAGCTTTGACAGCATAAATAATAAAATAAATTTTAATGTTTAAGTTTTGAACAACAGAAACTAGTAAAATTTTTAATTAGTCATGGTTTTAGATCATTTTTACAATTAAAATTAATTTTGTTTCAAATTTAAATATTGATTTTTATAAGAATCCTACAATTTGTAAGACTTTTAATGTATTAAATTAGGAAATAAATTCTGTTATAACCAAATTTCATTTTAATTAAGTGTTAAAACTATTAAAAAATATCAATTCATTAAAAAAAATAGATATTTTCAACTTAATTGTTTATTTTATATGCATTTCTTGGGTACTGGTCATGTATGATTTGTCATTTGACAGCATAAATAATAAAAGAAACTTTAAAAAGTAGCGAAATTAATAAAATTTTTAATTAGTTATAGTTTTAAGTCATTATTACAAATGCAATTATTTTTTATTTCAAATTTAAATATTGATTTTTATCAAAATTCTCCATTTTAATAAGAGTTTTTGAACTAGGAAATACCAAACTAGGAAAGAAATTCTATTATTATCAAATTTTATTTTAATTAAGTGTAAAAACTATTAAAAATAGATAATTAGAATGAATTTAAAATGTACATTTTTGGATTGAATTTTGAAATTATCATTACTGATTAATCTGATGAAATTTTGAACAAAAAAAGCTCCCTAAACTGAAGGATTATAATTATTAAGTTATTTACATTTTCATAATATTTAATCAGTCTATATTATAATTCTTATGTCTTTAAACATTTATAAATATTAGTGTTGAAATTTTTATAAATTAATAACAGATGCATTATTTCAGTGAATATTTCTTCTTGTGAGTGTTTTCGATTATATTCTTTTTTAGTTTGTCAGATTTACCAATTTAAAATGGTCGCAAAAAGTATTTATCAAAGGACAAAAACATAAAACAAATAACAAAATAAAGCCGAAAAAAATGAAAAAATAAAAAATTAGTAAAAAATAACAAAACAAAAAAGATTGATGTGGCATATATGATATTCTAATATCATTGATTAATAAGTATTTAATAATCATACTGACAATACTTGCTAATAATATCCCTTCAAAAAGCAAAAATATAAAATAAATACAACAATCATATCATGTCATATTATGCAATCATTTTTTGAGAAATAAAATACAAAAGTGAACTAACAACAAATAAATTTACTGTAAATTCATTTAAAAGAATTAGCGATATAAAAGTTATTTAATGAACAAAATGAACATAAAACTAAAACGAATCAAATTAATTAAAAAAATTAGAATAATTAAAAGTAATCATTTTGTGCTGTATTATATTTATATTAATGGAATGCGAAAAAGTATGAATAATTGTTTTAATTGGTAGTTCAAATATAATATCAACAATAATGATTCATCAAACTGTTTTCAGATAAGAAGAAACTAAGATCAGGTTTAAAGTACATAATATTAACATCTCAACTATTGTTTACTTTTCTGATAGTCGATAAATATTTCAGCATTTTCTTCTTTTTTAAATAATTTCATTGCATTTTATCAGGATGAAAAATTTTTTAAGAGAACAAAAATTCTTCTACATATGCATTGATATGTAAGGCCATTTACAATCATTTTAAAATATTTCAAATTTTATTAATTACATAAAGTTTCAAATTTGTCAAGAAATATTCTCATTCGTCGATAATTTCAAAAAAAAATATTACTCATTGCAGTTTTCTAGGAAAATAATTCTTTTGCATATATTGAAGGAAAGTTGATAGTATCCTATGAAAGCTACTGACTAAAATTCATTGAATCTTTGATGTTCCAATAGAAAATTTTAAAGTATCATTTTGCAGATACAACTTACTTCAACAATGCTTTCAGCACTTATTGTTGTTCTAATTTGCATTAATTTTGTTTTCGGAGATGAAAAAGTGATGGAGAAAGAGCAATTTTCTGTGGAAGAAGCAACAACACTCGAAGAAGAAAGTATTAGTGAAAAAGGTATTGGTAAGATTTTTTCAAAATTAATTTTATTCATTTATTAGTTTAATCGGACTGTGATATTTATTTCTCATTTATTTATGTTTTTTGCAATATATATATGATCTTATAAATTTTTTAGACTTTGTGGGAAAAGGTTTTTCTGTGGAAGAAACCATTCTCGAAGAAAAAAGCAGTTCCGAAGAAGATTTCAGTAAAAATTTTACCAACAGTTTAAACTGTACGGAAATTAAGTTGACAAATAATTCTACATCTCTAGATGCAATATCTTGCATTTAATATTGCTTTAAGCTGGGCGTAAAATGATTATCTTATGAATACCAATCTAATTAACTGGTAATTTCTCAGTTTCTGTTCATTTTAATGCAAAACTTTGTATGAAATAAACATAAATTTTCTTTCAAAAACATCGAAATGCTAAATGAAATAAGCCTTGCACAAAGACTTATCTAAATGATATTACTTTTACTTAAGTACTGCCATTTCTTTATCTCTTTTAACTAAAATTAAAAATTTCAGAAAATCAATTTGAACAAAATACTTCTCTAAAAATACTAAAATAAATATAAAAAATATAAAACAAAGTCTTTAACAATCATACATTCAGAAAATCTATTTGAAGCGTTGAAATATCATTTATCCTAATTGTCAAATGCCACAGTTTAACAAACCATTATCCTGTCTTGCTAGCAAAATATAGGAGATAAATTTATCAGTGTTTCAGTTTTTTAATATCAGTTAGCTAAAAAATGCACTTAACAATTTAAGAGATAATTTTGCAAAAATTAGTTTAAATAAAATTTAGAATGAAATTCTAAAATGACATTTCTCAAGAATAGACTGTAATTAACTGCTTAAGCTTCAATGATAGCATTCCATGCGCAGAATTTGATATTTTTTCATTATACTCTAATTAATAACGATTTGCAGAAATCTAATCTGTCATTAGCTGAAATAATTAAAAGTTAAAAGAACTGAACGATAAGTAGTAATTGAAGTTGAAAAATGATTGAAATTTAAGCATAGGAAGTAAAAAAAATTCTATGCTAAATTTATTATACATTTGGATACAATGATAAAAAAATCTTTTGAGTTAAATTTGGTATTGTCGCACAAACTGTTTGTAATGTTTATGGAACTTTTCTACTTTCAAAGTTTCATTTCAAATATTCAGAAACAGAAATATCTATTCATTATATCAATAAACTATATTGCAGTTTTTAGAAAGAAAATATTTTTTAAAGTTATTTTTGATATTTTTTATCATTTAAAATTTCTAGCTTTTTTCAATAAAAATGATCAAAATATAAAAAGTTAAACTTTGGTTGCTGCTAATCTGCATAAATTTTCTGATAAAAATGATAATTTGAAACTGCAATCTCCCACATAGTCTAGAAATAATCCAATAAATGCTAAGTTAAAATATATCACAAATAGTTCAGAAAAGTTGAGAGTATATTTTCAGTGTTTATTAAGCAATGAAATCCAAATTAAGAATTATTATATGAAATATAAGAGTAAATTACGAATATGTTCGTATCAAAGCAAAAATATTAGTATTACATTTAGTTTATTTTTCATTGTTTTTTTTTTTTTTTCTGTTTTGTTTTTTCTATTCATTTCTCATTCTTTTATTTTTGTTTGATATTTTTATTTTTTATGTTTTGCATTTTTACTTCAATCGATTAAAAAAAAGAAAAAATTAGCTGCTTATTGTCATTACTATTTGTTATTGTTTTATGCCTGCATTGAGCAGCCTGAAATAGTGAAGATTAATATAAACAAGAACTTAGTATCAATTTATTAAAATCATTTTCCTTGACAAATCTTTTATAATTGGATATTCATAATCAGGTTACTGTAGTCTACTGTAGTTTTGCAGTAACCATATCAATTTAAAGCATTGAAATTGATCAGTATAAAAGTAACATTGTCATTTCAAGATGATAGTTAATTTGATAGTAAACAATGACTCATCAATTAAACTTATTGTAATTAACGGAGTAAATGAAAGGTTCTTATTGCCAAAGAATTAAAAAATGATATTAGAAAAAAACTTCATGATAATGTGATAGCAATAAACATAATTATAATATTATGATTAGTAAAATAATAATAACAATAATAATAGTAGTAATGATAATACTAACAATAGTAATAATAATAATAATTGTTGTTTTTGTTGTTGTATGATAGACAGAGTGACAATAATAAATGAAATTATCATAAATAATAAAATTTTTGGTTATTTATGAAGATTGAAAAGAGATTTACTACATTCAAATTTTCAAAAATTGATGTCAGATTTTAGGCTCAATCAACTGCTGATTAAAGATAACACATATTTATTTGTTTGTGGTCACCTTACATTTGAAACAGAAAATTTAGTTCTTATTTATATTTGAATTTATTTCAGCTAAACAAAGAAATATGAAATATTTATGATACTTATGGTGAAAGTAAAATTAACGATACTGATAGTAACTTGATTATAAATTATTATTGATTACTTAACTTATGTTTTCTTATTTAGTAATACTGACCAGAAAAATAATTTTAACAAAGAAATTAGTAATTTAAATCCGAATTCGAATTTTAGATCGGCATTTGTACTTTTTCAAATTATGCAAACTTATTTTGAATAGAAATAATCAACTCAGTCAATTGCTACCAATTTAATTTTCATTGTATTTCATCATGGATTTGATATTAATCATTCCTTCCAATCATTTTTAAAAGATAATTGGAAAATGTTGTGACATGGAGTAAAAGAAGGAAAATGATAAAGATTTAATCTAATTTATTGAGTATTTCATTTGCATTTACAAATTTTTGCAGAAATATTGAAAACGTTTACTTTTATTTTGAAGGCGATATTATTGAAATATAATATATATTAAAAATATATTAAATATATATTAAAAATAAAAATGTAATGATTTTAATAAGTTTAATAAATTAATAAGTATTCTTCACTACAAATAAGTGAGATATATCTGTTATAAATGATTTTTGAAAATTTAAAAATTCTCTTATTCCTGCTAAAACTCCTATATTTACAAATGATACTTATATTCTTTGTATACATCATATACTAATGATCTTTGATCAACAAATCCTTAATAATTTCTTTGTTTTCTTTCTCGTCATATTTGATCTGTTAGCATATCAATCTATATTATAGAGCGGTTCATGATCAAAATTACAATTGTAAATGATAACTGATACATAATGTTCGATGGTAATCAATTATTATTATTATTATTATTATTATTATTATTATTATTATTATTTAGGAAATCTAAATTTTAGTCAGTGTTAAATTTACAATTGAGCATTTTTAAAATTGACTTTAGAAACTATTTAATGAAAGTGCAGTTTTTTTCTCCTTTTTATCTTACCTTACAAATTAAATTTTTTTTTCATTTAAACTTATTTAACTAATATTTCCCCAAACGTTTCATTTATTCAATTTCACCAATTTCAATTATTTCAGATAAGGAATGCCTTCCATAGTTCAATGTGTCATATGCACAATGCCTATTTTCTCGTTTAATCTTTCAGTGCTACAATGTGGTCATACATTTCATTCTCGGTGCATTATGACATGGAAAAAAAAGTATGCTTATGAAAATTATGCAACATTTATCAATGATTTCTTTATGATAAATCAAATATATTAAAATCATTTGAATCAGAAATAATAATTGTCGGATCATTTGGCTTAAAAAATGGTATCATCAAGTTTTGGTAGCTGAATTAGAGATAAAATATTTGTCGGATTATTTGAGTCAGATATGATATCTGTAGATTTATTATAATCTAAGTGATTCAATCGTTTTTCTTTTTTTTGTTCTTGGTATCTACCGGATCATTTGAATTAAAATTGATATCCATTGGTCATTTGGAAAAGAAATTAAGTTAAATTAAATTATGCTAACATATTATTTAAATTTATTTACAAAGAAAAAAAAATGAAACATAATTTTTATGTTGATGAAAAAAACGAGAGAGAGAGAGGGAGAGAGAGAGAGAGAGAGAGGAAAAAAAAAAGCTTTTTAAACTTTAGCGCTATGTGACTCGCTGTCCAATTTGTCGCGGAAGATTTATGAGGAATGGTGCAACTAAGCCATCATTTATTCGTGAAGGAACGAATCAGTTATCTACAAATAGTCGATATCCAATTGCGCTACATAATATTGTTAGTTTGACTTAATTGCATTTTAATTTAAAAAGAAAAAGGAAAAAAAATATTAGTAAAAGGAAAATAAATTAAAAAAAATATATAATCTTACTTGCTGGTTAGAAATAATAAGTACAAAGATAAGATAACAAACTGTTAATTTGTATCATTCAAAATGAATTCTGATTTCATGCTTCATCCTCAGTGTTACATTTCGAATAGGACATACTCCGATTGAATTTATAAATTCGAAAAAAAGTTATTAAATGATTGTAATTTATGCATTAGGTTAATTTACTATAAAAAGCAGTAATCATGTGAAATATTCCCGAGAATTCTCTCAAATTTATTATGCATAATATTTTTGGATAATTATTTTCTATAAATCTTGACGCCAATTCTAAGTTCTATTTTTTTTTTTTTTTTTCATTATTAAAGGAATTGATTTCATAGATTATTTCTAATATGTTACTTACAACTTTTTTGTTTTAGCTCGAAAGGCGCATGAAAAAAACTTTAAATCAGAAAGAAATGCATGCTGAATATTTTTCCGAAGGAATTAGACTGGTATGTCGTGACTGACTGACTGACTGACTGACTGACTGACCGACTGACTGACTGACTGACTGATTGATTGATTGATTGATTGATTGATTGATTGATTGATTGATTGATTGATTGATTGATTGATTGATTGATTGAATGTGTTACTGCTGAGTTTTTTTCGTTTTATATTTAAATATAATTTTGATTAAAACAATAGAAATATTGTTGACTTTTGTAAGCATCAGACAATTAATGTCTTTCTTATGCAAATTCAATTTCTCTCAAAATAAATGACTAATCTATTTAATGGATAATTTATTTGATTCTGTTAGTACGAAAAAGATCATTTGCAATATTTATTTTTTACTAAAAAAATTATTTATATTTATTTATAATAGTAAATTATTTTGAGTATAGACTAAAGCTCGATGTCTTAGATTCATTGCTATCATATCACACAGCATTTGATATCATTATCAATGATTACAAAATCACTGTGTGATAATCATTCCCTTATTTGTCACACTAATTGTGATGTACACTGTATCAGAATCATCCATCTTGCATTCAATTTTAATTTATTTATTTGATACAATTCAATAAAATGCAGTTAGCATAATATCATTAAATAGACAGTATGTATACATATTTTAAATCGTACTATTTTCATACCTATGAATGAATACCTGTGCTACTAACTTTTTCAGTGCTTTCTTCTTCAAAAATTTTATGAATTCGAATTAAACTTTGCCAAATGGAAAAAATCATCATTATGTCCTAGCTGTTTGGAATATTTTTGTTTGAATGATATTTGTATATCACAATGTAGTCGTTCAATTCATATTCCTTGCTTTGAAAAATGGAAAGAAGTAAGTTATCAGTGATATTTTTTCTAAAAAAAGTAATCATCCATCACTTTAATTTTATCAATAATTTTTGTGCTGAGAGAAAAAAGGAAATTCACGCCATATTTACATGAAAATGAAACAATGAGTTCTTTTAACCTTAATATTTCGTACCTATCATAATTTTTACTTCTATAAGATAAAGTAATGATTTTCTATCTATTATGAGTAATTATTATTAATTTAATGCATCCAAATATATTTTTTAATTAAACTCTTATCATCGTTTCTTTTTTTTTCAAATCTCTTGCAGTTGTACAGCAAAAGTTTATCGAAATTTGTTAAAAGTTAATAAATATTAATTGACAGGTGTAACTATTGCATAATGAATTTATGCCATCTTTCAGGTGAACAAACTATGTCAGATATGTAATAAAAAAAGGAAATTGGAAACTGTGTATAAGGATTTGTTAGTGATATTAGATGAAAAAAACTTTCCATTTTACCAAAACGATTCAAATGAGCAGGTAATTCAGGTTTATTAGTTTGAAATTCATACCAATCCATTAGCTATAAAATGAAATGGAATATAATCATTTATCAGCTTTTATAGCATTTCTCTTAAATGTACCTTTTTTTTCTTCGAAAATTATAGTTTCTCAGAAATATTTTCTCTTTACTAATTTTTGTTTTATTTACTAATTTTTGTTTTATTAATTGGAATAAGTAATAGCATTTACGGAAAGCTTAAGAAAAAAGTATGTGAAGTTGATAAAATTATGGAATAATTAAAGTATTACTTTGTTTCATGATGAAAAAGTAATGAAAGATTATCTAATTAAAGACTTCCCGTAAATATTAATATTTGCTTTCACAGCATTTATCATTTTCTTTTAAGTTTATATTACATATTTCAAAATTTTACTCTACTTATCATGAAATTATCATAATTTCTGGTTTTATAAATGAAATCATAATTTTATATAAATTTCTTTTTTGTACACTTTTTCTTAGAAAAGTCATATGAATTAAAAAAAGCTTGAAGTAATCTCAATTCCAATTATTTGTGATTTTAAACTATCAGTTCTGCTCACAGCACCTCCATCAGTTTTGATATTAAACTTATTTTATACATATATAATTAATAATATTTTCATGAAATTCTCATTCTGATTAGGTCGTAGCCTCAGATTTCCTGAATTATCTTTCCGGAAAAGTTACATAAACATATTTTATGGTTCACATTAATATTTATTTTATTTTAGTCCTATTTTACCCCAATAATATGCTAATTCTATCTTTTCTTGTATTCATCTCTCTGCTCATTTGGTATTCTTTGCAAATGTATTCAATCAAACTTTTACTACGTTTATTAAATTTAGTCAGAAATAAAGTTAAACTAAAATTCAACCATTACTTTTAGGAAGTAAAAAAATTTATTTCTAGCTTGAGGATGAATCTGACAAACTCAAACAACAGAATGCCATCTTACATCTTAGAATGGCAGAAGCTGCTTTAATGTTAGAAAAGGCAATGAAACTAAAGGACGATCAACAAATTAGAAGAATGAGTCAATAAGCTACGTGAAATTATTGTGACTTAATTTGTTTTCATTTGAATTGAAATTGAAAAAACATTTCCAATCAAATTATTTCCTTCATATTTCCTTCGACATTTTATATCTCTGTTTGCAATAAAATAAATTATTAATTGAAAGAAAAAGAGAAACATTCTCGTCCCGCATAAAAATGCTATCGAAATTTAAAATTTTATAAATCTTCAACCATTGCAACTTTTTGCTTTTACTTGTTGTTTACATTGAAGGGAAAGAAATAATTTTTCTCATTGTTGATCATTTGTTTTTTTTTTTTTTTTTCTTGAGAAAATGTATAAATATAATGCTTATTTCATTGAAAATAATTGAAAAAAAGGTGATCAGACTTGGTAAATTTTTTAAGTTTGTTTTTAGAAATTAAACCTTAAAAAAATGATTAAAGCTAAGCAGAACAGGTTTCCATTCTTCGCTATTTTTTTGCATAAACTGTTTGAAATTTATGGAAATACCAAAATATTTAAATGATTGATATCTTTAATTTTAAATGCATTATACTCGTTTACTTTTACGTTGTCAATTTATCATTGACAGATAAAAATTTTGATAAGATGAATGATATTGAAGAATTTGACAATCCTAGCAAAGAATCTCTTTTCAACAATGGAAATGATAATAAATATCGGCGGATGCGCAAAAAGACAAACACAGAAAACTGCTATTTCTAGGAAACAATACTGAAATACTGTAAATCACCAAAAAATGGTAACTTATTGAGTAATTTCGAAATTATTCCCTCATAAAAATATCACATTTAAGGCAGTACAATCACATCAAAAAAAAAAAAAAAAAATACAGGAATATCTGAAACAACAACATAGGAGGGAAAATCAGAAAGAATTGGTTTTTTTAACTCAATAAGCAATGAATCAGTTAGATTGCTAATCGCACATAGTTTTTCAAACAAAATCCAAAACCATTCTATTTTTTTCCTGACATTTCTGTATCTTACAGTACTGAAAGACTAATTAATTGGAGATCAGATATAAAATGATAGTGAGTTAGATCAGTTTGCGAAGTATACAATTCTATGTGCAGAAAAAAACATCCTAAAAAATGGAACCCATACAAGGAACTACCACATGACCTTTCAACCTTACCTCCTTTAATCACTGAAGTTATAAAAATGCTAAACCGAAACAACAAGATATAATATCAATATGTCAAAAATAATGAAACAATATCATAATATCAATATGTCAAAAACAATCAAGTAATACCAACATAGTGGAGCAGCGAAAATCAAATAAAGGATTGGGAAATAAAGAGCAGAAACAAATAAAATCATACAATTAACGAAAAGAAAATAAAAAGCATTTAACTCAGAACATGAAAGTCAGATTTAATGGACAGTTCGCAGGCACAAGCAAAATATGTTGATTTGCCCATTAATTTGTTTAACAATTTAAAATTTAATCAAAGGCACCTAATTAAGAAAAAATTACACATCGGAAAAGTTCCATGACCATAACAATCGTAAATCAGCAATTCGTTGCTCAAATGTCACTGAAGTGTCACGACATGCAGCCAGGTACCGATTCGATTTTGTCCAAAATTTACCATACAATTGGTAAATGAGCTTATCGCAAAATACCTGTAAAAAACTTAGTTTGTTTCAATTATATTAACCTGTTACTTGACTCATTTTCCACTAACGGCAAGTTTCTTGAACTTGTTACTGTGACAGGAGAAATGGATGTGTTTTAACGTGAAAAACAATATACTAAAATATGAAAAAAGCAAACATTTAAAATAATTCACACCAGAAAAATTCACATTTATCTGAAATTTTATTAATTGATAACTGAAGACCATTTTTTTTTTTTTTTTTCAAATGAAAAATATTAATGTGTGGATGGGAATTGTCCTAAGAATAAAAACAATAAAAATAATGAACAGCTTTATCTTGTCCTACAGTCTTATTTCCCACCTCCTTATTCCAAACTATCATTTTCTCCTAGTAAAACCAGATTATTTCAAAGCCCATAATGATTTGCTCCTTTTATTCGGGAAAAATTACAACATAAATGTCATAGCAACAATTCAATTATTCTTACAAAAATTTGCTTCCTTTATTTTTTCCTTTCTTACATTAAAAATACGCTATCATATTCTGAATAAAGATTTGAAGGGGTCGATTACCAGCATTTAAACAAACTGAAGCTTCAATCATAAATTCTCATAAATCAGTTAGAAAGAAATTAAAAGGAAATTTAGTGACAACTGTAATTATTTCCCGTGGCGACAACACTGCTAAAAAAATTATGGGTATATCAAATTCTGTTTAAATGACCGATTAAAAAAGATAAATTAGTTGCAATCTCGCAGCTAATTAAAAAAAGTAGTCAACAACTTGATCATAGATTTACGTCATAAAAGGATTATTTTTATCAAATTTGTTGGAAATCAATATGCTTTTGCAACTTCTCGCACTGATCTTTTTAATACTTAAATGATAAAGGCTATGTGTATAATTTCACCAAATGAAGTTAAATTTGAAAATATACCTTTGCCTCGTCACAGCAATATATGGCTTCATTTGTCCAGTTTTTTTTTTTGATTCAAAAGAAAAAAAAAAAAAAAAGAATAAACGCAGGAAAAACGAATACATGGAGCAGGATTAGCGTATAAAAACATACTTCTAAATTACTATTTGTTCGATCAGTACAGAATCCCGTCTCATTATTGCATTTAGCATAGCAATCGAAATAATGACAATCCTCATCTTGTTTGCATATTCGACTAGTCAATATGGCTTTCAAACGCGATTTAGTATACAACATATCCGCGTCCATTACCATGAATCTGTGAATTTCTTTATATATGAAATAGAAGTGACATACTCGATTTCGACTTTCAAAACCTACTTTTCATCTATGTTTGAAATGAATACGAGTAAAATCCCTCTGTTTATCGTTTTTAACTAAATCAAACCCCTTTCAAAGAACAAAGGATTCAGAAATACTCAAAAATTACTCAGAAAAAAAAAAATACTCAAAAAATAAAGAGAGATTTTCCTTTTTTTTTTTTTTTTTTTTTTTTTGAGAAAGATGTAATGTTGCAAATAATACGAGAGGCATGAAATTCCATAGAAAATTGACGGGAATTGAAAAATTTTAGGAACTGGACTGACCTTTTCGGATAATCAGCAGCAAGTCCAAGATTATCAAATTTTATATCACACCACTCTAATGGTTCGTTCAAAAATTCATCGAACAATTTCAGTGTTCCCATCAAATGAAGCAATATTTTAGCTTTTAAATTCATATAATAACCTTTCATATGGAATGGAACCAATGTTTCCACCTGGTAAAAATGTCCACATGTACCAATAATCTGAAATATGAGTGTTCAATAAACCAGCACAAGAATTTATGGTTTCTTTCCATGTTTAACTAATTGAGTTCTTGAAAAACAAATTTTAAATATTTCTCCTAATTCCATTACTGTTCTGAAAATAAACTCCTCTGACAAAAAAATTAAAGAATATATGAAACGAATTTATTTTACCTTCGGTGTAACACGCGTAAGAGGTAAAACTCGAAAAGTAATATATTCATCCTGGGAAAGAAGTGCCCACAAACTTCGACGATCGGCTTCAGACAACGAATCACGTCCCTTACGAACATACATTGGCCAGAGAATTTCAATCAGATGATGTTTGTAGTGTGAAGGCCAACCCAACCTTAGATTATAATTAACTATACCGAGGACCTACAAGTAAAGAGTGGTACAAAATAAATGCACAATAAAAACAGAAAAAAAGACATGCATATAATTTAAATGAAAATATTTTAAAATAATTTCAGCACATACTACATAAGTTTACGACTATCAGCATTTTTCGATAGATATATCTATCCTGACTATACATATGTCTTCTATTATTAATATTACTATTATTTGCAAATCGCATCTGTCTTTTTTTCTTTTTGAAAATGTTCGGTTCACTCATTATTCCTCATAATATTGTAAAAAAAACCATATAATAACGTCATCGGTTATTAAAATATCGATTCATTCTTTTCCAATTGTCGTTTTTTGGATCTTTTAGAAGATTATTATAAGAAACTTTCTTTTATGGTACAGAACAATAAAAAAATTTAAGTTGTCCAGAACTTTGGAGTCAACTTAAAAAAAAAAAAGAAAAAATTCAAAAATTTACAGCATCAAAAAACAAGCTCTCGTTAATTCGTGGATCCAAATGTTCAAATTCATCAATATATAAATGTTGACTTTTGAGTATAACCTCTTGTCCACCATCCTTGATCGTGATAACAATTTTGTTTCCCTCATAAATATCCAAAATACTCCACTTTTTATGATAACATAAGCGGTTACACAAATCACCACTCACTTTTTGTTCCACATAAGCTTTACATAAATCTAGTAAAATTTTATGCGCCCTAAAATCAACAAAATTCTCCAATGTCCCATAATATTCAATCGTATTGAAATCACTACTGCTTAGCGGTTGAAAACATCTGCATATGTTGTTAATAGCTTAGAAAGGAATCACTGCTGACGATAGTTCTACTTTAAAGTGATCATAAATTTATTTTAGATTTTACAGATGCAATGAAAAAGTTAGACATAAAAGTTAATGATTTCACTAACCGTGAATGATTACTCGGAGTTACTACTGATGCCACATCTGAATGCATGACTGCACTGCTGTTCCAGTCTGTAATATTTGAAAAATTGCCAGCTATAAACAAAAATTGATATTTCAAACTATAAGTTTACATAGTCTAAAATGGAATAAAAAGCAAAAAGCAAAAAGAAAAAAAAGAAAAGAAAAAGCAATTAAAAAGTCAGGTATTGAAACCAAATTACTTGAATTTTAAAAAAGATTTGATACAAACAAAAATATTCCTCAAAATTAATCATATTAAAAAGAAAATAAATAGCTTACTTGAATATATCAAATATAATGCTAATAATGAAAAGAGGAAAACCATAATGCGACCTGGTTTAGAACAGAAAAACAATCGAACAGTATAGGGTCCAAGATTACCAGAACTGAAATACAGATAAACTGCAAAATAGAGAAAAACCGAACAAAAAGGAATCATGCAAACCTAACCATTTTCTACTTTAGCAAAATTAAAAGAAAAAAAAAAGTAAAAGATGAAATTAAACAAAATAATACAGTAAAGAAGTTAGAAATTTTGCCAGAAAAATAACTGCATATGCAAGGAAAGAAAAAATGATGCCGTTGATATCACAGCATCGTATTTCTTTCATATGTTGAAAATCTTACCATCCGATGGATTAAACAGAAAAAATCTGACAACTAATAGTATATGCAATTTAGGTTAGAGAATAGAATGAATACATACTTAAAAGACAGCTAAGATCTCCAACAGTTCAAAAAATTCAATCATAGTCCAAAATCATTTTAAAAAATCGAAATCGATGAGCATTTGCTTAAATGAATATGAAAGAAGACCTGAATCAAACAAGCTAACTTTGGAATACGAAACTACAGTAATTCTGTATACTTAACAATTAACTCTTAATCAATAATAGAGGTTTTAGTAAAATAGACTGTTCAGCGGTGTTGATGACTATCGCAATTCAAAAATATCAAAGATCACAATAAAATGAATTCTTCGTGGTATCACTACAATTACTAAAAGAATATTTATTTTACATAGAGAAGTTAGTGATGTTGAGAAAAATAAAAGTATCGTCGAAAACAGATATATTACAGATTTATCGATAAAAACTGAAGCATGGAGATGACTTTTTCAATTACTAATAGAAAAAAGATTTGGTGAAAGAAGAAAAAGATAATGAATCTATAAAACAACACGAATAACTCTCCTGACAGCAAGGAAAATCAATGGAGTAGTTTTTTTCATAAATTAAGCTCAACATTTTCTTCAAAAAAATATCTAAATCCAGCAAAGTTTCAATCTGAAAAAAAATTTTTTTTTAAAATAAACTAAGTTTGTCGTTACTTGATTAAAATAAAATTTAACTACACCTAACCTTGTCCTAAGACAGCTGCAACAATCGAATAATTCATCATCGCTATCATCCTCTATCAATCCATTCCGCAAATATGACATGTTTGATAAAGGTTTCGGATATTCCACTATCGTTCTTGTCATTATACCACCCTTACTTTTCTCATTCATCCTCATACAAGTAACTCCATTACCATCCAGTCAACCAGCACACGTACGTGACCTTCTTTAACCTTCATATCAAATCAGAAAAAAAAAAAAAACCGCTTTGAATCTTTCGAGCGCATACACATCTGTTTATGTATTGCATATGTAAATGTGTCAGTCATGACATGTATACATACATATATATATGAATTGTCGATATACGTGAGCGTGAACATTTCAACGTAAGTATACCTGTGTTCTTACTTTTACATATAGAATGAATGCATAAAAAGCATCAGAACTGATTCCGATTTAAATTTTACGATAACAAAAAAAGTGAATCCAAACCATCCAAATCCCCCAAATAAATCCGAAAAGAACAAAAAACATATCGAATCCATCTCACATGCCTCTTGCTATTCCCTAACAAACGACTTCTTGTTTACTAAAAAAAAAAAAAAAAGACGGAAGTCCAACCAAACCATTCCGACAAATCCGGCATAACCAAGAAACTTTGTTAAGTTTTCTGCTATCCTCAAACTGTCGGTAGTCGCAGAGCTTTGTATCGTCGTCCAGCTAAGCAATCCTTCCTGTAGGATGTGCACTATTTTGCTTCTCTTTTAATCTCTTCCTCAACACTATACTTTGCATTTGTATCTCTAGCACTTAGCAAACTTTCTACGTTCTCACAACAATTCGTGAGTCTTTTCAACTCTCTATGTATATTATTGTGAAAATTCTGTCATTTCCTGCTTTCTCCTCTTTTCTTACAGTATTTTTTATCGTTAACTTTTTATTTTGTAATATTGTCAATATTTTCTTGATTTTTGCTGGGCAAGTGGTGACACACTTAGCAGCTGCTCCTTGTTTTGTAACATTCCGGATTTTGTGGTACTTCAAATCCGGAACACTGTTTATGTTGTGCTTTTAGCAGAGACTAAACGATTAAATGGCTAAAGATTTGAACGAAACAAGGCGAGAATTAGCTGATCTTGTGAAACGTCGTACCGAACTTGCAGTAAGTTTAAATTAAAATTACTTTCCCTATAATTCATCTTATGCCTTCTACATATATTCATTAATTTGTTTTAAGCTGTCCTGAGCTTTTACTTGACATCTTCTATATAAAGTATGATATGATAACTTGTTTTTATAGCTTTATAGGACGTTTGAAACAGTTCTTCAGCTTTATTTTCTGATTGAATTTTCTACAATGAAGCTTCCTCACTTATAACATGTTTTTTAAAGGAAACACTTAGTGCTCTTGAACAACAAATTTACAATTTTGAGGGTTCATACCTGGAAGAAACGGCCGACTATGGAAATGTCGTAAAAGGTTAGACATCAAGACAGAATCTTCTAGACTTTGTCTGTGTCATACACCTTGTTAGTTTGAGTGATCATGAAGTTGTTTGTTTGGATTATTGCAGTATATTTAGATGTCTAATCTTTATATACTGATTTTTAGCCTTATGTGCTGAACTTTTTATCGGTAATATTTCTGCAGTCATGAATTATACCGATTACTCCAACATTTTCGATTTGAATTTCTGCTCTACTTATTTCAATGGCTTTCAGATATTTAGAGAAGCTTAAATATGTTATGGTGTTTTATAGGTTGGGATCGATTAACACTCGTTGCACCACCATCAAAAAATAGCTTAAAATTAGATAAAAAAGGTGCAAGGAAAGGTATGCGTGAATCGGAGCGCTTATTTTCTAGTTCTTCGGTTACCTCACCAGCATCATTAAGTCGCAGTGCTATTCAGCAACCAATACACGAAGAGAGTCCAAACAATAGTCCAAGGCCTCTATCAGGTAGAGATGTTCCGTCAAAAAGAAGTGGTAGCAAGAAGAAGTCGCCAAAATGATTTAAAATCCATGTAGCAACTCCACTTCTTGTTTTCTTTTATAATTTTTGATAATGTTCAACTTCAAACCTCGATCTCTAATTTATAATCTTGGATATAAATTCAGTATTTAGCTTTTTCCAAGATGAAAATCAGGTTTTGTCTGCACAGTTTCATGGACTGCTAGGTTTTAAAATAAGCGATATTTCTAATTAATCGAAATTTCTGCATCATTATGCTATATGTGTTTCATAAATGCAAATGCGGTACCTTAAGAAGTTTATATTGCTGTTTTAAGATATTAACCCAGTTTGTTTTATATTTTTTTCAATCATGATTGGTTGGTGATTTTGGGATTTATTAAATTATATTTAAATTTTCTAAGATCAAAAATCGTTTTTTCACATGTCTTCCCTTTCTTTCATCATTTTAATTTTATGAATATGCAAGACTCTCCTTGTATTATTGTTTTTTTTTTTTTTTTTTTTGTATATTATTTGTATAGAATACTTTCTAATGTTTAGGACGATGCATGGAAATTACGAAAAAATAAGAATAAGCATATTTTTGCCTGCTCAGGGATTTTCTATCTTACCCTGGTAGCTGTTGATTTCATTACGATGTTATTACCCTGCTACTTTAATATTGTTTCTGTGAGTCCTCCCTTCAAAGTATCATTCAACTTATCACGATATCAAGTTCTCAGTAAAAGTAGTTTTTATTGTTTGAGATACGGGATTTGCACATGCTCCTGAACTTATCTATTTGTTCAAAAAAAAAAAAAAATCAATAAATTATGTATAAGAACAGTGAAAGTGTAATGTGAAGATGCACCAGCACATAAACGCTGTGAAATATTCCGAAAGAATTTAATAATTTTGAATGATGATGGAATGTGGAGAACGTATTGCAATAAGTGTTTAATAGATTTAAGCTTTATTTTTAATTTTGCTTAAATTAGTAAAGGACGGAAACAATTTAACTTTTTACAATATAAGCTGGATTTCAAGAAAATTTTTTGAATAAGGCATTACAGAGTAATTTCAGGTCCTTGTGGAATAGATCATCGCTATTTGATAATGGCCATTTAATCAACTAACAGTTACCGAGAGGAATATAGGTTGATAAACAAGGATGGACAATGAATTTTTGTATGTTCATAGCTGTGACCTCGAGGGGAATGTACAGTTACGAATTGGTTCTTTAGAAGGGAGTACATCACTTTTAGATAAATCCTATCGTGTTGTGGGTGGTAATTTCTTCATCACCGCTTCGGTTAGCTTTTTTAATATATATTTTCTATCTTTTTAAACGTTTGAGAATACCAAAATTTGTATATTAAAGTATCTCAGAACTTCGTGATGACTTCAGTACTTATAACTTTAATCTAGGTTTAGGTAATCTTCACCAGTAGTTCAATAATGAGAACCGTTATTGAATTTCAAAATTCGTTCTATCCATTGGCAGTTTTTTATAGGTTTATTGCAATAAACGACGAGTGGGTGTACCTGTTTCGACATCATACAAATCTCCACCAAGTCATGTTCGTACAACGCTTCATTCCTGGGATGAATGGATTTTGTTACCTATCAAAATAAGGTTTACTTGTTGCATGATTTTATTAAAAACTTGCACTTCATGTAGTAAATTAGTTTGGCTACTGCTAACAAGAATTTAAAGGATCTATAGTTTAAAATTTTTTTCAATGTTTCAAAATTCGAAAAAAAGAAATTTGTGATTTGATCCTTAGGCTTGGGAAGGATTACAATTGTTAACAAGATTTTAATTTCTTCGTTTAGAATATGTTTTCCGTACTGAAATGCTTGAGCATTGACTTTTTTAGCCTCCTTAGAGTATTAATTAAAAGTACTCAGAAATGCATATAGCTTTTCTTAATTGTGTTTCTTATTTTCAGTGAGCTAAGCCTTGATTCATTTATCCATGCATGCTTGTGGGATGTATCAGATAGCTTAGACGCACGATTTATAGCACATTCATCCGTTTCGCTGTTTAGCAAACGCGGAGTTCTTCGAACTGGTACTATTGCGCTAAAAATGGAAGTGGCTACAAAACCTGATGATTATTTGAGGCCACCTTTACCATCCAAGGTCCGAAATGTTGGACGGAATGATACAGTTTTGTAGTTTTTTTTCCCAGCTTTTTGAATATGTCATACTTACCAATGTTGAGACTAATAATCTATTCTTTTTTTTTATTATTATCATTGTGAGTTGCGTTTCCAGCTGGTAGAGTGTATTAAGGAAAATTATATACTATAGATTAAGTTATTTGTATTGTTATAGTTCACAAAACAAACAGGTGTCGATCGCTTACAAAAGCGAACAAAAGAATATGGTGAGAGACTGATCGAACATGTTGATTGGCTTGATCGGCTTACATTTCCACGTATTGAACAAATCAAGAAAGAAGTTAGTTGCTTCCGATATTTCTCATTGTACTAGTCATTGTGATAAAGTGTGAGATTCTTTGAAATGAGAAGAAACGTGAATTCATAACTTTGTAATGACAACTGAATAGAAATCAGTACTTAACTAATTGAAAAACTAAAGCACGTTATGGAAAAACAAAGCGCTATTACTTAAATGTTTGGCAGATGGAGATTAATCGTAGCACAGAACATGCGAACAAGACAGACAAATCTGAAAATAGAAAAACAAACATAATTTTATGTTTAAAGATATTTTCTTTAACGAACAAATGAATTACATTTCAGCGTGAAGTCGAACAGCGTTGCTTATATTTGATTGTTGAAATGGCGCGAGTTGTTTTCGGGGAATCTATAGTTTCTGTAGTTTATTATGAAGATGAAGAAGAGTTAAAAACACGGAGTGTTTATCCATTAGTCGATCCAGAGATGGATTTGGAAAATGTTTGTGAGCTCAAGCATCACATGATGACGCGTTCTTCACGTGCTGGTGCACTTGAACGTGAACTTAAACCAAATGCTTCTGCACGTCATTATTTGGAAAGGATAATCCAGGTGTATGATTCTTATTTTTTTACTAGTAAAATTAAATCCAGAAATTTATCGCCTTCGCTAATTTTTCAAGAAGTTTAACATTTCTTATTTTAGTATGGTAACCGGTAATTATAACAGGAAACTGCTATAATGCAATATTGTCAAGTTCACTGATAGCCTTTACATGTTGATTACGTGACAGGCCACTTTTTTCGTAGTTTTCATATGTATTTAACAAATACAGCAGTTATTGCTAAAAGTGTTTCTCTCTTTCAAAACGGTGTTATTTTTAGAAATTTTTTTTTTCAATTTTTGCTTTCATATTTTTGATATTTTTTTTTTTTTTTTTTGTTTTGGCATGTTTTGCAATCTTTTTGTTTTCTGTTGTTAATCATTATATCTATTTCAGTTGCCACCAGCACATGCTATAAACTTTGAAGAGCGTGATTTAATATGGAAATTTCGATATTTTCTTCGGAGTAATCGTAAAGCATTATTAAAATTTGTTCGCTCAGTGGCTTGGAATAAAAATGAAGAAGCAGCTTATGCTCTCATCCTTGTAAAGTAATTATTGTTCTGCTACTATATTTTAAAGTTATTTATGTATAATTTGTGAGTTAGAAATTGCTTGGTAGTATTTAGATAATAGCTTGTTATCTTTTCTCTGTCTAATCACTATCCACTCCCTTCCCCCCTCTCCTCCCCCCCCCCCCCCCCAAAAAAAAAGAAAAAAAAAACTTGAGAAACTACTGAAATTGAAAGTTTGCAACTCTGTTTTTTCTTTTTATTTATTTAAGAATTCGAACTGAAATATTAAATCTTCTTGTTTATCGGATCAAATTTTCCAGTGAATGGTCGCCGCTGGAGGCCAGTGACGCCTTGGAACTTCTTTCGCCAACATTTCGACACATCGAATTGCGCCGCTATGCAGTATCGCGTTTATCACATGCTAAGCCCGAGCAAATTCTATTATATTTGCCGCAACTCGTGCAGGCACTTAAATATGAGCAATTCGTAATGAAAGTTTTGGACGAATTCGAGGTATTTTTATCAATTTTTTATATTTTTTAATTTTCCATTTCGGTTGTAATGGTTAATGGTAATGTAACTAACAAGCGTTGAGCTTAGCATAAGTTGAAATAATATGCTCTTACCAATATTTCTTTGATATCCATATATGTCTACAAAAAAATTAGAAAATGTAGAAGTGTATTTGGTTTTATATTTGAAGACTTGAGGCAATTCTAGAAATCAGATAAAATAGCAATTCTTACATTTTTTGGTTTATTGTTTGATAAATAAAGTTATTACAAGATTTTCGATTTTTTGAGATAATCCTCTGATTATTAAAATCCCTGCACAGGTAAGAAAATGGAAAGAAAGAAAAAATATTTGATGATATTTGCTTGGGTTATGTAGACGTGAGCTGAAGTGCTTGAGTTACTTCACTATAGCTTTAATAATCAAGGTATTGCCGCAAAAATTTGAAATATTGGCAAAAATTCCAGAAATAACGTAATCATATATCATTCTGTTTTATTAAAAAAATTCGTTACAATAGATACTACAAGTTAATACAGGAACAAAAAGAAATCCGAAGGAAAATTGATGATGCCAAAGGAGGAAATAGTGAATTGACAATGGAAAATGGTCAGGAAACATATAGTCAGCAAACAGTTGAACAGGCTATGCAAAAATGCTTAACAGGCGATGATCTTACTTCATTCTTGATACGTTCTGCTTGCAGTAATCCGTCGATCACTTATTACCTCTATTGGTACCTCAAAGTTGAGGTAATTATAAAGTTTATTTCTAAAATTTTGCCTTTTTTCATGTGCATGATAACTTATTGTTTTAATTGTCTTGTTTGTTTTTACCTTAATATGACAGAGTATTCATTGTACAATATTTATAGATAGAGGCAACAGCGCAAGTCAATACGGTTATGTCACGCATGTATAGCTACGTTTTGTCACTGTTATTATCATCATTACGAAGTGGTGGTAGTGATCTGAGAAGGCGAGCTGCTTCGCTTGATCAGCAAGAGGTAAGGTTTTCAGTTGATAATTTTAATAGTTACGTGAAGGATATTCAATCTTTGTTTTTTCAAAAAGCAGTTATTTTCAGTAGATTCGGATGATATTATAAAGTTCTCATCCTTTTTCAAATTCCTAGCATATTTTTCCACTGACTTGTTTATATTTTATTCAAAAAAAAAAAAACTTTTAATACCGTTTATTAAATCTATGTTATAATAATTTGTTCATGGCCGAATTCGTATTCTTCTTAGAAAAAATAAGTCCACATGATTTTCTTGCTCTTTTACCTTTCAGTCTTATTTGTAATTTTTATTTGTTAATTTCGAAGTTTGAGTCTTGAAAAAAATATAAAATGCCTCTTTAATTTTGGCTTTTCCAACTAAAGGAAGGTTTTCAGATTTTGATTGAAATCCTAGTGTCAATGGCTAAGCTTGTATCACAAGAAAGTGGCGGGCGAAGTCAAAAGGAAAAAGCTTTGCGGCGTTCATTACGCGAGCAACATGATTTGCTTAATCTTTGTGGTCTTCCATTACCGCTAGATCCAACGGTGCGTGTAAATGCGCTATTACCCGATACGGCTACACTCTTCAACAGTAATCTAATGCCAATGAAACTTACATTCAGAACTGAAAATAACGGAAATTATGTGACAATTTTCAAACGAGGCGATGATTTAAGGTATTTTTGCGTGCAGCGTCAAGTATGAATCCAAACAAATCGATTTAAGCTGAAAAAAAAAATTCCACTCATTTGCATTAATTTCGCTTTCGATTTGCAGCTGGAATGCATAGGTGCTTCATTTCCTCAGAAATCACAGTAGTATTTTCATTCCTTAGATAAAGCAGTTTTTAGAAAGGATGAAATATTCAAAAAGAATTTTTTTTTTTTGAATAGAAATCTGATGGAAATGCTGTTTCAGGCAAGATCAGTTGATTATACAAATGATTCGTTTAATGGATGATTTACTTCGTGCAGATGGTCTTGATTTACGTCTGACACCATATTCTGTTCTTGCCACATCTACTTCTGAGGGATTTGTTCAATTTATTAAAGCAATTCCACTTCGTGAAGTGATCTCGAATTGGGGTACTGTGCAGGTAATTATCGGTTTAACTTATATTTTGTGCATTATTTGTTGTTGAATCTAAGTCTTGAGGTTTTTTTTTTTTTTTTTCAGTACAATATTGTTGGTATTAGTTATATTGTATACGAAGTATTCTTAGGAATATTAGATCACTTTTTTATCCTCTAACTCGTCCATAATATCATTTTTAATTTTTTCTAGGAGTGCCTTCGATCATTTCGTCCTTCCCCTAATGGACCGTTTGGAATTGAAACGGAAGTTGTTGAAAATTATGTACGTTCTTGTGCTGGCTATTCGATTATTTGCTATGTGTTAGGAATTGGTAAATTTCGTTTTCATTTTCTTATCATTTTAGTATTCATTTTTGAGTAAAGATATATACGAATTTAAAAACTGTGATACTGCAGAATTTCATTTGATTTGCTTATAAAACTTTTTAGGTGACCGACATTTGCACAATCTTTTGCTCTGTGAAAATGGAAAAATGTTCCATGTTGATTTTGGTTATATACTTGGAAGAGATCCAAAACCCTTTGCTCCACCACCAATGAAATTGACTAGTGAAATGATTAGTGGTATGGGCGGTTTGCATAGGTTCGTTTGCATTAGACTTATTTTATTGGAAAGTATGTAGTGATGAGGAGAAAGGGTCATTTAAAATGAAGAATGTTGGAGATGTTGCCTCAGCCATAATGGAAATCAGAATTAGTTTGATTGGATTTATTTCCACTAATAAATTTGGATCATCATTTCAGTCGCTATAAGTTGCAGTTGGCGATTTTTTTTTGATAATTTTGAGTACTATATGACGTCGATAGAGCTTTTTTGTGCAGCGCTAGCTGAATTTTGTTTTATAATATTGAAATTAAATTTATGTAATTAAAAATTAGCGAAGTTACAATTAAAATTATGTGAATTTAATCCTTCTAAAGTAGGGTTGAATTATTTGTATATTTTACACTTTTTTGCAGTAAGGAATGGAAAGAATTTCGCGGATTTTGTTTCTCGGCATTTCGCATTTTGCGACGGCATGCTAATGTTGTTCTAAACTTATTTTCACTTATGTTGGATTCCGGTATACCGGATATTGCAGTTGAAAAGGAGAAAGCGGTGCAGAAAATTGAGCATAGGTACGCCTTTCCGATGCTTTTTCTCATTTCTTTTTAAAAATTATTAAATCGAAGTATGGTAGCTGTAAATATCTTCTTTTTTTTTTTTTCTTTGGACTTTTTATGTTTTCTTCTAGATTCCATCTGACATTGAGTGATGAATTGGCTGAGCAGAAAATTGAACATTTAATTGATGAATCAGTGAATGCAAAAATGACGAAGCTTACGGACATGGTGCATGATGTTCATCAGTTGATTACTAATTAGATTGTATGTTTTTGCAAATTTAGGTAATTTGATCAACTTTGAGTCTTGAATTTATACCTGGTTGTATTCCTTAGTTGTTATGACAGTTGGCAAAATTAGTACTTGCTTATTTCTGAAACCTGATTTGACTGTTCTCGAATTTTTAATATGAAGTGGAAGTAATTTGCTTAATTTGTTGCACTTAATTAAATTACTTATTAAATGGTTTATATAAAGTTTTATGTGGTAACAGTAAAATTGGATCTCAATTTATAATGTGAGTAATTTTGTACATTGTATATAAGTTTGCTTTGTGTTGTAAACTAAATTTTTTGTTTTCATGATTAAAACCTTTACCATTTATGTATTTGACTTTTACAATAAATTTTTTTCCAATACAAATAGAGACCTACATGCATGGCACCTAAAAATAGTTTATATAAAACGGTAGAGTTTATGAGAGTAATTTCAAGATATCATTTTTATCACTTACATTCCTTAACAGAGACTTTAACTTTTAATATTCTCGTTCTCGTTACTTGTTCTGTATAATCACCATTGAGTTATAACTCTTGACCTATTACGTATACGTCATAAGTTGTCATTCATTTATGCAATTTGTAGACTGATTTTAATATTTCAATTTATAAGCTAATTTTAATATCATATATTTCAAGTTCAGTATATTAGGTCTCATTGTTTTTAGATTAGTTATATATTCAATTGTTTTACTCCATAAATTTTTGATATAATAGTATTTTTTTTAAAAAAGGGAAAGAAATAAGCTGTCCCAACTTTAAAGTGTTGAATTTTTCTTGTTAGCATGGAATTAATGAAACTACTAAAAGTGACGATAAAAGCTAACATGTTATGCTTGCTAGACTAAATCGATATAAACATGCTCAGTTGAGATGTTGTGAAAATAGCCAAGCTATAAATTAACTATCGCTCTAGGCCAGCTACATTTTATCAATGATTATTAAGAAGTGATCTGTGTACGTCATTTTGCTTCATCAGTAAATTTTGTCAGATTTCAATGGATGAACATTTGCAAGTTATTGCTAATCTTTCCGCAGCCAAATTTCGTGATCTTTCCACTGCTGCGAAAACAACGCAAGGTTAGAATTTGTTGAAATATGAAAATGAAGTGATGAAATCATATTTTGTCGCATACATTCTTTATTTATTTTCCTCCAGTAAAGAAAATAAAAAATGATTTAAATTAATTAATATTTTTAGTATTTCAATAATAAATAGTTATGGTATCAGTTGTATCTGAGCTCTTTGTCCAAATGTTCCGATTGTACTTTACAGATTCTCAGTCAAAGATTACATTTTATATTTTACCAATTATTAATTAATAGTACAATCATTTAACATTACTTAGTTTCTACTACTCATTTTTCAAAGATCCCTATTACTCGATGGAAGATATTGCCATACCGTATGATATCGCTATTTGAGTTCCATTCATAGAGTCATTTAACAGTCATTTCATGGAGTTACTTGAGTTGCATATGATAAAGTTATTTGACTCTCACAGAGTTATTTGGCTTTCATAATTCAAAATTTTTAAATTGCATTTTGAATATTTAAACAAAAAAAAAAAAAATTATAGAAATACTGAACAGCAAAGATGTAACAATGGTTACATTGTGCGGTAAATGTCTTCATGTATTACAATTAGCACTTCAATGCAAGCATCAGAAAATTAATCAAGCTGCTGTTGATTTACTTCAAGTAAATTCCTTAAATTAATTCATAACTTTTGTAAAAGATTTATTTGTGATGGAAAAAATCTTAATTGTTTTATTAATTAGTGTTAGACGTAAAAATATATCATTGTTATGTGATCGATTTAATTAGTTATATAACATTTTTTTTTTTTTTTTCATAAAAATATCTCACAGAATTAACTGATAATTAAAATTTAATCCAATACATGTATAAGTTATTAAGAGAGAAGTTTTGTATAAATTTTATATTAATTTTTGATAATCAACTTAATTATATATTGTTGCATTATTTTTTTTTATTAGTCATTTTAGATTGGATCGGGAAGATATAAGCTAGGATGACAATTAATTTTAAAATTTTATAAATACAAACTTACAATATAGCCATTGTCAGTAATAGTATTATTGTAAGCAAAACAGTTTTAATTATTGCATTTTTCTAGTTTTTCTTTACTTAGACATTAATTCGAGATGAACGCTTTATGAATAAAGCAACAACTTCTGAAAGTGACACCTTGATGATGTCAACATTAAAGTCAATAACTTTGTTACCGGTAATCAAAGCTCCCATTCAATGTCGTATTTTGACGGTAAATTGCTTATTTTCATTTTTTAAATTCTAATTTCAACATTTAGTTTAAATTTGGATTATTATTTTGATTTCATCTAAAAAATTTACATGTCTTCGCATTATTTTACAGTTAATTGTTGAATTAATGTGTAAGGAAGAACGACGAATTATAATCGAAATAGTAATGGAAGCTTTAACGGTTAGTGATTTTATTTATTTTTTTTTCAAAATATCTCTAAAAAATTGAATTAGCTGCTTTTTATTATATAATTAAAATTGATTTTCAATTTTAAATTTAAAAAAAAATTAAAATATAATGTTAATATTTAAGATTTTTTGTCTCCCAATCATAGTTATAGATAGGATGACAAGTGAAGGATAATATTATTGATATGTCATTTGAAATCAAATAATTTGGGATTTAAATTTTTTTAGTCTTATTTTATTTTTCTTCTCTTCTTCTCGCATAATATGTAATTCTGTATATTATACCTATTAAATAATTACTTTAGTTAAGTCTTTTTAGTAAGTATTAAATTATTATTGTTGAAATTTTTGTCTAAATTATATTTCAATTTGGGAGATAATTCTTGTGCAAGCTAATATTTAATATCAATTTAATACTTTCTAAAAATATTTAACTTAAAATGATTCATACTTGAAATAACCGTTTTTTTCCCTTTTGCTGGTACAGTTATGTATGCAAACGTATGGGAATGCCGAAGAAAGAAGCGTTCAATTAGCTTGTCGTGCAGCTGTCACTCAGATTTTTAGCTCATTCTGCACATTACCTCAGGTTAATCAACAAATTTGACCTTTTATCATGAAACTATTATCAGTTATTACTGATAAATTCACGGGTAATCATCTAAATAATAATTGCTGATAAATGTATGAATAATACATTATCAAATATTAGTAATAAATTTATGAATAATAATAATCTAGAATTCATTAATTTTTTTTTTCTATAAAGGTCTTTTAAAATAAATATTTTGTTTGTTTGCTTAATATTGAATCATTGAGGTATATATACTTTTATATGATAATGATAATAAAATAATTGTCAAATAAAGTTAATTTTCAAACAATCAATTCAGTAATTATTCATTTAATTGAAATAAAAGTTTTTTTGGATAATTTAATATTTCTTTAATGTGTTAATTATTATAAAGGATTAATTTATTATTAAATATTTATCCAAGAAAAGATTATTTAATCATTTTCAGAATAGCCATTGCCAGGAACACACAGCTATTTTTATGGATGTTACATCATTATTAAATGAAGTAATCAAATGCGCAAATGTCACAAATCCGCAATCAGATCAGATTATCATCTTACTAGATGCCATATACAGTATTCTTAATTCACAACCAATTACTATTATCAATCATCAACCATTTGTCAATATTATTTGGTATATATCTTGAATTAATTAATGATCATTTAAAAAAAAAAAAAAAGTTAATGGAAAAATTTGTAAGCTACAATGAAACATGCATGATACAGTGAATTTTACTATTAAATTCAATATTATATCCGGAAATTCAAGTATTAATTTTTCCCTTTTATTTTTTCTTTTATTATTTTGATATAATAAATTTTCTATTATAGCAAATTCGAATCAAAGCCATAAATTTGGTTTTACAAAAAAAGGATTTATTTGAAACTTTATCTGCATTTTTAACATGTTTTTAATGCGAAAATAAGTTGTACTTGGTTTAATTCGAAAATTTTTCTCTCCAATTTATTATTGATATAATTGCTACAGGAAAATAGCAAATATTAATTAAGCAAGTATTAAGATTATAATTAAGATTAAGAAATTGAGATAAATTATTTTGACTTAAAGTACTCCAATGGTTTCTCAGTACTGGCTGAAACGAAATTTATCAAAGAAAAATATTCTGAAAATTTTTCTTTAATATCTAACTTTCCAGGCGTGAATTAAGTCCATGCATGATGAAAATGTTAGGAGAACCGGAAAAGAGTAATCATGATATTACTGAAGATAATGAACCGTTTGGACGAGGTCAAAGGTCGATGACGACAAATAATAAGACGATTTTTGATCATCCGGAAATTGTACTCTCATTGTATCAGTAAGTGATTACTATTTTAAACGCATTAAAATAGTATATGAAATGTAATTATGAATTATATCCTGAAATTATATCACATCATTTTCAGGATTATCGAGCAGTTATTACGAATTCTTGCCGGTATTGATGGAATGCGAAGCGTACTGGAAGCAATATTTCATAAAGCTTTACTGTATCCAAGAGTGGATCAACGTTCAGAAGCTCTTCGTATTATCCGAAAGGTTTTTGTTAGGAGATTTTTAATCTTTAGAATTTTACTTTACTGAAGCATGAAATTTCAGATAACTATGGCAAATTGAGCAATCCGGAATTGCACGATTTTCATAGTTTATTGATATAGCTAAGTTAAGTTGGAAGATAAGTTTGTTACTTTATCAATGGCTAAGTTGCACCTACAAAATTTGATCATTTAAATTTATTCTTGTGGAAATTAAGTAATCCGGAATTGCACGATTTTGTACGATATAATATTTCAATTAATTCTTTCTTAATTTAAAATTGTCAACGATAATAATTTAAAATTGACTGCCTCATTTCAATTTTGATAATTGTTTCAATTTAGATTACTAAAAATGAAGAGCGTCTTGCTGACATTATTTTGATTTCGATGAGCAGTAAAACGTTGACACTTTGGACTATCATTATTGATTGTATTTTTGAATGTAGTAATTCAACAAATATTGATATATCTTCAGAAGCGCTTCGAACATTACAAACTTTTGTTAGTTATCCTTTGTTAATTTAAAAAAGATGAATTAAACATTTTTTTTAAGATTTAAAGAACTGTTTTAAGGAATTTTTTGATCTATAAATAAAATTGAAATTATTTCTAGCTAATCACAGCATGCCAAATGTGTGAAACTGATAGTGAAAGTGTATTATCAACAAAACTTATTGATAACATTTTATCATATTTCTCGATCGATAATATTTCATTAGCTTCAGCTGTTGATGATGGTCTGAATATTTTATAAAAATTAAAAATTTTTTTTATGTTCTGCATTGATAGGAAATGATAATTTCAGCAATTTTATTTTTAAAATAACAATTTTATGCTGTTATGTTTATAAAATTTTTGATACTACAAGAAGTTTGTTTGTGGCATTCAGATTTAAAAATTTTTTAAATAATTAAAATAATTTGTTACAATTTAAAAATTGATAAATTCAATTTCTCATGTTTTTTATTATTATTTCATTTTAGCTATACTAAATATATTTTCCATATCGTTTTAATATGTTAATGAACTAACTGTAAAAATAAGCTATAAATAAACCGGATCAGATTTCAGAAAAGCATGATAACAAACACGATGATATAAAAGAATCAGAAATAAAACGAAATAATGCAATGGAGGATTTGAAAAATAGAAATGAGGTTTGTATGATAAATCTTACATTGTTAAATTTTTCAGTATTATTTCATAATTTACAAAAACATTTTTAATAAATAATTTAAGGTAAATAAAGTATTGGAAAAATTGACCAAAAAATACAGAGGTGAAGAAACGAATGTGGTAAATTGCAATGATTCTAAGACCAATAAATCAGCTGAAGTAAATTTTTCATTCTTTATTTTATATTTCAAAACAATTAGTATTACTATTTTTATCATTTTCGTATGTTGCTGTTTTTTACTTTATAATTTATCATTTCGATTATTTCTGTTCTAATTATAATCTCAAAAACTTATCATGATAATCTTTGATGATAAATTCTATAAACTGGTTTTAAAATTTCGAAATTAGGCAGATTTATAATTTTTCTTATCTGTTTTATTAACATTTTGTAATTGTTATTGTTGGAAGGTAAATTCAATTTAAACTCGCAAAATTTGATTTGATTTTACATATGTGTTGCACTAAAGCTAGATAAAGTTTATGCATAAAAGAATAATTGATGAAAATTTGATTTGCTTGAGAAATTTTTTAGAAAGAACTGGAATCAGCCAATTGCTATATAAAGAAATTGCGGGATGCTATTCCGGAATGGTTGCAAATTAAAAGTACGATTGAAGTTGATGAAGCAATTCAAGAATTTGCATCTAATTTCTTTTCTGGTCTAATTTTTTTATTTTTTTAAAAACTACAATTAGGATTTTTTTGAATATCAAAATATCATATTGCAAAGACAATAGAATGAACGGGGAATCAAGAATTGGTATAAAATCATTTAACCAATTTATTTTAAATTTCTTTTCGCATCAGAATACTTTAGTTAATAGAAAAAAAAAAAAGAAAACTATCAATCACATACTTATTTCATAACTTCAAAACTTCGTTAAAATGATAGAAAATCACTATAAAATTTCAGAGAACTGTACTTTAGGAATGTATTATTAGTGAAAGTAAACTTACTTACTTATGAAATACCTACCTTAGATTAGCTAATCAATAAATGATTTTTAGATTATCTTGCATCAAGTCATTATTCATATATAAATTTGAAAATAATGTTGTAAAGTCACAAATTAGAAAATTTTGACAATTTCTAATTCTTTCATGTACAATCTTCTTCCATGAAGTTCTAACTATTCAATCACGTGGCATACGTGAATAACGTATGTGAATAATCATGACACACGTGAATAACGTGAGAGTTTCTAAATAAGACTTACAGTTTGTTACATATAAGGTAGGCTTTATTTATCTCAGTTAAATTCAGTAAAGAAAAAAAGCGTTCCAGTATATTTATTCAGTGATTACAAGTACCAAAAAGTAGAAATCAATCAAAAATTTGATAGCTTTTCCCGGTAGAAGTTTTCCATGTAAAATTTCATTACAGAATTCATTTCCGGTAGAAGTTTTCCATGTAAAATTTCATTACAGAATTCATTTCCGGTAGAAGTTTTCCATGTAAAATTTCATTACTGAATTCATTTCCGGTAGAAGTTTTCCATGTAAAATTTCATTACAGAATTCATGATAGCTCAAAAAGATGCTTTCGAATTATACGGTCAGACACAATCACATTTCCTGAATTCCGATGCTATCTATCTCACTACTTATGCAGCATTAGCTGTTGTTTTTTATGAAAACAACATGGAAACTTTCAATGAGGTATTCAAACGATTAAAATCTTTTTTAAATTTTCTTTTTTGATGAAAAAAACTTTTTTTGTTATGAACAGTAAAATTCCTTTAATTAAGTTTATATTTTCAAATGTTTTTTTTAAATTTATTTACATTGTTTTTAAATGTTACCATTTTAGTTCTATTTTCGCTATAAAATTATTCATTATAAGCATAATTGATTAATTTAATTTTTTTAATCAAAATATCGCCATTTAAAAATTTTTCATGATAATAATGAATGTGGAAATTTTATGATAACATTTTAATTCTTAGATTTTTTGATTTAGTTTTGGTTCATTAATGAAGTATTGCATAGTGGCTGTATTGTATACAGTAGTAATCATTGGCTTACTGTGGTATACGAAAATTTGATAAAATTAAAAATGGAATTTCAACCTTTGGATGATACTAAGATACCACTAATAAGTGTTATTGAAGGTATATTTCATGAAAACAAGCGAAAGTTTGTTTTAAATTAAAATTTCCAAATTTCTAATTAAACAATTAACTGTCTTTTTATTCGATGTCTTTCTCCCCTTTCATTTCATTTTTTTTATTTACTTAATGAATCTGATTGTAAAGTAATTACATATTTTACAGAATTTAAGTCAAAAAATTTAGTCCTCACTTTGCGATTAAAATTTGAAATTAATTCAGATTATACTGGGCGCAGCGCTCAACGAATGAGTGACGTTAGACGAATACAGGAAGTGTTTACTAAACAGAGTAAACATTCTCTAGCTGGTATGTTTGTTACTGGAAAATTTTAATTTCATTTATTAAAATTGAATTAATTTTTTTGCAATTTGCAAAAAATTTGAATTTTTATTACAGAATAAAGATCATAATGAATAAAATTTTGAGTACCTTATAGAAATCAAAAAATGCTATTAATGAATTAAAATTTTTAGTCTGTAAAGCATATCGATGGCTTTTATTGGAAAATTGGAATAAATTGCTAACAGCGCCATCAAAGCTACTATCTGTACGCAATAAGCAACAACGCATTATTCGTCCAAAAGCTGCCGAAGCATTTGATCAAGCCATATATACGTTATTAGCTTTAGCCAAGCTTTGTACTGCATTAGGCTTGTTTTATAATTCAGTTTATCTATTTTTAAATGATTTTTAAAATTTCATCTTTACTCAAATCAATTTTAAAATTGACAATATAAATGCTAAAAATTATTCATACTTTAAATCTTTTATGATTTCACATTTTCTCTAAAAAAAAGTATTAAATTTTGGTAAAATACCAATTACAAATAATTGGCGTAAATAAATACCGATTATAATTAATAATGATTTCATGGTTTATATGATTGATTGCAATTTAACTTCTAGGAATATTTATTATTTCAAGCTACTTTATATTTCTGCTTGTTTAATTTAACTTTTAGTTTAACTTTAACTTATTTCTTCATTTTACTTTCACTTTGCGAAATTTGAGCTTTTATCTTAGTTTGGTGATGCTAAATTTATTTCATTGATAAACGTTCATGTTTAGGTCTCGAAGAACGTAATCAGTTAATCATTGAGCGACTTGTCATAGCATCATGTCCACTGGATGAATTGAGAAGTTTTGCAATTCAGGAAAAAATAGATTCCAGTACGGAACGACTGAATCGATGGCCATTACGGAAAGGAGATGTCATCGCGATGCAAACTATTCTAGATATTGCTATTGATTGTGGACTTTGTACATCAAAATGTTGGAATGATATTATCAGGTAACTTATTTATTATTAATTAAATACAATAATTACATTTATTAATTCATTTAATTATTTCCAAAATATTGATTAAATAAATAATTAAGATAAGATTAGATAATGAATAATATAAAAACTATTCTAGCATTTCTTTTAAACTAAGTTTTCTAATTTCTAATTCCAATTATTATTTTAATGGCAAATTAATTAATTGACCATCATTTATTGTATTCATATTACCAGAAGGAATCATAGCAGAAATTTTATTATCAAATTTACAAATATAATTTTAGAAGGCAATATGCTTTTTTTTTCACCTCTTCAATTTAATGAAATTTTATTTATAGATGCACGGAGTATATTTGCGAAGTAGAGAAATATTTCTTTGGTATTATAAATCAAGATCAGACCTGTTGGATGTCACCTGTTTCTTTTAATAGTGCTATTGATAAGGCACAGCATATTGATGATATCTTATCAGGTGACAGTAGCGACAACCTTAGTGGTCAAACAGCTTGTCGAATTCTTCAATTTTTGATGTCAACAGTAAATAGGTAAGCATTAGGCAAATGATAAGTTACTTAACTACATAAAATTCAACAAATTTGATAATTTAGCTTGAGAAGAATCTAAAATTTGAATACAGTTTGCACTATTCATTTTTGATAATTTATAAAAATATATGCTTAAATTTAGAAATACTGTAATTTTTTTTCTTTGGATCTACTATCTTTTGATGTTTCCACAAATTATTAAAAGTATTGACTGGGTAATTGAAAATTTTTAAAGTACTATCAATTTTAATGAATCTATTAAAGCATTCCTCAAATTTTAATGTATTTGCTGTTGAATTTTCAATTTTTAATTAGAATTTTTGACAAAACTTTCAATATTAACATTAAGATAAACTTAAAAAGGTATGAATAATTGAAGCAAAATGAATTGCTATTGATTGATTGCTCAATTTGTTTACCTTATTTCTTCTTCATTAATTATTTTTATTTATTTTATCATTTAATTCAGATTTTATGAACGCGTTGGCAAGGAATTGAATTTGGCATCGCTCTGTGAATTAATGCAACATTTGGTGATAGCTAGTGAAAATTGCCAGTACTACGTGAATTCACAAAAATCAAATTCATTGGTTGATCCAACAGTAATCCTAGGACGAATATTTGCCATTTCAACGACACTTTCAATTAGGCCTTTAATCCATGCAATGAAAATTTGGCCTAAAGTATCACATCATATAGTTCAGGTTGATAGCAATTTATTTATTTAAATTTTAACTTCTTGACAAAAACCTGAATGCAATTCTTTTCATTAAATTAATCTTATCAGATATTAGGCATCAGTCAATGATTTGAATTTTGCTTTTTCCTATCATTTTTTTCCTTTTTTTGAAACAATTAGTAAGTGTTACTCGCTTTCTATGCGACTATTCAGGTAAATCAGTCGTATGTGTTATGAAAGAGAATTAAATCTTAATTTCTAATAATAGATGCGATATGCGATATTTCTTGAAAAATTTGTAGAAATTATTAAGATTTCAAATTTAATTTAATTTTACATTTGCTGTTATTATTGTTGCAGTGTGCTTCTCTACGCAGTGATGGAAAATTAAACTTTTTTGCTATCGATGGTTTGGGTATTTGTATAGCAAAATTGATGATCAATGAAACGAATGGTTTTTGCTACAATCAACTTATATTTCAGCCATTACAGGTTTAAAATGCAAAATTGTTTTAACATTATTTGAATTAATTTCTGAAGTTATTTCTGTTCATAATTAAAACTTTTTCAAATGTTTTTGAAAGAAAAAAGAAACTGAAATAAGATGTAATAATATTTAAATTCTTTTATTTATAACAATTTTTTTCTATTTTTTGTTTATTTTTTAAATTTTGAATTTTCTTCAAAATCATATTTGCTCATATAAACATGGCAAATTCAAAATTTTTGGATTTTTTAAAAAAAATTGCAGAATATTCTTTGTGCCGAAATGTGCTTAGAAGAATCACAGGAACAGATTGTCACATTGTTAGCAACATTTGTGCATTCACATGCAGATATGATTGGTTCCGGTTGGAGACCGTTATTTAGTGCTTTGAAAGCATTACGAATTGAAAATCATTCCGGTATGCTTGAAACTACTGTAATTGTCACTTGTTACTACTAATTAACTCTTCAAATTATTGAATCATTGAGATGACGAATAGCTTTAAATTAAACAGTGCCAGCGTTTGAGTGATACCAACTGTTTCAATTAATTTAATTAAGTCTTAATTAAGTTATCGACTATTGTTTGAAAAGGATAACTCAATAAATAGGATGCAAAAAGTTGGAAATTCAAGTTTCTTTTAATAAATGTTAACTTTTGTTAGATATTTGCTTACCTAAAATCACCAATTTATTTATTTATTTTTTTGATAACTGTATCACAGATATAGCAAATGGAGGCGATAATTATACTAGTAGAATGAATAATTCTTTCCACAAATTTTTTTTCTCTTCCGATTTCAAAATATCTTTTCAAATTTGAATTTTTTTTTCCATACTAATACATTAAAGATTTGCTAACATCGATTGAATAGTAACTTTTTAGTATTTTTAAACTTCAAGAATTAGAAATTTTATTTATAATACAAAATTTAAAGATGAAAGGTTTGATCTAATTTTCTAATTTATTTCTTCAGAATCAGATAATAATGCTGGCGATATAACTGCAATATCATCAGTTCAAGCAACTATACTTGACATTTTCTCAGCATATCTTAATATTAAAAATACAAATATTTTAATATCGACAGCTTTAGATTATATTGCATGTGTCTTGCAATATCTTCATTCTACAGGATTTGGTAAATTTTAGATATTTCCAATAATAGTAATTTGATTTTATCTTCAAAATCACATTTACTCATACAGATAAACAAAGTTTTTGAAAATTTTCCGATAGTAATCCAAAATTAAAATTAGCATAATTTAAGTAATTTAGCAGCTATGATCATAATAAAAGCTATGATAATAGCTAATTATAGGAGATGGAAGATTGAAAGAGATTTTAGATAATTGCACTACGACTAAGTAATCTCTTTGATTTCCAGGTATAATAAATGAAAAGAAAGAAATTTTCTTAAATTTAGCTATTCAATAGTAACTGCTTCAGAATATTCAACTATTACTTCTAATGAGAGTGAAATAAAGATTTGATAAATAATAGAATTAGTATTATTAATAGAAATTAATGGCAGTGATAGTGATAAAAATTTTATTAGGTAAACACTTTATCAGTTATCAGTTTGTTGTGTAATTAATCATTAAAGTGATTATTTTTCAATAACTAAGTTATCAATCTATTAAATCATCAACTTGTTAAATCATAAAGCTGTCAAATTGTCAACTTTTAAGTCGTCAAGCTACTAAATCGTTAAATTAAGTTTTTAAGTAATTAAGGCTGTATATTATTGAGTAATTATAAAAAAAGATTTGATAATAGCGGTTAAATAATCGAGTTTTTCAGTTTTGTTGTTTGTTTTTTATTGCGTTATTTAGATACAAAATTATTGATTGGATTAAATTAGTTAGTTCTTAAGTTTTCTAGCCTCCAAGTAGTAAAGTTTTCGAGTTATTGAGTAAGAATATGACAAAAATTATTAAGTATTTCGTTATTAGAGTACCGCGTTTTAGTCATCAAATTATGAAGTTATTGAGGTACTAGTTTTCAGTTTATTTTTTTTTTTTTTTTCAATCTATAACATGTTTTCAAGAAATGCTTTTAAATCTCATAACAAATCATACAAATTTTAGTTTAAAATTAAAATTTATTTATATCATAGAATCGATTCCATCATCCAATGTAACGATGGCTTCAGCAGCTTTACAAAATTTGTTAAAAATGGAACGAATGCTTCATAATCTATTCGATTCGGCTGATTGTAGTGATCAACATTTACTGCAAAGGTGTTCTTTGCTTTTTTCCCTTCCTCTGATAAAGCTGAAATTAAAATAAAATTTGAAAGAAATGAAATTTCGAAAAAATTTGATGTGTTTTGTTTTATCAATAAAAATAGAATATATTAAATCGTTCGCTCTAACATTTGCAAAAATTTTTGACATGCAAAATATATTTGTCACAAAGATTATTTGAAATATTTCATGCAATTACGATTTGTTCATTTTTCAGATTAACATTACGTGAACGAACGCAGCATTGTGTTGATCGATACTTAAATATATCATTTTTAATGGAACCACTGTCAACTGTCCTCATTGAAGAACCATTCTTTTTTGATATTGAACAAAAAATTCCACCAACTGATCTTGATCGTTTACTTGAAAGTTTGTTTCATTTTTTTATCTTTTTTTTATTCATAATTTTGAATGATAAGATGTAATTCAATTTATTAAATTCACTTTAAAAAATTGGAACACATAAATTTTAGATTTCGAAAGAATTAAATTTTGAATGTATAAATGATATGTAAAATTTATTAGCACCAGAATTAATTATACCTTGGAAAAATTATACGGCATCAAGAAGAAGTTGTACTGAAGTTTACTTATCGTTACTAGAAGGTCTCATAGCTGTCACCTTTGTTTGTCCTGCATCATTACAATCAAATTTATTGCGAACTATCGCTGAATTGATCAAAGAGCAAGTGGATACTAAATTTGGTATACTTTTACAAGTATTTCGTACTATTAAAATTTTAAACCATCATTTTTTTCATAATTTATTTTTTAATTATAGAATTTTAATGTCATGAAAAAAAAAAATAAATAATGGAAGATAAATTAAAACTGTGGAAACATTTGAGACTATTAATAATATTTACATTTTTAATTTTCTAGGTATTAATTTCGGTGCATACGGTTTATCAATTCTTGTCTTTCCAATGTTACAACAATGGATGCGTAAAGATGCGGCAAAACATGAAAATAATTTGAAACAAGCAATTGGACTGTTTACTGAAATTGTTAAACAATATTTAATACAAACCGAAAGTACAGCAAATTTTTAAAAAACAATCTTATCATTTATTATTTTCTTTTTCACAGCAATTCTATATTCTAACAATTTGATAATAAATTTAAAAAAACGAAATTTACTAGTAAAATTTACTAGAATGCTTTTTTTTTTGTAATTTAGAATGTTAAATATATTTATCATTTGTAATAAAAGATTCATTTTCTAGATAATCCATGGGTTAATCGAATACTTTTTGATATGTTAATTTTGTTAACGGAATGTATTACGTGTACTACGAATCGTATTTCACGCTTAGGTTACGCATGTTTAAAATTTCTGATTAAATCTTCCATTCATTCATTAACACCCGAAAGATGGACAATTATCATACGGTCATTATGGAATGCAACGTAAGTTTGATCAAAAAAAAAATTTGAATTTTTTTAATTTTTATAAATCTATTCAGTTTCTGTAAAGCTAACCTTTCCCTTGCAATACTTCAATTTTAGAGATCACACATGATTTGAAGCATATTTTAGGAATATAACTGACTATACTTTTATATTCATAAAAGTTAATATTTAGATTTCATTTTTCTTCTCACATCCTTTTCTTGAAGAAAAATTTTTTTTATAAATTTGATACATTTTAATAATTTTTTCATTTTTCAATAATCAGTAATTTATAAAAAAAATTTCATGTTTCTAAATTATTTTGAAGTATCAAATTTTTACATTTTAGAGGTTTAACTTTGACGCATTTGCGATTTTTAATGCAATACTATGTCGTTGATTCAAATGATCCAAACGGAGACCTTGGTAACGTTTGCATAGCTGCTGTCGAGAATTCTAATTTCTCATGCGAAACGTTACTATTAGCTCAACAGGTTAACTTACTTCAAAGTATATTTCATTAAATTAAATTATCAATTATTTTTTCCAAATTTGTATCAATTCAGTTCTCAAAGCTTACCTTTTTGTTTTGTTTAAATAGAAATATTGTTATTTTATTAATATTATTATTGTTGTTATTAACACTATTTTTATTGTTATTATTATTATGAAACATTAATTATCATTTGTCATTATTACTGTTATTAATTATTTTTTTAAATAATGATTAATTATGAAATTATTCCAATGCAATTCTAATTTTATTTCATTCTGATCTTGAATCATAATTGACTTTAATTGTAGATCTTTTTGATGGATGAACAGATCAGTTCAACGACAGAACTAGAGGAAACGAAAAAACGTGAAGTGGTGCTTTGTAATAATGATGGAACAGAACAAAGGTTTGTTAACTAATTTTCAACTTTAATTAATTACTACTTATTTAAAATGTTAAAACTTCAGGATTGGTGGTGATGAACTGATTAGCATCCTTACCAGCCATTATTGTATTTTGGAATTAATTGGTATTTTATTACTAAATGGGATCGATTTGCCAGTAAATGAACAAACTGTTGCATTTTTGAAGAAATTTGATGAGCAAACTGAAAGTGACAATAAATGTTGGCTTCTGTCTAATCCTTTCAATTTTGATAATTTCTCAAAACATTTTCAAATTAAAATATCATATTCTAATAAAATATCATATTCCAAATTATGCTTTAAAAAAGTCGGAATTTAGAAAAAAAAAATTTTTTTTTCAGGTAATTTGCATAAGCTGTCACCGGATGATATTACCATCCTGTTTTACTGTTTAGATGGATCACTTTTAGTTGCAAGAAATTTTGATAAGCGTTTAGGCCTAAAAATGCTTATCCAAGGATTATATGACTTTCCTGTACTTCCAAATCTATGCAAACAAGCAGTTTTAGCTTGGACAATACGTTCATTAGCAATGTATGAGATAGTGCGAAAATGTCCACTGGGAAAGTTTGTATTTATTATTTATTCTTTCTTTAAGTTAGCCATTTTTTTCTTTCAAATTAATATCTAATTATTTTTTATTTCGAAGAGAAGAGAGATAAATAGCTAGAAAGTAAAATGTAGAAAAATATCATCGGCTAACAATAATCATACTTTTGCCTCCTTTTGCATTACAAATATTTTTTTTTTAATTTTGCAGAGAAACAATTGTTGAATATTTATTGTCATCAAATGGAAGCATAAAAGATGACAAATATTATATCAAACAATTTCAATTATGTCATCGTGAAGTATGCACATATTTATGTTGTTTAGAGAAAAAATTATCAAGAGAAGCACTACGTCATTTGGCTATTTCACATATTACTCCGGTTGGTATATTAAGAAAATGAAAATTTTGTTATGCCAAGTTGCGTTAAATTTTAAACTGATCAATATTTAAATAAATATTTCATCTAAAATGAATTCTCAGAATACCTTAAAAAATACGACAATATCATAAGAATATGAAATACATATATATAGACTAATGGAAAATCTTTAATATGTATTTTTGAAACTAAATTTATAATTTTTGATTTTTTTTTTTTTTTTTTGAAATTTCAGCAAATTACTCTCATCCGTAACGATGCAATGGATGAAAATTTATACAAATTGGTATCTTCTGAGCAAACTACCGAAATCATTTCTGATTATAAACGTTCAAAATTTGCTCAAACATTAGTACCAACAAAACGAGGTAATCCATTTAAAAATGATAACGAACGACAGCAAACCATTGCGGAGGACAAACTATTTCTCTCTGTAAGTTATACATTAATAACTTAACATCTTATTTCTCTAACATCTTATTAATTAGAATAAAAAAAAAAAAAAGGTAAATAGATTAATAGAATAAAATAATCTTTTATTTCTGATTGGAATAAAATCCCTTACTATGGAATAGGAAATAGTTTAAGCATGAAATTTATATAGCTAAGCTGTGATATTTAGCACTAACTAAATTAGAGACGTAGTAAAAATTTAAGCTACAATTTTCCCATTTTATTAATTAGAAAAAGAATTAACTAATGTAATTCAAATTGATAAGGCTATATCCTACAACTATCTACTGTTACATTTCCATTTTTAAAAAATTAAACCAAAAAATTTTTCAAAACACCACATGAAGTCTTTTATTATAGAAATTATTAAATTCTTTAATACTACAGCTAAAAGTAAGCCAGCATATTAAATTGTACTTTTCACTCTATCTTAATCCTACTTATTGCATACTTTCATTTAAAATGAGCACTTGCAGGATGGCGAAATACGATGTTGCGCATGGACTGAAATGTCTTTGGCAATCCTGGAAGCACTCTTACGTGAAGAAAATGAACAATTCGAGAAATTCTTACCTATAATTTATGAAAATGCAGCAATACTTATATCCGGTTCATCTAATGTGCGAGTGCGTGAATTTGCTGGACAATTCCTCCGTTTGCTCTCAAAATTTCACCGCTTCTCATAACTTTTACCTAGTCCTTTTTACTCTCAAATTTAAATATCAAGTCTTTCATATGAATTTCAAATGGATTAAAATCTTCAAACTAGTTCCAGATTCTAAGTACTATTGAATTTGATGAAATGATCAAGAATGATAAAATTCCGAGTTATTTCATGCTTCAATATGTTACAAAACGTATAAACAAATAAAATTAATCAAATTGATGACTATGACCAGAACTTTGGCATGTATTTTAAGAAAGAACGCCAAATCATTTATTTAAAAAAAAAGATATAAATATTTAAAAAATCATTATCAACAACAGAATAAAGCTATCCTAACATTTCACGCTTCCTTCCTCGCCTTTCGATTTCTTGAAGTTTTTTATTAACTGAATCGTACTGTTTCCTGTTGAATAATTCATATCCTTTCATAATACTATCGAAGAAAAATTTCGCTTCAGAATGTGTACTTAAGATAGCTCGTTCCAATACATACAAATCAACACCTTTACTTTCCACTGTTGCATTACCCTGCACAAAATTATTTTATTACTAGATCCTTTGTTTTCGGATTTCTTAGAATTCTGTTGAGAACTACCAAAATACCGATTAAATTTCAACCAAATTTTGTTGTCTTTTTTTTTTTTAATTAAAAAAACAAATTTCGATATATTGGAAACTTTATGATTTTGCAAATTTTATGGCTCGATTAAATAAATTATGTTTTCTATCTCATTTTGTAACTTCTGTTTTTAATGAAGTATTCAATAAATAATTTGATCAATATTTGAATCTTAAACGTGTTAAAACTAAATTTTTGTCCATAATTTATGGAAATATAGCGGAGCTTATAATTTTACCTCAGCAAGGCCAAAATCAATGAAAACAATCATTTTGGGGTTTCCATTTCGAAGAAGTACATTAGACGTTGTCAAATCACCATGCATAATACCGCCAAGGTGTAGCTTCGCTATAATTTGACCTAATCGTATGCCAAAGTCAGTAATTATTTCCTGAAATATGCCATTATTTATCGCTACTCTATTTAATTTAACTAAAGAATAACGTTCCAAACCAATCAGTCGAAAATATCTAAAATAATCAGCTGAATCCGGGAAGAAAAAAAAAAATTAAAGGAAATTTTTTTTTTTAACTCTAGAAAGGAAAATAAATCTGTTATACCTTAAAGTTACTTTCATTCTTAAAATCTTCAATAAATTGTCGAGCAGTGATATCACTGGTAATCTCTTCCATAATAAAAGAATTTCGATCAATATTTACAAAGTATACCGTAGGTACGTCAACTCCCATCTAAATATAATCCAGTTTTATTAAGGAAAAATAAGTTATTGACCTTCAGATGTAAAACATCTCACATTTTTATCATATCCAACAAAAAAAATATATTTATATTCTTTATTCAGGACATCAATATAAAGATTCTCAAATCAATATAAAAAAGATTTTATTCAGAACAATATATATATATATATATAAAGATTCTAACCGTTTTACACTTATACAAAGCATTTAGTTCAGCTTTCATACGCTCTTTCGTCAATATTATGTCCAACGATGGATGCCTGGAATAGTGTCATCTAATTTCAAAATCCTGATCAAAAATAATATATTTTGGATAACAAAAATAAACCTTCCTAGAACAAGCTCAATTTTTTCACAAGCAATTCTCCTTAAACTAAACAAGGTTGAAGTTTCTATAAAAATTGACTATTCCCTCAAATAGGTATTTACTTTCTCCTTCATACCTGTACGTTTTAACAAATCGTTCTTTCATAACCGCTTTCCGGCCAAAATACATACAACGATATAAACAAGCTTCAGCTCCCTGCTTAAATGGTTCGGGATTCTTCGAGAGCCATGCTTTATCAGCAATTTGAGTTGCTTCATCCATCCAAAATTACCTAAAAAGTATCTTTCTAGTAAGAGAATTATGGTTTCGGAATACATACATTGCCATAATGTATATAAGTCATCTACCTTCAAAATGTTCGTAATGTTTATATAGAGTTATCGACTGATTCCTCGACTTAACGTACTGAAAACCCCTGAAGCATTGAAAAAATAGGCACCTGTAAATAAATTCTCCCACAATTTCTTTTCGCACCAGTAACCTGGTACCACAGTACCAACTTATCCACTGCAGTAAAAAGGCATCATTAATATAATTTTATGTAACGAAAAGAAACTGAAAATCAATACTTGCTAGGAAATTCAATGCTAAATAAACTCCATGATGCAAAAGTATGTTTAAGACCAAAAATAAATGAAAAGAAAAGAAATAAAATCCAATTCCAAATAAATACACCGAATATTCCTGAAGTTTTATACAGTCATTATCAAAATATGCCATTTGATAACACAGTTGTTATAGTAATCGAGAAAACACCTGAGATTTAATATTCAAACTGATGGATTGAAGAATTTTAATATCTTCCGAGAGTAAATAATCAATGACAAAAGTGAAAGAATAAAAATATTCCGTTCAAATGATTTTATTTCATTATAAAAGAATCACAACAATAATACAGCATTAATACAGCCATCATTTTCAGGGCAATTTGTTACTTGAGCATATTTTGCCCATACTACTTTACCGCCTTGAGTAACCACACCAAGTTCCGATATATTTACCTGAAATTAATTTTCAAAGATTATTAAACAGCTGTGTAGAAAAAAAAATACATTGGATGTTAAATAATAATCAGACACTATAATATCAACAAATAATAGGAAAATGCTTTCTAAATAAATTCTCATGCAAAAGTTAATTGCGATTCTGTGACTTAAAAAATAAAAATAATTTCGATTCTGCGACTTAAAAAACTTAATAAGCAAATAAATGCCAGGCACTGAAATTAGAAAAGTATCACTTCAATGATCGTTCCTTTTGTAATAACTCCCAGTGATGTGTACAGTGAGGAAGAAGGGTTTTTCTTCACTCCAACAATAGGTAATTGAAATGTAGTTTGTAACTCTGGATGTGTTACATGAGCCTATAAAAAGATCGAAAAAAATGAAAGTATTAATTTATAGAAATACATACTGTTTCTTTTTTTTTCTTTCTTACTAAAACATACTATAATTTTTTCTTTCGTGATGTTTTTCAGCATACTATAATTTTTTCTTTCGTGATGTTTTTCATAAACAACTTTCCAATCAACAATTTTCCTAGGACAACAGAGAACTAGTGAAAAGGAAACTTCTGGTAGGGAAACAAAATCATTATTAAAATTCTATACGACGAGAAAAGTTTACCTTTTTGAATCGCAAACCCATCGGTCGAATGAATCGTTCAAATTTTGCCGGCTTTCTCGTAAATGATTCACCAACAAAAGTAACTTTTGTAACCATACGTTTCCATCCTTTCCGACGAGTTTTACCAGTTTTCACTACTTTGAAAGCTTCTGCATCACTGACTGCTTTAACCGTTGGTATAGGTACTTGGTATTTACCCTAGAAAATAATTAGTTCTGATAAGCTTTGAAATTTTTTTTAGAGTTATACACTTCAGTTGATTTACCAGGAGGTTTTCAAGATTTCTCTACACTAACAGAGAAATAAACTATGAAACCAATAAAGCACTATCTCCGGAACATCTGGAAGTTTGCAAGTACTATCAAAATTATGATCAAATAACCGAAATGAAAAACAAACACAGAGAGATTCACATACCGCTTTTTCTTTTCGTTTCTGCTTGATCATCGATGACAGTACTTTACCGGTTGTTTGTTGTTTCCTGTCTAACAAATATGCTGGTACTACACCTCTTTCAGGTTCTTCGCTTGTTCCTGTTTGCTTTTTCTCCTCATGTTGTCGTAACAACCGCCGCATTTCTACCTAAAAAATAAAATAAAATCAGATTTTTCAACAGTTTCTAACTTTAAGATCAGAATTTGAAAATGATGAACAAACAAACCTTTTCAGCATACCGCTTTTTGTGATACAATTTAGCCTTGCGACCACGGATTTTCTTCGCATATTGAGAATGTTCATGTCCGGCTCGAGCATTACGTTTCCTTCTGCAATGAGTACAAAAAAAGTTGATCAAACCAGAGTGTCGAAAAAAAAAATATATATATATTATAATAATAATAATAAGAAAAAAAAAATATTATATACAATAAGACTACTCAAAAAATTCCTAAAAAATTTCAATTTATGTTGTGTCTTCATAATAAAATGAATAATCTTATAGGATCATCAATGCTTCTATGGACAACTTAAAAATATTTGCATATGAGTAACTGGACTACGCTGAATGGGGGAATATGTAAAAAATGGAAGAATCTCTATTTATCGATCTGGTACGGTACACAACTGTAACAGGGAAGATCTGGAACTATCCACAACTAAACTCGAAACAGAGGAAATCGTAAGCAAATAATACGTATAAATTCCTCACAATCTTTCCTCATAATCCAATCGACGTCCATGACGTTTACGATGAAGTTCGATATGCTCGTTTTGTGGCTACAAAGGAAATGACATAATACTCTAATTTGTATACAGGGAAAATTTTTTACTTTTGTAAATGTTTAAATTGATAATCACTGTAATAAAGTATAACAGAAGCATGGTTTTGCTCTACTAATAACAGAAAGGAACATGTTTCACAGTGCCAAGCATTAGTGTTTAAAATATGCACACATCCAAGAAAAAGACTCCAAAAAATGTATATATGAAGTTACTGGCCATACTACAGAAAATAAATAAACAAAATCCCAAAACTCAAAATGACCTACCATGGCGAACAAAAATTGTAACCATACACAAAATAATTTTAAGTAAACCTGAAAAAAAAAATATAAATTTCAGAACAAATTTCATGATAAAACATGGAAATCCAATACTAATACTAACTCAGAGGCAAATCAATACTAGTTGTATATCTTAGAAATTTAAGCAAATAGTCGTCAGTTTCTGTATGGGTCACTTTCCCCACAGTTACTGCCATCAAATACAGGGACTGCTAATAGAAAACATTTGAATATATCTCCTTCTTCATCATCCTAATTGATCCGGAGCGAGAAACTACACATCTCAGGTTTTGATTCTAACCAAGTATAACGACGAAATTTGAAATTACTCGGAAAAGAATCACTTGAACTGTGCAGCAGAAACGACAAGTTCAGAGATCAAAATAGCACAAACACTTTGAATGTTTTATTGAACCGTTTACACTTCGATAACACAGAAATATTCAAATCACACTGGCGTTTTAGTATTAAAAAAAAAAAAAAGAGTACACACTTAATAGATCTAACTAATTCACAGTGCTATCCCCCACTTTTTAATTTAAACGAATAAATTACATTTGTATGCATTCTACCTTTTCAAATATACCCGAAAAATTGATCCAGGATTATATTATAATTGGCGAAAAAATCAAAAAATAATCAAAATAAAAACCTAATGTGTGTCTTGGAATTTCTACAAATTTACCGATTACCCAAAATTTTGATATTATACCATCAAAGCAAAAATTCCTTTCAAGACAACAGCTCAATTTATATATTTCGCTTTGTAGTTCTCAAAAAAGAGAATTTAGTAATGATTCTTGAACATCCTTCAAAAGAAAACTAAAAAACTGGGATTCTAAATCAAACACAGGAAATGTGGTTGAAAGCACTCTCACAAAACCGGAATTTTGTAATTGAAATAGTTGAAGAGACTTTTTTTTCCTATAATAATTGAAAAAAAATTCCTAACAATAACATAAACATTTTTTTCTTCTTACTACTCCTGCTGTTCTAACACAGCAATCGAATTCATATAAAACCACCCCTCTTCTATTTTTCTCCACAAAAGACATCAATTGAATATTATAAAAAATCTGCCTACTTACAAAAATCTCAAGTAAAAACACCCACTTTCCTATATCAGCCAGTGCAATGGTTTAAAAGCACTAGATTCTAGAAAAAAAAAAATTTGGCATTTATTCGAAAGAAACTGTATTAATGAGATTAATATCACCGGATGAAATTTGATTATTTACTATATCCTAATTTAAGCCGAAATATGATTAAGCACTGATCATCATACAATCTCTTACCACAGTCTTTGTCCCTCCCCATTCACTTCGGTGATGATTTCCAGAAATCCATCCCATTGTCGAATAGATTCATGACCTCCCTAAATCCTCGAAACTGAAACATAAAAACATGATTCCTCTCATTCGTTTCCATTCTGTCCCATACCTTCTGTAATTTTTCCTTTAATTCATACTATCAGTGAGGAATCACCAGAGATAATGATCACAGGGAAAGTAAAAACGATGGATAATGAAGACGAAAAAGGAAGCATTCTCAAAAAAAAGTGATCACAAACACCAGTCTGCAGGCAACGAAAGCATTATTATGAGCGGAAGATCTTTTTGTAAGGAAACTCCGTTGGCGAATGACGTCGTTTACGCCGCCGATGAACCTGACGTGATAAAAAACTGTTCAATTCGGTATCACGTTGTGGGCAGGCGACATTAGCAGGGATACACAACGCCTGAAATTAATCAGCTCAATTTCCTCCTTCTTATTAACATAAGAGTGCAATCTGTAACAAGCCGATTTGTTTCAGATAGCAAAATACGCCATAACCTATCCCGTAAAAAATAGGTACAAATAAGCCATATATCAGAATACCTTTTGTAGTTCTTTTTCTATAAAAAGAGAATAAAAAAGAGCATTTTGATGGCTGCAACTGCCCATTAAACAACAAGGATAAGAAAAATTACCAACCTGTTGAAAGAATGAAACTGCTGGACTGTCAGTTTGTTCCGGAGTTGGACTCCGCGAAGAATACCCGTATTCCGCAGCACAAACAATTTTTGATAATAATTTCCAGATATCATCAAGAGAAACTCCATTATAACGACGCAAAGCATAAATTTCACGTGCTAGAGTTTGTCTACCCGCTATAAAACCTGAAAATAAATCCCCCAGAACATCCATTTGAAATATAATTCTGCTAACTTGTCTCATACCATAAGGTATGTAATACTAGGAATAAATGTCAACATGATGCTTCGTATATAATAGTTGCAAGTTTCTATTTAAAGACGGTTAGTATAGAGCCCAACGACATCAACTTTATTACTCTGTCTAGGAAATCGATTTTTTTTCCTTGTGCTAAAAATCTGTTCCAAGAAATTTCAAAATAAAAATACTACGACAAAAATGAGTTCAACCAAAAAGATGCATTAAACAATGGAAAACTACTTCTTTCTAGTAAACTATCATATGTTTGGCATGCAGCTATGTTACAACTGCAATATACTAAAAGTCTCATAACTGATTTTCAGGGAAAGTGGTAAAGTACCTCGATCATATGCTTTTTTCTTATGTTCGATACCACTTTTATAAAGTTGGGTAGTGGATGCAGCAGCTGTTTGCATAGCCTTCCACGATGGATTTCGATACAGGAGTGTGACCGACTGGGCACAACTCTCAAAATCGTTCCATAATAAATCATCACCTTCATCATCCGAACGTTTACCACCACCTTCATTCATTAAGAACCCTAACCACTTCCACCGAAAATCTGCAATAATGAAGGTTTTCATCTTTTGAATGAGTCAATTTTAGATATTCTGGTTGTGAATTATCGAAAACATCAATCGAAAAAGCCTCAAAAGTAAAGCTGTATGATTTAGGTGTCGTAGACAAACAAAGAGATCAGGGGATTTCCTAATTTTTAAATATTCAACTTGTAATCGTTAACCTAAAATCTACAAGTAAAAAAATTCTAAGGCTAAAGAACAACCTATAAAACACTCCTAATATATATATATATATAAGTGGTAATTACATTATATAGGGGGAGTTTCTCGAGAATTTATTATCGCTCTATCCCATCAATAAACGAAATCTTATTTTCAGTGAAAAAATAAAACTAAAATATTTACAATTCCTACGCTTATTACTTGCTTTGAAGGAAAACAATACTTGAAATGATAAACAAATTCAGCAGCGAAATAGCTAAATGCCGAGAAATACAAATTAAGAGACCTGTATTTAAATTGAAAGAATCAAAAATTTATAACGGCTAAATTACGTCATATGATATATCACAGACCAACTGCCTAAAATAATGAGAAAATTATTCCTATGTTGATAGGCTTTGAACTGATAAGATTTGTTTGTATATAATGGCATATATGATGTGCATCTATGCTGTCATAAACCCAACAAAAGCCTAGAAAATGAAATGTTCAAATTAATGGATGCAGTCTTAAATTTCAGCTACTCAATTTAAATGTTTAGTCTTCAAAGATAAGTTGGACTAACAAAGTTTTAAATAAAAAACTCAAATCATATGCAACTCAGTGCATTGATAGGGAAAATAATATGATTCTTATAACTCCCAGTACAGCATGAAACACTTGCCAATATCGTAAATAAGTAAATATAGCCATTATACCCAAATATCATTAAAAAAACATCGCACAATAATATCACCTTAAAAAAGCCTTGATATCGAAAAGAGAAAAATTTATGACTTAAGAAGCGAATATGTACTAAAAAAGCATCGTGCCAACATTCCAAGATGGCAAACTCCAAAGCAGCAACTAACCTATCCATATGTTCGACCTGCTTCCGATAATTGCTGGAAACTCTCGAGAAGCACCTCAAATCACTCTTTACACCTGCTCCACACCACATTTGTAATGCGGCCCGAATACCCGAGACACCATGCAATAACCAGACCTTCCCCTACCTGAAGTTACCCGTACCTCGGGAAAAGTTCCTTGCAAGAAGAGAGTGATGTTTAACCAGCTGTTCGATGCACTATGGGGATTTTTTGATGTGATAGTTGCATAATGCGGCTCGGCCAAAAAAACCCATCGCAAGGTCTTTGTCCGTGAAAAATTCAGCATTTTTTAAGTCGTACTTAATTCTTTTTTCTTTATGTAAATTAACGTGAATAGATGAAATTTTTATTAAATGCATTATACTTTTAAACATTATTTTAGGCACTTTAAGTCGTGCTGTTACACTTTTTTTAAATTACTAGAGGGTACCTAGTATAAATGATCATATCACATAATAAACAAATCACAGAAAGGGGTATGGAATATCCAGGAAAAATGTACTTATTCCGGATAAAATTTTTTATTACGTTTAGCATGATCTTGGATGATCTGAGCTGGTTTGAACTGCTCCGGCGAATAGGCCTCTGCATACCGTAACATATCACTTATAAGTTTATCTGCACCGTACATATCGATAAAACGGAACGGACCACCCTTGAACGGTGGAAAACCGATACCGAACACCGACGCCGTATCACCATCTGACTGAAACTCTTTTTTTTTAACTTAATTTTGGAACTGTCTAAAAATGCTTTCTTAGTTATATTATTATATGCATTTCTTCATCCAGTGAAAAAAAAAAAAATGAAATCAGAACAAGCGTCAATCTTCTGGGGTGATATTTTTTTCTCGCTGCTCTTTTTAACCGGACCAACAAGTCGGCTTCACATTTCTCCCAAGTAATATTTCTGCCAAGAACTTCTTTAGTTTCCATCTTATTAAATTGTCTTCACACATTATATTGTTTGGGAAATGAAATTAACTTTCTGAAAGTGAAGAAATAAGCTTACCGGTGATGAAATAACGCCCTCTTCAAGACAAATGGCTGCTTCATTTATGTAACGACACAAAATTCGAAGCTGACGGTCAGCAACACTACTTCTGTAAAAAAAAAAAAAATTACCGAATCAAAATTAGAATTATACTTAATACTGATAAGGAAAAACAATTATTAATTGAGAAACTCAATACAACAAAGATTGCGGAGTTTTACTGAACTAGAAACTAAATCTTATATGCTCAGAAACTAGTTAGCTAGCTTACACCGTTGAAACAGGGGTGAGTTGGTGTTTGTGAAGAATTCTTAGTGCGGCCTCGTTTACAGGTTTCTTTTTAGAAGTATTGAGTCGTCTAGAATCATCGTAGATAAAGTATCCTTTGCCTGATTTACGACCTTTGAACCCAGATGCAACCATTTCATCTAGTACTGCAATCGATCCACCACCAACTCGTAGACCTAATGCCTGGAAATGTGTGGATTGAAACTTCAATAAAGAAATTCATTTAATATTTAGATCATCATATCTGATCTGTGCTTCCGACATGACTGAAGACAGGTTAGATCATTAATAGCTGTTGAGTTTTCGTAATTAAGGAGCTTAGATTACTTACTGCAATTTGATGTAAAATTCAATTCAATTTTTAATTTTTCAGTTTTATCCTCACCTCTCCTAAGAACTTCGCAACATGTTGCGCCACATCAATCCCAACTTCGTCTGTGAGCGTCGCTGCACCCACTGGAAAACCGTATTGTTTCGTCATCTGATCAATTTCATCCGGATAGACACCTTCTTGAAGCAATCGAACAACTTCACTCATCATTGGAGCTAGGCAACGGACAACAAAAAATCCCGGACAGTCCTGCACGCCAATAAGAAATCGTGAATGATTAAAGGTTCATTTTGACTTGAAAAAGTGGAATAAGTGAAACTTTTATTTCGCCTGCTACAAATGAGTGATAAAAAATAGAAATGTCATGAAGTCCAAGTTACTATTTTTTTTATAGATTACTGATGAATAATCGTCGCAGTCTTTTGATCTCACATAAAGATATCGGAATTATCGGTAAAACAACAAAATACATTCACAGTTTTGAGTAAGAAGAAAAAGAAGCCAAAAATCTCAAAATTGAGAGCTATTGAATAATTATAATTGTGCAAAATCAATTTACCTTAACCACTACAACCAATTTATTTTGAGTTAATCCTAATTGTACAGCTACAGCGATAGTTTCTTTACTCGTATCTTTCGTAGTTATTATTTCAAGCAGTTCCATTCTTTCAACTGGAGAAAAATAGTGCATCCCAATGATACGCTCTGGCCGAGTGGAAGCCGATGCGATTTCTGTGATTGGAAGAGCTGAAGTATTGGATGCAATAATACAGTGTTCTGGTACTACTGATTCCAGCTATAAGAAAAGTTTTTAATTATGTAAAATAATGAAATATTAATTCATTTACTTATCGGAATCTCCATCTAACTCTATGGATACAAAAATATCAAAGCAGTGTATTAATAATTTATCATCGTTTATTAACTAACCATCAAATAATTTTATTGCTGGTTATATGCATTCCTCTAAATCTGACCGAATTACTAACAATCCTTTAATATTTGGATAAAAACTAATTTGATGGTAAATTTAACTTCAAATTTCAAAAAATGTTTGGAGCTTATTTGTGTTGTAGACTACAGAGGAAATTATTTCAGTTACATAATTCCTCTTTCCATAAATACCAGCAACATGAAACAAGGAATCTTTTACTTAGTGAAACTCTGATCAAAAATTAACAAACCTTCTTGATTATTCCATGTTTCAAAGGAAGTTCTTCAAAAACAGCTTCAATAGCGACATCACAGTCATGTAAATCATCATATGTGCAAGTTGTTTTTAAATTAGCCATAAATTTATGCCTCTGGTAATCAGTGATTTTTTTTCTTTTCACCATCCCGTCATAATGCTTATGAATTTGATTCTGACCTCGTGCCAAGCCTTCGTCATCCCTATCCAGTAAATACGTTTGAATATCTTTGTCGATTGAAACATTTGCAATGCCAGCACCCATCAAACCAGCACCAATTATGGCTAATTTGCTGAAAATTATGAATCATTGTAAGGAAAAATGAAATTCTCAAAAACTGCAGAAAATTCCACTATAAAAACAAGTTAATTAACAAAAATTTTTAGAAAAATAGAACAAAGGTAATGATAAGGTATTTCAACTTATCAAATGTTTACACTGATTTTTGTGGGTGCAGTTTCTTTTTTGGCTAAGTAACGCTTCAAAGTATAGTAATTATAAGAACCTATAAAAAAATGACCTCTAAAAACACTTTGGAAACATGATTAAATTTTTTATAAGTCTAAAATCTAGGAAATAGGAAATCTAAGAAAACAGAATATTATGATTTATGATTAAGGAATGAAAAGATTTGGAAGCTACAGTAAGCCCAAGTATACATTCCAGCATTTCCGACACTAATGAAATCATTTATATGAAATCGACACTAATGCAAATTGATTGAGTTACATCTCGATGTAAACATTAACTACTATCTGACTTTTTCACAAAAGTGAAAATTATTAAATGTTTCACCGTAAAGACTGAAACCATTACTCAATTTTTTTCGCTTCTCCAAACTTATTTCGTCGGCATTCGGTTCTACCCTTGAAAATACCAATCAGGGCTTTACATTGTGTTGTCTGAGTTAAGTCCCCAAAAGCCTAAAATGGATAACTATCAATTCCAATATAAATGTATAAAGCATTTAATTCTAGATAAATATAGTAGCTTTGATAAATTATAATGATGAAGTAACCTCTGATTCCTCCATATAACCTAAATCAGGCCCTCTCGTTACTCCACTTTCAATAACATCTAAGATTTTTAACGGAGCCGGGTAGTTTCCAAAAGTCATCTTCGTAACCTGAAAGAAAACAGTACTTGATTTTTTGAACCAGAAACAAGTATATAAAACAATGCGTTTCTCTCCTTAAATGTGGAGACAACATCTGAGTTCGAACCACTTTCACAAATTTGAAATTTGTATATTTCTGAAACTTCAATCTAAAACATTTTTCTAAAGAAAGTGTTAACTCACATTTTCGCGTGCTTTCTTTAAAATGAAATGTTTGAAAATCGGAGTTCTTGTCAGTACATAATTTGTGGTTTTTTCCCACAAAGATCCTCTGCGATTTACCTCTAACACACCTATAGACAATTGTCGTGCAGCATCAATGGCAATCTAAAAACATGTCTTCCATTACATATTTTGTAAAGCTTGAAATTTTGTAAAAATGAGAAAATTGCGGGTATGCATTCTTGAAAATAAGAGCCGCGAAACAAGTTAGACTAAACATACTAAAAAATGATGCAGATAATTATAAATATCGTTTGAATTCCCATAATTTCCTCTTTTCCTTACAAAATTTATTATTAAAACTAAGAACTTTGAGTTTCAGAAATCGAGAAAATAATGTAACAATATTTTCCAAATAAGAAATAAAGAATTTCGAAAATACTCATTTGTTCAAGATAATCATAGTTATTATCTTCAGCAGGTTTCACACCAGCTCCGATAGGTTGCACAACACGGTCAATTAGACCTATTTTTTTCGCTTTTATAGCTGATAACGTTTTCCCAGTAAGCATCATACCAAGAGCTTCAGTGATCGATACCAACTTTGGCAAACGTTGTGTACCACCAGCACCAGGAAGTAAGCCTAATTTTACCTGAACTCGAACAACATAAAAGCAGCAAAATTGTAAAAGTTTTAAATTAAATTTGATCATTCAAGTATTGACTATGCCAAATAGATTACAAAAACATTATTATTTAGTTAAGCTATCTGATGCTGTAGTAATAGCTATAATAGTAAACACAAAGGATTACGAGAATTTCAAATATAATAATATAGTAATAAGAAGCATGAATAGTAATAAATCTTATGACATGTACCTCAGGTAATGCAAATAAAGTTTTTGGCACATTCATTGCAATTCGGTAGTGACAGGCAAGTGCTAGTTCTAAACCACCACCCATACATGTACCCATGATGGCTGCAACCACCGGCCTTTGACTATTTTCAATTTGTAAAAAGTCCCGTTGTGCATCGGACGAAATTTTTCGAGCGTCTGCAGAACTTTTACACTGAAACATTTTGTACTTTTTCTAAACTTTTTAATTCCTTTAATAGGAATTATTAAGTGTCAGTTTTAAATATTCACACTACATTTTTGAAAATTTAAATTTCAATGGGATTTTCCTTCTATGTAAAGAGCCATGGCATTGCTATAACTGTCGTCAATAGTTATAGCAATAATAATAATAATAAACTATCAATAAAATTAACTATCATCGATAAAGGGAGATAAAATATAGTTTTCTAATGCTATAAAGTTCATTCAGTTTTCTACAAAACTACAAAGATAGGGCATTCAACAGAAGGAACTCACTATAAACTCTGTAAACTTCTTATATAAATGCCAAGTTCAATGCTGTAAATTATTGTTGAGATCAAGCAATTACTATATTTTGGGATTTTAAAGAGAAACACTATTTACCTTGGACAACATTTCGATATCTGCACCGGCGATGAATGTATTCGGTTTCCCAGATATTATCACTACTCCTTTAATAGAAGCATCGGCATCAATACGACTCATACAGTATCGGAGATCATCCGCAACTGCTTCATTCAAAACATTTTCCTGTAGAAAAGAAATAAAATCTCATCCAACAGCAGTGGAACAGTAAATCAATTTCTTTGACAAGAAACAAAAATATTAAAAACAAAAGAAATGATCGAAGCAGAAAAAGTTAAATTGAAGGAAGACTGCTAATTATTTCTAAAATTTTATTTACAATGAAATCTGTCAACAATAAAAAAAAAATGATCTGTTATAAATGCTAATATTTGGCTTACTTTCGCATTAGGAAGGTCGATTTTCACTACAGCTACATTATCTTCTATTTTTAACGTCACCGTTTTATGGTCACTAGATTCAATCATCTCTTGACCTTTTGAAATAGTTTCAGATTTGACCGCAATTTTGTCTGGAAAATAAAATAAAAATTCTTCCTGTCTTTTTTGTAGCAACAAAATACGGATTTCCCCTTAAGTTCCATTACAGCATTTAGATTTTATCCTCATCAGGCCGGAAATTTGAAATGAAAGTTATTGCCTAACATAACTTAGTTGTCTAATTTTACATTTCAAAATTTGAAATCAAAGAACTCACCGTCCGGTTTGATATGCACATTTGTACTTGCAAGTCGGGCAATGTTTCGCACTAGTGATACTGAATTAAAATCACATTTAATTAATCAGTCCTGTTGAATTTCGAAAGCAATGATTAAACTGAGAAATGTTTTCAACTCAATTTATTCATGCTGACTTCATCAAAATAATTCAAATTATTTCCATCATAAAATTTCATTCAAAATCGATTAAAATAGAAATGAGAAAATCTCACTACTGCGATATTTCGACCAATGTACTGATACACCTCGGACAAATAACATCGAAACCTGCAATAGTAGAAGGTGAGCTAATTCAATTCAGTTGAATCCATTTAAATCACGACAGTCATATGAGAATGAAACAAATTAATAAAATTATTTTATAGAATGAAACAAGCTAGCAAAATTATCGCATAGGATGAAGCAAACTAATAAAATTATCTCATAACGATTCATTTTTACAATGAACAAATATCAAAATCTTAGTACGGTACAGTATCCCAATAATTATTTCCTAATTACCATCCCTCTTCTTTCTTTACTTCTTCTCTTTTCAATTTTTTAACAGAAAGAAATTTTTATAGCAAATCATTGATTCAAACAAGTTCAACCTATAAATTTTTTGATGATGGTTTTGCTTCGCGTACGCATATATTATGATTCTCGTCAAGGAATTACTTCATATCCAACTATTAGTATCATTCATTCAATCCAATGATAGAATACAGCACGAACAATGGAAAGAAAATATTCGTCCGAGATTTTTACTCATTTATTTAAATCTCAAAAAATACTTCAATTGATCAATTCTTTCGCTCAAATTACTAATAATACGTTAATTCATTTAACTGTCTAATATTTCTTCTCATCATTCCTTTTTGATCTAATTACTAATTATCCAATTACCTATTCGAATAGTCGAAATCCAAATGTTACAGAAGAAATGATTGAATGAACTATTTGAAAAAAAAGAAAAGACACCAAGAGAAGATTTCATGAAAGAAAAGTCATTGAAATAACCATGCGAATGCATAATCATTTAATAACAGATGTATTTCAAAAATAAACAAAATAAACTGACCTCATTTTATTCTCAAATCCTAAACAATCTTTAATTCCTATTTTTATTCATTTCTATTCTTCTCATTTTTTCTCGAAATGAAATAATTTCTTAAGTTAATATTGATGAAATGTATGCTATTAATACATCACAACGGGTACAAAGTACGCGTGAACGAGTGGATCACAAAAATGAGACCGCTGAACTCTGTTACTAACAACAACAAATTATGAAGTGAATTCATTGATCAATTTCGAAAAATGGAATGATTTACCTTTTCTTTTCCTTCTCTCCATCTATAAATTACAAAAAAAAAAAGATTCCAATGAATTTTATATTTCCAGTAAAAAGAAAATTCATTAAAATACATTAACAAATAAATTTCACTGAATTAATTTCCATAAAATTTCTAGTTTAAGTTATTAAATTAATAATTCGAATAAACTGATAACATAAAAAACAAACATCTTGTAAATGAATTTATGAAATATGAGTCTCTTTACCATAAGATTTAAAATACGGTTATTGTTATTATTTCAATAAAATTCACAGGCACTATTGATTAACACAATCACATTCGTTATCACTGCATATCACTACAATACTCACCGTTTGTTATACATTAGTTTACATATCGATTCAAATTTTAAGCATATCCATTTCATATTCAGAATCTAATAGCAAGATTTTATTTTGCTAGAAAGATATACTTTAAAAGACAAACATTTAAAATGCCAAAAATAGTGCATTCACACCTAAAATCAATAGCGAGAATGCAAGAAATCTGGAAGTATTGTCATTTAGTCGTCTTGACCTCTATATTGCTTTTCCTCACCTCTACTATTGCTTTTCTTGACCTCTAGCATCGCCATCTCTAAAAGCTGCTTATACCGTGAGCATATTATCAATAGCCTTATGAATTAATATTGCATATATTTCATGCCAACTTCAAATCTAATCTCAATATGATCTTGTGTTCAATCTCTAAGCATAATCTCAGTACTTAAAAATTCGACTTCAACAACAAAATAAAAAAATAGCACTCAAATCCTGGACATGACCTCTATCAACTATTAAAAATATTATAATTATCAGTTAGTGCAAAAGATAAATAAATTACGGAACTGAAATTGGGCGGTCATTGCAATACTGCAAATATGAACCAAATAAATAGAACGAAAGAACCAAAAATACACAAACAACCGTATTAAACTCACCAACCCATCCACTCATCCACTTATCCACCCACTAACAAAGGAAATGCGCAAAGATGTCAACGATAACTCCGCCTTATCCGGATGGGATATTTTTTCGTAGCGCGTCCAGATCCGTCGGTTTGATGATGACCTGTTTCAGCGAAATGTGTTGGCATCCAAATTTGCCATTGGGAGAGAATTTGTGAGAGATTGGGCGGTGTTTGTTAGAAATCGGTTGCAGGTGTCCTAGGTGTTACAGGTATTATCAGAGGTGCTACTTGAATACTTTAATGAAGAAATGACATAATTGGGATGGAATTTTGATATCTAAACTAACATTATGTAACATTTTGCTCGTATTTTATTAACTCCAAATTTATAATTGGTATTTTTTTAGTATTGATATTCATTTAGCCCTATTCGAAATCTAATGGTTGAATTGAGTGGTAGAAGCACTCTTCAACATAGCTTTGATAATTCTGTTTTTATTATACCAGCGGTGATCGTTGCCGCTATTGTGGGTCAGTTTTTTTACAGAATTTAAAATAAAATTTATTTATTTCATTTTGTCTAAAGGACTTTTCCTGTTGCATGTTATTGAGCTAAATCTGACATTACAGTTTCTTTTTTCCTTTTTTTTTAATGGGTGGTTTAACTAAAACGTATGACAAGTTTAAGTTAGTTTGATTTGAATCTGATGTATAATTAGATTTAAGTTTCACTAGAAACGAAAACAATCCATAGATTTGAATATGTTTTAAAATTGTTAAAGTTATTGTTTTTGGGTTAATATTTTATGTGCTTAGTAGATGGTGAAAATAAAAGTAATCAACTCTTGGAGAGCTGTCACTATTATAGTTTAAGTTTTTATCGGTTTTCATTTCATAACTCATTATGTTACATTGAAAATATTGTCGAAAGAGGTTCTTCATAAATTTTATTTTAATATAAATGAAGGTTAACTTTACAATTTTAGCACTGGTCACATATAAGTTAACAAATTCAATAAAATTGAAACAAAAACGCGAAGAAGAAAAGAGGCGCAAACGGGAAGAAAAGTCTAAAAAGAAGAGTTAATCTGGTGAGAAATTTAGATAGAAGATTTGCGTTGATAGTGTTGCAGTGTTGCGAAATGCGCTTCAATGTAACTTATTAATTCTCAATGGTATTATCACTTCTTGCATTCTGTTCTCTGTGATTATCGGATAATTGTTAGTCAGAAAATTCTCTCTGAAAGAAGTGAAAGGAACGAGTTCCTAATGAATTTTATTTTTTGATTTCTCTAATGATTTTAAATTTGTTATCATTATTTTAATAATTATTATAATTCGTATTATTCAAATCTATCAATTTTTGCCATGGTTGTGGAAAGTAAACGGTTGTGTTGTGTGACTTTCCGGAACAAGTTTTGTAGATTGAGGAATATCAATTGACACATTAATAATCTCACTTCCTTGTGAAGATTTTCTTAATTGGTCATTTCAGTCTTTTTTCTTGGTTTTATAACTTATTTTTTCTCTTTTTTAACTCTTCATTGTTATCTTTTCGGTGTATATATATATATATGACATATCGGTGGAGTATGGTGGTATTACATTTATTGCCGGTATTGGGATAAAGATACAAAGAATATTTCATTTTTTATTCATTTTACGAAATATTGATTGAATTATCTTCTGCATTTGCAGCGTGCAATTTGATTTCAAATTTCAACTATTTCTACTGCTTAGATGCCTTCTTCAGTTTCGTTCCTGTACTTTTTGTTTTCTTCTATGAAATCTTTCATTTTCAAAAAAAGATAAATAAATATAATATATAATGTCATTATAAAGGTCTTTTTTATATAAGTTATTTTTTGATCTTTTTTTTGATATATTGTCTTCTGTTATTGCTATAGTATGTTTAAGTAATTTTAATGATCTTTCTTTTTCTGCATTTTGCGGATTTGTTATCAGTGAGTGAAATTCTCATTGCGCTTTTAGGGAACTGTAAAATGATATCACTGGATAACGAGGTTTCAAATTGATGTTAGACCATTTTCTGAATTGATGACATTATCTAAAAGCATAAGGGCGAAAGATCAGATTTATGTTTCCATAAAGTAACTTATTGTTTACTGTACATGTGGTTTAGATTTGGTTTAGAGAGGTGTTTTAATTATTTATTGACAGATTAATCGATTGTTTTTTAGATTCAAATGGTTTTGTATTTCTTGTACTTCATAACCTTTAACATTTGGGAAATAATCTGTGCTATCAATTTATTCGTATATCTTTAGACATTGCATTATTTCCATAACATTTGCCTATTCATAGCCTTACTCCTATGCAACAATTCGTGGCCTCGGGATGGTGCAGTTTAAAAGATGTTTGATCAATAATATGTTTGGTTTACGACTTGAAAAATGCTTCCAATTCTGAATATGTGCAATTGAAACTTATGAAATGTTGTACTGTATAAGATCCTACAAAAATTCCACCAAAATTTGCGAAATTTTAAAGACATCTAATTCCTAATTTTTCAAATCTTCATGATGCACACAGATTATTACTTAGTGAAAAAAGTAAAAATTTGATGTAATATATTTTAAACAGATTTTAATCCTTTCGGTTACGAAATGATATATTATGTGATAAGAAGTGATACAAACATTTCTCTGTGATTTATTTCTGCTTCCGCAAATGGATAATGGTTGATTGTTTGTTGCTATGGTAATTGAAAGTTAAATGAAATAAATTCTACACTCAGATATATCAGTTTTTGATTGCATCAGAAGTAATCCCAGTAGTAATAATAATAGTTGGTATGTCGGTGTTTCATGTTCATGAATGGCTTACGCTTGAATTAGTTGATGCTAATGTTTGTGCAGTCGGTGAATTAATCGAGAAACGAGGTTTGAGATTTATTCTTTGAAATTTTCTGATTAAGAAAAGATACTAAATGAAATTTCATTTTTTATTAATGAACAAAATTAGCTTATTTCGTTGAGTGAAAATAAAGTCATGTAAGTTATACTAATGATTTATACAGATGTCAGTTCTTTGTTGTTTTAAAATTTAATAAAAATTTGAGGAGAAAACATATTGTGTATAAAAATTATAAATGAGAGCTTACTTATGTCTTTAGGAATGGGTAAGCTTGAAAATATTATTCATTGGTTTATAATAAAAAAGATTTTAGTATAGCTTATTTGCTTGGAAAAAATCTATCGCATATTTAACTAATGTTTCTTTTTGTGCTCTTTTTTTTTTCAAATGTTTAGTAAATGATTTAATTTTTAAACTTGATATTCCAGAAATTACATCAGAAAATCTTGTTTGTTTAGTAAATGGTTTATTCCTTGAATTTGATAAAATTTACACCAGAAAACCTCATAAAGTAAATTTTTAATCTTTAAATAAACTATTCCATAAATTACATTCGAATTATTTCTTATACTGTATTTTATTTGAACTAACTTTGTAGATCAGTTAGTGGTGGGTAGTTTAACGGGTCGAATATGGATCATTGATCCGGGTCGAGCAAACGATACGAAACAACAGTTGTTGAGCTGTTTGTTAGAGGAAGATTTATCTGCTGCCATACTGGACATTGCTATTGCAAATTTCATTTCTGGTTTAGAACAAAATTTAATTGCCATATTATTGCCACAAAAGCTAGTAATTTATCATCTTATTTCAGGTATTTCAAATTTATTCACTAATATTCATAACTAATCAATTGTTAATTCATATTTTAGAATATTGCATAAAATTTCAGATGGAGAAATTTATCAATTAAATATCACCTATGAACATACTATTACTGCCATAGCATATAATATGTGCATTGGTACATTTGGCGGTGCGACTACAGCGCAAATATGTGTTCAAGATATGACGTGTTCAATGATGGTTTTTGAAGCGGAACATCAAATTTTTCATCGTTCGGTTAATTTAACAACCGCTCTACAACCAGGTCCAATCTGTTATTCACCTCATTCTGATTCAGTCATTATAGCATCATCTTCTGCTATTTTAATTTCATACAAATATTCCGTTCTTGCTACCGCATCAAGTGGAAAAAGTGGAAAAAAAGTTGCCGTATGTTTCTTGTTCTACCTCAATTTTTGTTTTTTAAAAATGTAGTTTTATTAAATATATAATCATTATTATATATTCAATAAAATTAAATATATAATTATTATTTATAATTAATTATTGCAATTATTAACATTTATAACTTTGCTGATATTTTATTTAAGAATTCAATTTTATTAAATATATTGTAATTTATAAATTACAACTACTTCTTAGTATTATAATATCTCGTTGATTATTTATTTTAATCATATTTAATTTTAGGCCAATTGGACATTTAATCTTGGCGATTATCCATTAGATTTAGAAGTGATTAATACATCACTCGTGCAACCATCCATTATTATCCTATGCAAGAGAACATTGTTTTGTTTAACTCATGGTGGCACCTTAAGATTTACATATCGTTTACAGTGTGTTGCTACTTCACTTCTTGTTTATGATTTCAGTTAGTTTCAAATTTTTAATTACCAATTATGCATTTATCACTTCTTAGCGATCATTTAATCATTATATGTTTAATTAGTTTTCAATAATTATATAATTTTGACATTTCTAAGTTCGATTAACCACAACAACTTAATATCTTTTTATCATTATTTCTTTAATTATTACATTTATTAATTAATCATTCAATGAAATATTATCAACTTATTTGTTGAATTTTTTTTTTTTTCAGCAGATGATGCATATATAAAATTATGCATTTCTACAGCTACACATATGTTACTTTTTTTGAAAGATACAATTTTAATTTGGGCGGCACAACTTCTACAAAATGCAATTCAAATTCGATTATGTACATTTAGGTTAGTAGGTTTGTAATTTTATTTTTTTTTTTTATTTTTGCTATTAGTTTTTAAATATATATTTAGTTTTTTTATAGTTTTTTTTTTTTTCTGATCTAGTTTATAATTTTATAAATCATAATACAGAAATATCGCAATGATAATTGAAAAAGCTTTTTAAATTCTTTCTTTTTCTTTTTTAATTTTTTTTTCAAATTTTTCATTTATACAATTTATATTGTTATTATTGTTGTATTATTTAAGCTTAGTATATCGTTCGATGCTGGTGATTTTATCAAATTCCCGAATATCCGTTAGTTATTTGGGTACCGAACCATCGTTATTTCGTCTCCCAGCGCCACAAACACGCTTTATTGATTTTCAACAGCGTTACAAAGAATTTATTGAACTTGAAGCATTAATACGCAAAAAACCGCTCGAATCAACCGAAGGTATTTCATTTTTTTTAAATGATTTTTTTTAACTAATGTTTTCCAAATATTTATTTATATTTACTTATATATTTATATTTAGTTATATATTTATATTTACTTATATTTATATTTGCTTCTTTATCATAAGGAAAATATATTGCTTATAAATAAGAAATGTTATCATATCGATACTAAATTCATCTGATAAGTAGTAAGAAAAATATTTTCATATTTCCAGTTATCGATTGATATGTTTTTCACATTCAATTTGTCTTTTATATATGAGTTTTACTTTTTATTTTTTATATTTGAGTAATTTGTCTTTTATATTTGATACTATCAATATTATACTTCATACTGGTAAATAAGATTTATTATTGTTTCGAAATTTATTCATTTCTCTTTCTAAATTGTTTTTTCTAGAGTTAAAGAAAAAGAAACAGTTCAATAATAGGAGGAACTTTTTATCTTTCTTTTATAGGTATTATATGGAAAAATCCATTAACATTGAATTGCTCATACGATGGCTTTGATTCCAAATCGGTACGATCGTCTTCTTTTTCTTTTTTCTTATTTTTTATTTTTTTAAATCATTCCAGCTCTAAGATAGAAATCATAAATGATTTGATTATAAAATGAGGTGTAGGTGTCATATCACATTTTAGGTTAGTTACTATGGAGTACTTTTGAAAAGTATTAACAGGCTGTTTTCTTTGTCTTTTCATAAATGATAACTTAAAGGGAGGATAACTTTTTTTAACTTTTTTTTTTTAAATTCTACTTTAACGGAAGAATTTAAAAATAGAAATGGAGGAAGCAAAAAATCAAAATTTAAAGTTAAATCTATGAATTAATTCACTTTTCATTCAAATAATTGTACATTATAATAATTCAAATATTTTATTGTCTTTTAGAGAGCGGAAAAATCATCAGAGGAAGTTCCATCTTTAACGTTAAATATTGAATTATTAAGTGAAGTACGCCTCGTTGACGTTAAACTGATATGCTCAACAGCATTTCATATTGAACACAAATATGTATCATTTCCTGATATTGGTTCGTTTAATTATATAAATGAATTTAATGAATCATAATTCGATCATTCGAATTGTTCCATCAAGTTAACGTAGTAGATAAATCCAATTTCAATTATAAAAAACTACTTAATCTTAAAATATTCCAATTTCAATCTATTTTATAATTTATCCCTTCATTAATAGCAGCATATTTCTTGAATTAAAATTATCCTTTTCATAAATTCCATTTTATTCACAATTCTGAATAGCTTTGATTCTTTTTTTTTTGTTGCTTTTAAGGATTTAAAGGATAAAAAATTTCAGTAGTATTTTCTTTTATCATATCAAATTGATTATAGATAATTCACAAAAAATATCAACAGGTATATACGTGTTATACCAACCTGTATATGATTTGCAATGTAAATTTTTTGCATTCTCCTCCCAGTTTGGTTTGTTATCAACTTTTTTTACCAACGTTATATTATTATAATTTGAGCATTTAATTATAACTTTAAGAATTAAATCAAATGTCTAATATTATAACTTCAGGTAATTTATCGAAAGCATATGGAACACTTTTTATATTATATCAAAATTAAAAAGTAGTACAACTGTATTTTATCCAAGCAGCTTCAATTTTTCTTTCTAATTAATAAAATGGGAAAATTTCTTAGTAAAATTAATAAATGATAAACGAAAAAAAAAAAAAAAAAACAATAAGCACTGAACCATTAGTTAAATATTATCAATTAGCTGCTCCATTTTCAAATTTTACATTCCGACACTTCTTTTTCTTTTTCACAAATAATTTTGCACTTAATTATACTTATACAAGGAACCAATTAATAATTATTATATATACCATTAACTAAATGAGCACTGTTTATTCTATCTCTTTATCAATTAGTCATCTCAAATAATTTATGATCAGAATACATTTATTCAAATTTTGTACTTTCTTTACCTTCTCTCAAGGTGATGTGATCAGTAAAGAAGTAAAAATGCCGTTAAATTTAATGTGTCATGCAGTAAATAGTCAGCGAAATTCACAATATAAAGTAACCATCGAATCATCATTACCTGTGCTTGACTTAACACAAGTATTTCCAGGTATATATTTCAATTATTTTCTTTCTTTTTCCTTTAATTTCAACAATTTTTATTGATAAAATCAAGTTAAAAAATAAAAATCATTGATAATAACAAAAATTTTTTCAAGCTGTTATTCAATTTTATTTAGAAATATTGAAAAGAAAGTTGAATCATAATTTTTTTGCGATTTGTTTAAATCATTAATTCTTTTATTTTTGTTGCTATCTTATAATAGGAAGAGGTATAGTAAATTAGCATTTCATAATAGAACAACTCTCTCACAATATCAATTATAAAATTTTTTCTTTGACTGCTAATTATATTAATAGCTTTTATTTTTTATTTTTTTTGTTTTTCAATAATCATCTTACTGTATTCAAACGTTACCTTTTACTGTACTCTATTACAATAATATTTTCTTATCAGGAAAATTATTAATATATTGAAAATGAGCAAATAAAGCCAAAAAATTTCCCTTTTATGAATTATTTCTTATATCAAAAATTATATGATTTTGCAGAATTTGAAACTGAAAATAGTACAGCAATTGGTTTTCGACCGTATCTATCAGAAATGATTATTTCAATTTATACATCTCAGAAGTATAGTAAGTACATTTTAACTATGTATTATTTTTTGTTGAATGAGAAAAGCTTATTAGTCATAATTTATTTATTTTTTCTCTTCTAGAATTTCTCCTTATATTCTCTTTGATCTTTTCGCTTATTCTAAAAGCATTTCTTTATGTGTTCAAAAAATTTTCCATACAACGAAATACTTCTTATCATTGCTTATCATTTTATAGAGCGTTATCGAATTCAAGCCGAAAGCCTAAATTTTATTTATTTATTTGTGGATGAATTAATCAAACGAATACAAACGAAACAACCGGAAGTAAAATTGAACTGTACACTTTCATTAGATCAGATTCTTCATGAAATAAATGTATATGCTGAGGTTTGAATAATTTCAAATTCATATTTATCATATAGTATTAGATTATACCTGTTATTTCAAATGATTTTTGATTTAATCAAATTTTATCAGTTATATGATTTTCTTCTGTTCGTTCCATCAAAATTGCTTTGAAATATGAAATGAATTCAATGACAATGTTATTTTTATATCCGATGTACTATTACTTTTACTTTTTAAAGCTATAATTTCTTCAATAAATCAATTTTTCGGCTTTTTATAAATCTTTGCTATCTTCCATTTTCTCCTTTTTTTTCCAGCATGAAAAAAGAAAGATGGAGGAAGAGAAAGAATTGGAACGATTCTGCACTCTTTTACGTAATGTTCAAGTGGCTATTTTAACAAAACTTAAAGGAGAGCGACCAACAGAAGTGGATCATTTGAATACTTTATTAAATTATACATATCAACAGGTTTAGTTTCTTTTAGTTTAGTTTTTTTTTTTCTCAAGTTTAATAAACTGTTATGGTTCTTTTTATTCTTCCTTAATTATGAAATTGTATTTATATTTTTTATAAAAAATACCAATTAAAAAAAAAAAAAAATTTTAGATATTATGCTGTGTGGATCGTTTAGAACAGCTAAATGAAACATTACGTTCTGCTAGCTTATCAGTATCAGCGGCACTTAATTTAATATATTTGATAACTTTCCTTAAGGGAAATCCATTACCTTTGGATGGTACTATTGTCAGTAATTCTGGACAGGTAATGTACAATATTTTCATTTTTATTTAGCAGTGACAGAGAGAGTAGATAATATGTTATTGCATAATATCTTTATCTAAAATTGATAACATAGATTAGGAGAGGTTGCATGTTAGCAATTTCATTGATAAGCAATATTATTATTAATTTTTAATAAAAAAATAAATGATGCATAAAGATTTTTCCATTTCTTATGTTATTTTTTTACTTCAAATTTTCAGTCGATTTGGGAACGTATCAAATGGACAATATCAACATTTAAACCGATCGATTTAAATATTGATTTTTCATCAAATGATTTAAGATATTTTCTACAAAGTGTTTGTGAAGGTAACTGTAGTACAATGGCATATATACGTGAGGATAGTAAAGAAGAAGAAAAAGATACTGATAACGATGATAACGATGAACCGCAGCAATCCGAATCAATCGTTGATCCTTTAATTTCCGGTTTATTGTCTTTTGATGAATTTAATTAGTGATGATTATATTCACTGGATTGATAAGTATTTGTAAATAATTGATAAACATTTTTGCATTTTTGTTATTTACAAACAATCTGTTATTTATATATTTTTTAAGAATAAGAAGAGAAAAAAAGCTTCGAAAATCGAATTTTTTCATTTCACAAAATATTACTTCGCACCCATTTTCAATAATATCTTTAATTATATTAGTTATTCATTACTTTTCCTTTTTAATATCATGTAGTTCTGTACTCATTACTATTTATTTTGATAATATATATTCTTTCTACCATTTAATGCTTTCAAAAATGCTTAAATAGAAGTTTCAACTTTTTCAAAATAAGGAGAAAATCACTTTTGAATTTGTAAAGTAAAAGTAATTGCTGAATATATAGCATAACAAGCTTAATAATTAACAGTAATTATTACAAAATATGAAAGTTATTTCTTCTCTAAATTTTATTCATTTGTTTCTCGTTATATTGGATAAATCTTCGTTATTTCATCAAATCATTAATTAATTAGCAAAAAAAAAGCACCACTTATTCATATAATTAGTACTAATTTATTATTATTATTTATAGCTAATTTATTATTATTATTAAATTAGTACTAATTTATTATTAGATTTTATATTAACAACTTATTGATATTAATATTACTTATTAATATTAGTAAAACTAACTAAAAAAAGAAAGGTTTGAATTTATAAATTAAAATTAAATAGCATTTTTGATAAGCTTATCTTTAATGAAATACACTTTCATTATATTTTACAGTGCCTTATCATTGGTGATAAGTAAGAAAAAGAAGGAAAGAGGAAAAAATGTTGTTATACTTCGATTGATTATGATAATAAAATGAAAATTGATCAAATAAATGAGACATTTAATTATCTTTGATAATTTACCATTCACCGCTTCTCACTTATCAATTTTCATTCATGTATGATTTGCATAAGTGTATACTCTATTACTCTTATTTTCACATTAATATTCCAATTGATACAAGTAAATAGTCAACTTATTGGTCAAGGTGAACCTTTTTTCCATTTTTCTGTCTTTTAAAAGTTTTTTTTTTTATAATTATAAAAAGAAAATTTTGTATCTGTATTGCTAATAGATATTGAAATAATTTAAAATGGGAAATTTTATATCATCGAATTTCTTTTTTTTTAAAAAAAAAAAACTTCATTTCATAGTATTCTTTCTTCCTTACTTCGCATTACAGTTAAGTTAAAGTACTTAGTTAATTATATATATTATTATCATCATGCTATTTACTAATTAATTTCAATTCAGGAATACCATGTACAAAAGAAGGTGCTAAAATCAATTTGGCGGACGTAACACGTGGTTTAGTTACGTCACCTTGTTATCATTGCATATGTAAGGTTGGCGTTATTCATTTACTTTACTGGACAATTTAAATTACTAGTTTGAATTATCAGTTTTGATTTATCACTTATCATTCCATAATGTTACTGAATCTTTCAAGAGATTCATTTTGAAAACATTTCATTTGTAATGTAAGAATGACAGTAATCATTTGTGAGAATTATTTCCGATCAGTCCAAATAAATGATAAAAAGTATTTTTCTATATATATATATATATAGAAAAATACTTGCTCAAAACTAAAACTAATACAAATTATTCATATTCTTAATATACATAGAATATTGTAGAAACTTTTCAAATTTTTTACAAAATTTAATTGAAGAGTACCATTCAGATAGGATTAATCATTCAGGTCATAAAAAATTTATCGGTTTCAGCTATTTTTAAATTTTACTAAAAATTTTATTAATTTACTAATTTCAATTATTTTTAGAATGGTATAATAACATGCATATTAGAGAAATGTGAATCATTAACGAATTGTCCAACAGTGTGGAATCGTAATAATAACACCTGTTGTATGAAATGTTTACATTGCATTCATTTGGGTATTAAACGAAATAATAATCAAATTTGGATGAGTATGCAAGATGTGTGCACACAAATCTCATGCAAAGTAACTCATTTTCACCGTTTTTTTTTCTTTTTTGGAAAGTAATTAAAATTGAAGCATTAATTAATTAATACTCCAATGATTTAATCTGATCCTTTGTTGTGAAGTGATAACTACTTAAATTGTCACATTTCATTCTTTTATTTTTTCCTTTTTCCTTTTACTCTTTCTTCTTTCTAACCAATATTAATTACTAATCATTTCACATTTTATATTATATTAATATTATTATTAATAATAACAAATAATAGTAATAATAATAATAACAATAATAATGAACATACAAGCTAGGCTGGTGTTATAACAAGTTGGCGGATTCAGTGTGTATCAAATTGCTCAAATGGACGTTTATTAGCTGGATTTTGCTGTGAATTATGCTTAAAACCAATAGAAGCTAATGATCAATGTGTTCGATGTGACCTGGTATTAAATCGATGGTACCACTGTTATCGCTTTACTTGTCCTGTATTGAACTGTCCACTATCACAACATACGAAACATCCAAAAAGGCATTTTTTCATTTTTTTTCAAGCAAAATTTTTATCTCACCTAAAAAAGAAATTAACGCCATAGCAAAACTAAGTAATACTAAGCTATCAGTATGTTATCACTGTATGTTATGTTTGTGTCATTTACAATTCGATTATTGTATTAACTAAATTGTAATTTGTTTCTTTGTTTTTTTTGTTTTTTTCAGGTGTTGTCCGGAATGTAAAAATCATACAGTTATTTCGAAAGATTCAAATCTAGCAGTATCAAATGGTTCACATTGCTTCTTTCGTGGACAACACTATCAAGTGCACAATACATTTCGCATAGATTCATGCTCACGTTGCTCTTGTCAACCAGGTGGAATTATTTGTAGAAGGTTCTAATTTTATTCAAATTTCATTCAACATACAAATCTGAAAGTATATTTAATATTTTCTTGAAATTTTTAATGCCATTTAAATATTATTTTAATTCCTTTTAATTTTACTGTTCAAATATTAGTTTTTTCTACATACTTCACATTCTAGTTTTCGCACATTTCTAGATTTGTTTGTCCACTGAAAGAATGTGATATGACGCACATATTTTATAAACCTAATGTTTGTTGTCCATTTTGCTATCGAAAAAAAAATCCATGCAAAGGAATGGATATTAACGGAAATGAAATGCTAGTGGAGGTAGGTTATCTGAAGTGGTCATTCAATTAATTAGTTAATTAATTAGCCATTAGTTATCAGATCTAATATAATGAACAACAAATCATCAATTGATCATCAAATAAGCATACATTACAAAATTTAGCATGAGTTTTCTTCTCACAAAATATTACTGATCAATTTCAATGTAGAAACATAATCAATTAATCAATCAGTCAGCTAATCACTCAATCAACCAATCAATTGATCAGAAAAAACACAAAAGCATATATTTTATATTAAAAAAAAAGTATAAAACTAATTAATGAATATTTCAATATTTCAGCATGGTACAAAATGGACATTGGATAGTAATTGTCTTAATTGCATATGCATTAATGGATATATAAAATGTAAAAAAATAGATTGTCAATGGAAAGGAAAGTGTCCCCAAGGACGACGTTTTAAAAAAGTGAATGGATCATGCTGTCACCAATGTGAGCTAAGTAAATATACATATGTATGTTATGTTATAGGTGATAAGTATAACAATTATCATAGTAATGCTTAATTTATATAAATTAATTCGAAAAGAGAAAATGAACCAATGACTTTCTGTTTTTTTTTTTTTCTTCCTTAAAAAAGAAGAGAATAAAACTTGAAAAATTAACTAGTAATATTCTAGGAATAGTTTATTATGTGCTATGGAAAAATTCATATTTGAAAATTTAGTTTGAAACGTTTACCTTTTATTATTTAGCTCATAAAAATAAATGACATATTTAAATTAATCTTTTTTTAACCTACAAGATGTTTTGTATAATCTTTGAAATTTTTTTTATCATAATAATATTAATGTCATGCTAATTTTGGATCAGTGATTCTAAATGATAAATAGTAATTTAATAAATCGAAAGACCATTCTTTTATGAAACTTATTTTTTATTTTTATTTACAGAGGAAAGTTCATGTATTATATTTGGTGATTTGCGATATTTAACATTTGACAAATTTGGTTATTCATTTCACGGAACATGCAACTACATTCTTGCGCAAGAATGCTCACAAAATGGGTATTAAATTTAGTTTATGATAAAGTTGTAAAGTATTCACAATTAATTTAATTATAACAAAAAAAAAGAATTAGTAATAAATCATCAAATTAAAACATATCAAAGTTTTATTTTATTTAAAGGATTGATCCACAGTTCAAGATAATTGGTATAAATAGTGGAAAAGCAGCATTAATGTGGACACGACGTGTAATTATTTACATTTCACTTTTCAACGGAACTTTCTTTACGATACATTTATTACCAAAAAAGGTTATAAATTTTTAAATAAATTTATCATTGGAAAAATATAAAAATAATAGGAGCAGATTTAGAATTATTTGAAAATATATATTTGAAAAAATGTATGTTAAACCACAAACACTTTTTTTTTTAAAGGTTATACGTGAACGTACAAATATAATTAGCATACCACACGTCCGCTATAGTGATTGGCCAGAATACCGAGCTTTTGAAGATCCTACCACCGGACATATTATCGTTTCATTTAAATTGATCGGTTTGAAAGTAATTTGGGATGGGAAATCATTTATTGAAATTATCCTCACCAGACGACATCAATCCAAGGTAAGCATTTTTGTTTTCCATTATAATTTATTCTAAAATCAATCATTATAATTCGATATTTTCTTATTATTAAAGATAAAATATATCTTGATTAAATCTAATTTCTCATATAACTGAAAGATATTTATTGGTATTCAGATATTTCGAACGGTACATTTTAGTAGGATATTTAATTTAAATATTATTTCATCCATTGCAATATAGTAAGAGTGCAAGTGTAATATAATCAGAAGGAAGAAATTAAACATAAAAGTGACAAAAGATCTAAAATTACCACATTCTAGGTTTGCGGCTTATGTGGTAATTTCAACGGTGATCCCAATGATGATCTGACATCTCGTTATGCAAGTTCATCAAATCAGTCCATATCACATTTTGCCCGATCGTGGGCCTATGATATTTCATGCAGACAACATCAAACAAAAAGAAATGATCTTAATTATGTAAGGCTTGCATAAAGAAAATGTTTGAACAAAATTTGCATTTGAAATTAAATTTCAATTTTTATCCTAAAAAAACTATTCGATTGAACAAAATAATTTGGCATTTAATTTTATGAGTTCTTTCTGGACGAAGTAAAGTGCTTGGTATACAGAGATAGCAAATCCGGGAAGCAAGTGACCATACATACAATCCCAATTAACTTAGTAATGACAAAATAGGATACTCTACTAACTGCTTGTGTTGTTTTCCCCTTTATTTGGAATTTCAAAAAATTATCACATGAATGTTTACATTACGGCTATGGCTTCATTGTTATTGCTTAGCTGTTTAAATGAAATTATTGTTTGCAGATTAACTAGACTGTCGCTTCCCGAGGCTAGCATCTGGAATGGAACTAAACAGAATAAAAAAATGTACCAATACAGCCCACTGTAAAACCTACTTTTCACTGACGTATCCGTTTGGTATGTCAGTGAAAAAAGGCATAAAAAATATAAGAATCTCATCATGGAAATGTTTTTTTTTTTTTTACTTTGTCTTCACATTATGTATATATACAATAAAACAATTGTATAAAGTTATCAAAACTGGGACAAATCACCAAACATATCTAAGACAACATCACCTCTGAAGTTTAACTTAAAAAAAAAAAATCCATTTTCAACATACATTTAGTAGAATGTTGCTACACAGCGAGAAATATTGTATTTCCAGAAGTGCAGACAGAAAGTCACCTGCATTTGAATGATTAGAGTCATATTAGAATCATCGACAATTTAGTAACAGTACAAAACTTTCATAATCTTTTCACGTAATGTCTTAAACAAGTTTTCCTCTTGCAGAAAAACTATAAAATATGCAAAACAACGCGTGATATATTCAAGTAGCACAACATTCAGTCGTTATAAGCTAATTAATATATCAGAAGCAAACTAGAAAACCAAAAGATTAACATCCAGCATGCTAATGCTTCATCAACCGAACCCACCAAATAACAAATAAATGGATAAACACTACATACCATACTGTCATCTGAATGCTTAAAAGACCATTAAAATTTTGAAAGGAAAAAGCCAATGATCATTATAATAAGATTAAAAAGACAAAAACTACAACAAAAAATCATCACGTTCATTATTATAGTTGAGAATATGCTTCCGGATTTTTGAGTCTTTTGTCCATGTAATACAATCCTGCAAATTCCGAGTAACCAGAAATGCAGGATCAGTTACTAATTCTATTCCTACACGCACATGCCCTTGTTCCACAAGATCGCTGGCATTCCGTACAGTTTCCGCCATTTCTAGACGCTTCATCACCACCTGCAACAATGACAAAAGTGAATGAAAAAAAAAAAAACCTGTTGAAAACAAGGAATCCTGAATGCATTTCAAAGTTCTTTTGGCATTTATGAAACATATAAAATATCTCAAAAAAAAAAAAAAAAAAAAAAAAACATAATTCTTGTCATAGATCCACTTATTTTCTTTTTTTAATGCGATAAAATGAAAATCATAACATACCGGTAATCGTCGCCTACAAAATGAAGAAGCGGAAATTTTACTAGCACGTTCCAGTGTGTCGGCAGTGGGTATCAGTCCGACGGCATACAGTTTTTCCAAAAATTCTCGAACTGTTTTCAAACGAAACGGATCATTCAGTGGCAATTCTTTTAACTTCAGTGCAATTTCTCGAATCTACAGACAATATTACAGCAAAAATTACTAGTGCTATATTAGTAAATATATCATTAACATGTAGTTCAAGCCTTGCCAAAAGGAGATTATACAGCCTTAGTATATAAGGAGATTATACAACCATCGCATTTCGTTACATTTACTGCGAATTACTCTTTTGTGGAAGCATAAAAACCTCCCGAACCACCTGATCCCTAACGTTACGTAATCCTTCTATAACATTTTCCCGCTGCAAGTCGTATTTTCATTTTCTCGTCACAGAAATGATATTAAGTCTAGAAGGAACTCGAAAGAGTAAATTTTTCATTCTTATCGACTTGTTTTAAAAAACAAAACTGTACTACAATAAGTACAAACTTACATTAGCTGCTAATGTATTGTATACCGAGTAATGCTGTCGCTTTTTGATATAATATTTTCGCAAGATTTTCGCCTCATGTATATTATTATCTAGCTCCCATGAAATGAAGTCAACCTTTTTTAGCAATTTCTTCTCGTGAAATTTTAACTTACGCACCATTTTTGAATGGCAAATACCTGCAAACAAAATTCGAGTCGTTTAAATAGCATAACCAAACATGTTAAAACCGAAGAATTAGTTTTATCGATCATATGTAAAATTTGTCTAATTTAGTTAATTTAAGTTTACACGTTAAAAAGAGACAAAAATCTGAATTCCACAAGAAAACACAATTAAACATAACATAAATCTAGTCATTTAGTAGCATTTTTATGCATAACCATACACATCAGACAGAATTACAAATAAAACATTTATATTCAAAGTAAACTTCCAGACATTTAACACACAAATTTAAACTTCTGCTAACACCGGCCAAGCTCAAACGTAAAAAGTCGCCCTGAATGACATTTAATTTAATAACGATGATTGTCCTCTATGACATCATTATGTCCCATCATCGATCATCGATATTCATATGTTAGGGTACGATAAGTCAATCGATAAGCAGTTTTTCTTGTTGGACAATTTTTTACGGCATAAAATCCCTTTTTATTCTCCCATTTTCAAACTTAAATTTAAGAATGTCGCGAACTAAGTTTTTATGAAATCATAATGAATATATAAGTTGACGGAAAATTTTGTGTTATCTGGAATGAAAGAAATAAAATGCCTATTAGCATAAGCTAATTATCAGAGAAGTGGAATTAGCACTCGTCTTTATTAGTTATAGATAACATTACCTATATTACCTGTTATCTTACTGAAATCGGCGATCAAATATGAGATGTAAACGCCTTTATTAATGATATATATATATATATATATACAGCGTTGATAAGCTTCACTCACTAATTAAACTTGTCAACGCTTATATTTAGCAATAAGAGAAATGAAACAGTCAGACAGTGATTTGTTATCTACAAGTAATTCGCAGTCTTCCTTTTCTTTTAACTCTTTCCAAATATATCGCATTCGGATCTGAAATGATTCCTTGATGGTTACACTCCAAATTTAAAGTGAAATTTTAACTAGTGAAGTTTGATTACCTTCATTGTTTGGAAAAGGTAATCAAATATTATCTGTATGATCTGTTTAATTTTTCCTATTAAAATGATTGAGAAATTCTTAACAAAACAACGATTGGAAGCAACTAATTAGCCATTCAATCAATAGATTACTCAGTTAGTTAATTAGACAGTGAATAGATATCAATCAAAAAAAAAAAAAGCTTACTAAAATCCTTATCTTCAACTCATCAATCAAAGTGCAACGCATCTTTGCATCCTTCATTTTTAATATTACATCATAATTCAACCCTCGTTTTTTAACTTGTAATGTGAACGGCCAACGAACATTCGCATCATCTAATATCACACAGTTCACACTATCACATCCATCAATAACTTTATCGATGATCCAACCGAGAAGCGCTGTTTCCGTTTGTTTTTCATTACAAAGTAAATACACCAAAGCTTCGGGTAGTGTAATTTTTTGCTCCTAAAATATAATCGAAACAGAAATTATAGAGTTTGTATATACTGGATATGTTATATCAACTTAATTCTCTTACCTGTCATCTTTCCCTCCAACATGGAATACCACGTCTTTTAGCGAAAGAATAAATTGTTTTGGAAATTCCTTAATTCTCAGTCATTTGCACTAACCTCATCGATTCTTGCATATTGAACCATTCGAGTAATTGTACTTTCCAGTACTTCAGTTATAGTAATCGTATCCCAGTGAGTTAAATAAATTGGTTCAAGAGCAATTCGAAAAGCACGAGGTTCTCTGTTTCCGGAAAAATGGATACATTTAAATAAATGCACTCGAAAGAATAGTGATATTGGCAAATTACGGGTGCAAAATACCTGCAAAGCATAATATATACACAATAATCAGGTAGCACCGATATCTTTCACTACTACTAACTGCTGGCATATTTTCCAAGCCCAGTCTTGTAAAGAACGAAAATTCTTTATGTGTTTTCAAGAAACACATTTCAATATGCTCAAAATATCGACTGATTTCAAAAATTATTGGATATTAATATCATTATGAAGATGTTTTTATAGAGGAATAAAATGTGGAATTCATATTATCAAATGTGAAATGAATGAATGCTTAAAATGTGATCTAAAATACCGTTCTCTTTATATTATTAAAGCTATGTTTCCAGTAAATTTTCAGAAAATCAGTTCGGAAAAGAAATTTGCTTTTTTTTTTTTCCATTTTTCACATAAATAGATTTTAATAAGACTTACCGCTTAATACTTAAGCTAATATTTTACTTTAAAATACTTACTTCATAAGTAAATTCGGAATGTTGTGAAAGTCGTTTGATTGGTATTACTTTTGTGAAAATTTTATCTATAAAAAGACGGAAATAGTATCATCATCATCGTTATTACTTTTGTGAAAATTTTATCTATAAAAAGATGTAAATATCATCATTATCATCTCCATCCATTCGTTGCTTATTTTTTATTTTTAAAAAACTCTATTATAAACAAACCTTTTCGCTCAATATTTGTCATTTGATAAGATGAAGTAGTCAGAGCTAAGTGCCATTCAGTCATTTCAAATGGTGAACTGTTTTGCAATTGAATTATTAGCAGCGACGTGCCAGAAGTCAATTTTTGTCTCTGAAATCTATGCGTTTTGTAATTTGGAGAAAGAAAAAAAAAACTAAATAAGAAACATGTACTTAAATTAACAGTTGTAATATATAAATATATGAATGTATGTGTACGTATTATTTTTTTTAATATTTCTTTTATATTTTTTTAATAGATAAGCTTATGTTGTAGAATATCAATTATTTTTCAATGTATATCGATTATAACAATAAGGGTTATATATTACAATTAAATATATCTGTAACTGTGTATTTCATATTTGGTTTAAGATTTTGTCAAGTACTACTTAAAATAAATTTCACTATAGAGAGAGAAAAAAAGATCATTATATAATAAAGTTAGGTATAGAGCGGTAGAGTTAGATAAAGTAATGGTAAGCTTATGTTGTAGAATATCAAATGACAGGAATGCTGATACTTTCAGAGTAATATTTAATGGGAAATTCCTCCTCTCTGTAGCGCATTTGTCCATCTCAGCTTGTAAACGCATTCCAAATGATAGCTGGAACAAATAGTTTAGGCAGAAGTCAATTTTGTTATTCATTTCAGCATCTTGATGAAGGAGGTAGGAAGAGGGGTATATTTAAGTTTAAGTTTAAAATCATCACTGTCGACTGCCAGTGAAAAGATTTTTCCCTTTTAAATGCATACCATTCTGTTTTCATTTTAGTAATGAAAAAATCTGAAGTCCACTAAAATCTTGACGAAAGAATTTTTCATATAAAAGAAATTGGATAGTTTAATATACTTGCCTGCATCGCTAATTGATCCAGTCCGGCAATGCGCTTCTTTACTTCTTCATACTTTTGTAGTGTATCACCCATAGCTTGAGCGCAATGACCAACCGGAAGCATACCCTCTGACCTTTGCTCCAATTCAGGAGCATCTCTATTAGAAACCACCACTCCATCTTCAGGAGCATCCAAATCCATATTATCGATGTTTTGTTCATCGATATCTTCCGGAAGTATAAAATCGTCCATACCAAAGTATTTATATGACTGCTAGTAGCAATCTGAAATCTGATGTTCACAGTATGACGATTAATAGTATTATGCTGTCATTTGAATTTGAATTTTTTGCGACATTGAGATATTTCTTTACGCCAACTTTATCAACATATCAAAATATTAAAATGGATTACAAAAGTTAGCCAATTGTGATTAATGTGATAATTATCAGTAGTTGATTAACTTTTTCTGGATGAGATGTATAGTAAATTTCAACATTTAAAAGTTTATCACAGACTGTAACAACCAAACAAATAACAAAAAGCGAAAAAATTGTAGTTTACAAAACTGAAACATTAATGACACCAATGAAGCATGAACTATTTGGGCCTTAATATAGTAGGCACAGATTTACCAGATTTTCGACACAATATCTTTACATCTTCGCAATTTTACACAGGAAATTTGAGTTATATCGAATAATAGAATAATTTTATCTTTTATTTATATCAAAATATAAATTAGTATTATTCTAGTTTTTTAAAGATGTGTATGATAATATTTGTTAACTCGGAATGAACCGAAAGGGAAAAACCTGCAAGTTTAAATAGTAAAAATAGTAAATGTAGTCAGTGAGCTGGAAGGAATAATTATGTTAATTGAATCTATTCTTAGAAAATAGGCTAATAATAATAAAAAAGAGAGATAACTAGGAGGGTAGTTATTCCAAAAAAAAAAAGCTAATAATAAAAAAGGCTAGATAGCTAGGAGAATAGTGTATAGTTAGCAACTCAATCATCAGAAAGACAATTTAAACATATATGTATAAGTAATAAACAGCGATGAAAGTGTTAGTGAATCCTTTCAAATCTTTTTGTCATTTTCAATTCTTTTTGTTCTAAAATACACAACTGTTCATACAGTCTTTCCAATTCTGTATTCTTGCTTGCAAACTGTTGAATTTTCCTCAAAATCAATTCTCGTCGTTTTCGCAATTCGGATATTGCGGTACAATCAGCATAAAGTTCGATGACCAAAGTAGCCAACTGAAATTTATTTTTGACTATATTTGAATTTTTAATAATACTTAATTTGCAGAAAAAAGTTAAAAATGCCAATACTTACTGCTTCAACATCTCCCAAACTGAGAATTACTTCCAAGATTTCAATAGCTAACAATGATAATTTATCTCTATCTTGCTTATAGATATCTTCCAAACGACCCATTACCACTTCGCACTTCTCCTGTATCAATTCCATGAATTCTTTAGTGCCACCATATAACGTATCATTCGATTGCACGCCACCATATACCACATGATACGGTAATTCCACCTGATTCATTACTGAGAGGTAACAAATACATTCTAATAAAACGCGTCCGTGCTCCAGCGACTCGTTTTGCCAAGGATACCTTGAGGATTTTAAAATCTGTTCAGAAATTGGTGGCCATATAATTTAATAATAAACTTTCATGACGCTCGTCTTATGGAATTCAAGTTTTCAGAAGTTCATCAGTGCAATAACTGATAATAAAAATTGGGAACACACCTGGCAATAGCGTTCAGAAATGCATTAAACATGTATAAAGGATTTTTGTTCGGAGGATCAGGAACTAATACCAAAAACGCAAGGAACGAAGAGCAGACGGAACGGTAAACTGACTGCTTAAGATCATGAGCCATTGCTAGCACTTCGATCGAACACTTCAAGATGGCATCCATCTGCAAAAGATTTAACACCTTAACTTCTAGCGTTTTCAGGACGAAGAGAAATAGCATTCCTTTAAAAAAGCGAAAACCGTTTAAACCTATATAATTTTATAAAACGACATCTATTTACTTCTAGTAGTTCTTACCAGAAATGAGTGAAATTCGAAGTTTTCATTACGAAAAAGGCTAACCTGTGGAAGTGAATTGCTGGTCAAGCTCAACATTCCAACTTGCATGTATAATTCAATTTTGGTTACTGAACTAGATAATGACGCTGTTGTAATAAAGGAATATGCTATACAACCTCGCAGAAATGTTTCACCCGCATGAGAAATATCTCCCTGACGAACGACGTACAAGCCAAGACAGCACACCTTTGTAGCAAGGTACTAGAATTTATTCCAATTAACTAAGTCGAATTATACAAAGAAATTACAGGATAGATAACTGAAATAAAGAAGAAAGATAATTTTGGAATGATAGTAGTCATATCCGAAATTAAAGCTTAAATTTAAAGCTAATCGAGTCTATATAAAAAGTGTTCAACTATCAGTATAAAAGCAAATTTGCTGAGCACTTTATATTAATCAGAATTTATGAATTTTCACAATGAAATTTCTATCCATTGTTCCTTCCTTGACACAAGAATTCAAATTCGATTTCACTATAACAAAGAAATCAACTGTAATATACTGTAATATGGAAATCAAACAAACATACAGCAATGACGCTATCCAGATTAGAAAAAGCAGCACGTGCATCGACAAAGAAATCAAGTGCCCGTTCCGGATCTGCTTCTAGCTTGAATCGATCCAAAGCACGAATACTGTAAAAGCTAGCACACTGTTTTTCATCGTCTGTTGAAAGGGCATTTAGAGAATCATGAAGTATCTGACAAATATCGAGTATCTAAAAGATTTCAGAATTCATGAATTTTTGAACAAATAGACAACGATGGAATTCTTGAATGATTTCAATCCGATTAAATTCGAAACTCAGATTTAAAGTAGCAAAAAGAAACTTAAAACAAAAAAGTGCACAATTCTTTGTGAGAAATTAAGCTTAAAAGTATGTGAAAAAAAAAAAGAAAAAGTAAATAAAAATAGAGGTAGGTGAAATTTAAACGCAGAAGAGCTGCCTAATTCATATCTTCGTTGATTGTTAATTTCCATTGCATTTATAATACGTAATATTTTAAATAATAACTAACTTGATTTGCGAGTTGGAAATCATTAACCGATGCAAGTTCATAGGAACGTACGAAAGAAGATAACAACGTAATAGCGCAATCTTTGCGCTGTTGTGTACCACGGAATAAGTCCACTAATGCTTGAAAGTGATGCAGTGCAATTAATTCTTTCATATCATCAATCCAATGTATAATTTTTTCCAGCATACATAACAATTCATCCATAAAAGCTTCATATTTCTACAAAATTTCTCGCATTTATTTCGGAGCTTTTTAACTTGGCCATTCGTTAGCCTTATATACCAAAAAACAATTGAGATCATTAAAAGAACTTTAAAGAGTCTGACTTTGCATCTAGAATAGGTAATAGAAAAAGGTATATTCTATTACCCAGATCGAAATAAGTTGGATGATAATAAAAAGTAAAGATTCAAAATAAACCTTATTAGGAGTAATTCGTTTCATAATTATTTCCAGCATAACATCCACCTCATTTAAAGTAAAATACCGGGCTGCAAATTCAATCCACACAATCGTACATTCAATAAAATCTCGGATCCTCATTAAATGACTAAAATAAAGTTAAGCATAAATGTATATTTCTTAAAGAATATTTTCAAACTCTCAGTTTCCAAAAGTTTCGTTCGTCTTTGTTACAAAAAATGATGTTGAAATTAATTCGCAGTATATTAACGTCAACGGAAACATACAGGACTTTTTGCCAGCAATTTTTTAGGATGATTCGTCTTAGCTCATCCTTGATATTATTTTCCATCAATCCTCTACCAAGGACGCAAAGCTCCATACAACTTACATTTTCACCAGAAACTACCTGAAAGTATCAATCTCAAAAGCGATCAATGACTCTTCCTATTAACCAGCTATACTGTATCATCAAAGTTTTTTTGTTCCACATAAATGATGAAGCAACCATTAATGCTATTCCACTCACTCAGTAAGCCAACAGATTGAGTTGAGATAAATTAAAATTAAAAAAAGGATTGAAAATCATGAAAAAGTAATGATAAATCATTCATGAATGGTCAATGGTCACTGATAACACTATTAAAAAGTCATTAGAAAAAAAAAATCCATGCAAAAACATTTCCTTTTGTTCACTATTATCGTTTTAGAAAAAAGGTAGGAAAGCAAAAATAAGATTAAGAGTGAATGGGGAGAAATGCATTGCTTAAAATATCTGACATTTCGAATAATTTTCAGATAAACCAAACATTAATAGCTATCAGTCCTGATACTACATAACTCATATCACACAGTTTTCAATAGTGTTATTAATTTTAAAAATATTAACAACCAACCAATTTGCAAACATCCAAAGCGTGCTGAGAGATATAATCAGAAGATAAAGCGAGCAAGAATGGAAGCAAAAATGTGGATCGTTTTTCATTATCGGCGCAAATATCCCACAGTGTCTTTAACTCATCATATGTAGTAGCATTATACGCCACACACTGAATAATCCATTCTAGAGCTGGCATTAATGCTGGCATCTAAAATGTATAATATGTCAATATTACATCTGATATAATAGTTAAGACTAAATCAATTATTATGCGCAGGAAAATTTACGACTTTATAATCGATTTCCATCCACCAAAAAAAAAGAAAGACTAAGCTCTAGTCTGGATTTAATTATCCATAATTTAATCAAAGATTCACAATGAATTACTCAAGATCATTTATTAATTACACTTACTCTATTGCTTGCTACTTATTTGGCATGCAATAAATTGACTAACTGACTTTTTTAGATACTCATATGACATCATAGATGAAAGGGATGAGAACAAAACAAATTTAAGAACTCTATTTAAGAGATGAACAGTAAAACTTAGAATATTTTTGAATACTTGCACGACGAAAATCAAAAATTTTTTTCCCGCACCATCAGTCCAAATCTCTCTTGCTCTTTTATACTTTTCTAATTTAAGAATACTAATCAGTTTAAAATCATGAGCAAAATTTCGACCAGTAATATGCAAAATTTTTAAAGTGATTTTCTATTTTAAAGTAACCAAAAGCTGAAAAAAAGTAGACTCAAAAGTATTCTTCCCAAACGACATATTTTATTCCATTTGAAAAAAGCGAAACCGGTTGAATCGGGATTGTATTGATCCAATCATTAAAACATCTCCAATGCGGTGCACGATCATCAGGAGTAAGCCGCATGGCAACACGACACAGATAAACGCGAGCGTAACATGATACCAAGGGATTCGGTAACGACATCGGAATTCTTGCAAGACGTAACAAATTCACCGATAACGATTCCGCATCAACAAAACGGATACAACCGATAAGAGCGGTTTCCACTGCAACCGGCCTTTTTTTTATGTATTCTAACAGTCACTGAATAAGTGAACGAGAAACTGTAAGTCAGAACAGAGAAAAATGTACCGCTCAAAGTATGAAGCAAAACCACCTTGAATTTTACAAAATTCAAATGAAGAAAATGGATTTGATACATATGCTAATGATATTATAAACCTAACTTCGGTCAACAAAAAATTAATAACAAACAGCTAACCGTAAAAACGCGGTAAGAACTCAGTGATATCACCAATTTTACAAAACCAATTTCTTGCAACATTACGTGTTGGTTTTGGTACATCATCTACTGTAAAATTGTCTGGTAGTTGACTCAAACCCGCTTCAGCACGTTCCTTGTTTGCTTTGGTATATAGGCGATCATAAACTAAATGTCCGAACTCATCCAAAACATCTGTTACGAGGACGAATTGATGTGGATAGATATTAGTTGCCGATGCAAATCCCAGAATATTTGCAATTTCTACTGCTAGCTGCAAAAAATAAAGTCATAACTCCTTCTGTGATACGACAATGGTTTAAAATGAAAATATAAGGAGAGTAGTGCAATAAAAAAGGAAAGAAAGAAAGAAAGTAAAATAAAACAAACATTAACAGATTCTATTTTTCTCTCTTTTGCCCAAGCTATTTCCAAACTTTTGCGCAATTCATTGATTTTAATCAGATTTTCTTCCTGTGATTGTTCAGCTAATTTTTTCCATCCCGACGCATCCTCCAACTGTTCTAGCCTCAAATTTCCTGATTTATAGATGTATTTAAATCACCTTGGATGTTTCGTTGAATTTGTCTTCATTACTGAAAGAATTTTAATTGCTAGAATTTTAAATCATTTTCGTTATTCAGTCCAAATGATTCGATCAATAATAATTGAAAAGCAACTGGTAACAATGCAATCCTAGGTCTAAAATTTATTTCGCTTTTGGAGGGATTAGAAATGTTTTTTCGTAATTTGTAAGGGAAGAAAAAGTATCCTGCAAATATCAAACAGAAGAACATATATCACTGCAGTAGTTCCTCTTTCTTAATGTGGTGGAAATGTTTACAACTTCTAGAAGTAAAGATGTTTTTTTTTAGAAAAAAAGAAAACTAAAATATTTTAACACGTAAAAACCTTTGGGCAGCGCGTTTAACAAATGATAAGTCAATTTTTTTCAAATCCGGAACACAGTATAAATATGAAGTCTCTGAGTTTCCGACATCCGAAAAAGATTTCAATATGTCTTGCTTTTTCGATGACCAAGGTATAAAACCTGGTAATTCCTGGAAGTAAAAAAAATGCAAGAAAAAAAGCAATTCGTATGCATTTTTAACGATTAGTCCCTTTTAAAGTATAACTTTTCGACTTAATTTTCATGATTGCACTTAGTCAAGTATGATGTAGAAAAATCCTGTGCTTTGGTACTTAGCATCATTTATTTGGAAATACATTAAATTATGATACCCTTTCAATGGTTGTAACTATTTCATCTTCTTTGCTAGCCAAAGTGTTGGCTAATTTCGGTTCTTCTTTTCGCTTTGCAATGATTGGTAAGTCTTCTGATGTAAAAACTATATTCTTTTTACGATCCTCTACGGTAGCACCTAAAATTAAAACATTAAATATACTAATACAAACAGCGATAGTGCTAAAAGAGTTTCAGAATGATCCTAATGCTTGGTAATAAAACTAATTAAAATTATTCTTTAATGATTACAGCATCATAATGACTATTATGGCATGCTTCATATATCATCAAAATTTACAATGTATTTCCGAACAGTTGAAAAAAAAATCTATTGAATATTCGGATTTTTTTTTTGTAATGATCAAATCCCTAAGCGTTAAATATTTTTCGGAATTGAATTTACTTCAAAAATGTTTTAATTTCAGGTGGTTTTGTAAAAAGATAAACAAACCTAAAGGATCAGCAAATTTTGGAAGTTCCGATTGTGTAAGTTCTATTTTTGCAGCAGTACCACTTCCCTTCTTTAGTGTTATCAATGGGTCGATAAGAACTGCTGCTCTGCTACACGTCCAAGCTTCAGCTTCTCGTTCCCATGAACGATAACGAGCTTTCCATTTCCATATTACTAACGAGTCATTGAATAATTCATCACTCATGCTCAAATAAAACTTGAAATCATTTTTATGAACTGAGCAAAATATTGTAATGAAGAAATGCACGTGGAACAAAAAACGTACATCAAATTGAAATTCCAAATGTGACGTTGTGTTGCTGCCAATAATGCCAACATTTAGCAATGTTCAAAGCTTATTAAAATTAAACAAATGCAAAATCTAGGTGGTCATTAACTCCGCAACTCTCTTACTGTAAGTTCAAATCCATCATTCATCTCTCCACCCTCCACATAGTAAAATTTCATACCCACTCGAAATTTAATCTTTAAATTCTCTGCTTCTCACAAATGAACGACAACGGATTTACCACGTCATATTCACACTCTAATTTACACTTTTTTTTTCATAGATTTCATCGATTTTAATTCGTCCAACAATTCATTCTAACCTCTTGCAACAAAAAATGTAACGACTCTTTCAGAAAACCTTGAATAACAGTAATCATCATCACTTTGGAAATCTCGTTTGATTTGACGTTACACTCAAACTTAACCCCTATGAATAGAGATACATTACAGTTATGTTTCAAAACGACAAACCTGAAATGTTTTCACCAATAATACGAATTTTATTCTATTCATATGAAATAAATAGAAGAATCTACACAACTAACATTTAAATAATTAATTCTTGAGTTTGTTATGCAGTAAAAATAGAATCATTGATAAATATAAACATCTCGGTTCTAGGAATACTGATCACAAACCCGAAATTTGCATTCATAATGCAGTAAATAAAAATTTTCCAAAGATTTTTTCCGAGAAAACATCACATGCATTTAAAAATACTAAAAAAATTTTTGTAGCCTTCCAATTGATCAATCTTTCCAGCGGTCATTTTTGAAGTCGTACAACGTTGCTGCTCCTTCAGGGAGCGGCTTCTCCAATACTAGTATTTTTCGCATTGCTGCATGCTTCCATTCATCACTCAGCGTGGGTACCTGCGGAGGATAACCTGAAAAGAAAACGTGCAAGAAGTGCAAATACTACGTGTAACTAAGCCACCTGAAAAACAATAGATTTTGATTATAAGAAACAAAGAGTCCAAATTTGAACTAAACTCCATAATCAAACATAACAATTTTTAATTCATGGCAATTATGCAATACAAATCTGAACAAAAAAAGATGTGAAGAAACGAGGATGCAATCATTATTATTGAATGATTAAATGCAAATAAATCTCTACGATGGAAGATCCAGTATAATTTTCTTAGTTTTCAGTCTTGATACTCAAAAAAAACTATAGCAAATGAGTCGTAAAAAATGCATACTACGAGGATTATTAGGAAACATACTGAAATGTTTAAGCAGGCCTACTACTCCCAGACCAATTGATATCCAGATTAATGTGTAGGCAAAATACATTTTCCAATAAACATTCCAGCCCAGCAACTCGGCTTGTGTTCTCCGGAATGAATATCTATACAACAATTTCTTCTCTTCTATTGTTAAGTTCTTCCAGTCACCTTTTTCCTTTTCACGAATTGGTTTGATGATTTCATCATCGGCTCGGAATCTCAATGGTGGATATGGACGATCTGTTGAGTCAATGAAATGCTGGAAAAAAAAGAGAAGTGAACTAAACAAAATAATGATTTGAACGGAACTATCCACTCTTGATAAACAAGGAAACTACTAAAAAAGATGAAAAAATTTTATAATATGTCAAGTTTATAATGTACGAAAATAATCTTGCATTAAATCCATAAGACAGAGATTTATAGACTGTCTTATTTAAATATTCCTTAGCAAAGTATCTAACTGTTTCAATTTTATATCTCAAGTAAGAAATATTTAATATTCATTATCCAACTGTAGCTAAGGTTATATGCATTATCTAAAATGTTTCTGTTAACATCGAATATGTGCACTGCTTAATAATCTGTGCACCGTTATAAGTTTTACTATTAAAATCTTCCAACTTGACAACTAAGTATATATTTGATTGTTAAAAGACTGCAAGCAATTGTAACTTTTCCACTATATTTTATTTCTTTATTATAAACCAACTCATACTATATAAAGGGTAAAGATCACCTAAGAATAACAGCTCTTTATTGTTTTGTTGCAAGCTAATACCCACTATAAAAGATGTTAAAACCAGTGTCTGATCTCACCTTCACTCAAAGCGTTTTGTTGTAAGCTAACATCAGCTATAAAAAAAGATGCTAAAACTATTGTCTGGCCTCACTTTCACTCAATTAATTTTCGATTTGGTTTATTACTCCACTCACTATTTCGCTCAGTTCACTTGCACCAAATAGGTGGCGTCAGCAGCAATAACAATGATGGAACGAAAACAGAACAGTTACAAAACGAAAATCTTCTGATTATTTTTATGATATTGCTGGTACAATTTAATATTCACTTTGTCCATTTCTTTTCTATAAGTATAAGCATCATATTGCACGATATATTTTCTCCCCGCAAAAATGAATAGTGAACAAAAAATTAAAATAACATGAACAAATGCAGAAAATTGCTTTTAATGCTGTCAGAATCACTAAGAACAAAAGATGAAAGACAAAACAATTACATTTTAAAATTAAACTGAAATAAAGATGATTTACATAAAAAAAACTACAAAACAGAGATGATTTAAAATTTAATAGTTAAGATTGTGAAGCTTACATATCCGCCGCTTGATGGTCCTACAATTTCTCGTTGACCAATTCGCTGCTTTTGCCAGCAATATTCGTTGTGATGTTTGGCAGATAAAAGAATCGCATGACGTACAATGTGTGGTGTCGATTTCGACTGCACAATAATCGAACTGCGCACAAGGGCCATTACCTGTTAAGAAAAAATTTAATTAGAAATCAACTTGAAAAAGCGACGGAATATTTAATACACAAAATCGTTCCGTCAAAAAATGAAATATTGTTACAAATATTTAAGCAATAACTGAAAAAATCTGGGCATAACCAATACGTGTTAGGAAAATCCATCATAGGAATTTCATTTCATAAAAAATCACACCCGAAAATCAGTGGTTAAATAATTATAAATACTAGCTAAGGAAAACAATTAGAATGGTAAGACCGCGTCAAATTCACTAGAACCCATTGTATGGCAAAAAAAAAAAAGGCTAAAATGTTTCTGCACAACTATAATGTTCGCAGCTACATGTAAATTCTTTATGTTTGCGACATTAAATACACGTGGACGTGTGAAAATTCATGCCAATTCATCATCATATAATGCTATTTCCTAAATTGTATACGAAGAGTCATACGTACATTACCAGTAAAATGTGAATTAGCCAGTATGACTTAACAGTAGGTGAGAAAACTCACGCAAATGACAAGATATAATGAAACTAAACTCTACACGATTGTATTCCAATATGTCGGTGAAAGTACGTCAAAAATTTTTCATACAGTTATATGAACCTTCCCCATTACAATATCAGGATTTTATACAATTTACTACTTCTCTTCGATAAACCTTTTGCACTTCATAATGCCCCTCCTAACGCAGCCTCTCCTGAGAACCCCCCGAAACAATCCCCGAGACATTCTTCTTTTCCCGGGTAACACCAGAAAAGAAGCGCAGGATGCGCTGCATACCAAAACCATGGCCTATATGAAACTGACGTGTCTCGACATGATTGTTAGATGAAATCTTGTCAATGTTTTCTTTTTTGTGGTTAGTTGACTCCGGGATTTTTTTAGAAATAAGTCGAAAAGGGCTATATTCATTCAAGTTTTCTTTCAATTGTTATTTACAAGGATTAATTTCGTATTTTATGCGTTCGATTTCTTTGTTTTTCTTATCTTTCATTTATGACATTTTCTTATTTAATGTTTTTCTTTTTGCTAAGAGTTTTTCTAACTGTTCATGCTCAGTTACTAATCATTTTTACTAGTTTTTAAAAATCTTAGTTTACTTCGAAGTTGTTGAAGAAATCGTTTGGAACTGCTCTTTAGAATAGATAGAATTTTTTCGGAAGCATTTTTAAATCTCTTGAAATCGTTTGCATTTTTTTTTTTTTTTGTAGCAAACGGCGTAATATCTTCAGTAACATCTCATATTATTTTAAGGTGCGAAAGATGTTGGGTGCTAGCAGTACAGGTAGTATTGGTGATGTGAATCCTGATTTACTGCAGGAAGTTCGTTTATATGAGAATAGCGTAGAACGTGAACGGGTCGATAATATGAGCGAATTATATGCTGTTTTAAATGCCTTGGAATGTTTAGAAAAGGTCTTTAGCCGTGATTGTGTTGCAGCCAAGGAATATACTGCGGAATGCTCGAAGCTTTTGGTGCAATATAAGGTTAGTAGAAAATTAAGATAAAATTTGAAAAATTTATTGGTTCCATTCACATATTAGTATGATTTTGTTAGTGTTGAGATTAGGATTTTAGAAATTGGATCAAATCGCATTTAGGTTTAAGTCCGAGTAAAATTATATTTTACATTTTATCAAATACTCACTGCTACTCCTGGCATGTTGAGCATTTGAAAAACTGACCGTCTATTTAAATATTAGTTCGATGGTAACTATAATTTATGTTTTGTTTATTATTTAATATTCCAATTTCCCACGTGCAGCTGATGTTCGTTGGTAAGCTGTATTGTGTTCTATTGCCTTGTGATGTATCTAAAGTGCATATATATCTAAAGTGCATGTATATGTTACATGGACTGTGCAACATTGGAATGGACAGTTATCATGAAAGTTTGTCATTAATCCAAAAAAGATAGAGACATTATAAAGTAAACAGATAATTTATATTTGCAGATTTAAATCAAGGAAAAAAAATGGATGTCTGAAGGTTGTAGTGGTATAAGATTACAGTGGTATTCTAGCGTTAATTACTCCAATAATTTGATGCTGTAATAAAATCTCAGTTAAGATTATAGTGGTATTCTAGCGTTAATTACTTCAATAATTTAATGCTGCAATAAAATCTCAATTTAAAGGTAGCACTGCGACTAGTACAATGTGATATCGATGAATTCGTAAAGAAGTATCGTGTGGAATGCCCAGCAGCGTTGGAAAGAATCCGTGAAGATCGGCCAATTACTGTAAAAGATGATAAAGGCAATACATTGAAATGTATTGCGGAGATCGTAGAAATGTTTATCACTTTCTTGGATCAGTTGAAGTTGAACGTTCGAGCTGTTGATGAGCTATTTCCGACACTGAATGAACTGAATGTTTCCATCAGTTCAATGATTACGCTGCCGGATAATTTTGATGCAAAACTGAAAGTGATACAGTGGTAAGAAATTGCTGTCTTGAAAACATTTTTGCAGGAAATTTTCCTCCCTTGAAAGTTTTATCTGACTCTCTCAAAGTGAAGTTGAATTTTATGTAAATATTTATGATCCTAGGGCATGTTTGAGAAAATCCAAGTAACTTAATAAAATTCGTTTTGCAGTAAGTGAGTAACTAAACTTTACATTCACTGTAAGTTAACTCTTATTAAGCAAATCCTGTAGAAAATTTTGTTACGGCGGAATGGCTTGGAAGAGATAGACTTGAAGATATTTCAGAGATTTTAATAGACGACTCGCAATATGTAGTGCCTAATTTTTTGATGGTCTTGGTGATGCTAGGTCAAGATTTTATTAAATCTAGAAAGAATTAAGGAATTGCTTAAGTGCTAAATTGTCAGTAGTTCGGAAAGCATTTATGAAGTTAGGAAATATTGAAAAATGTTTTACAATAACAATCCGCTGTTTAAAGGCACGATAAGCTGAAGAATATGACCGCAAGTGAGGAAGTAACAGATGAAGATGCGCGACAAATGATTTTCGATCTCGAAACCGCTTATAATTCTTTCACTCGTTTCTTACATAACTCCTAAATGCTGCTCAGAATTCCATCTGAATTTTGTTGCTTACGTATTCTTTCTAAACTTAATATTTGTCACACGTTATATATCTGTCAAGATTTTCATTAACCTTAAATGGTGAAGGAAAACTTTTCACTTCATACAAAGTTGTATTAAACAGAATGCTTCAGGGTTAACATTGTGAATCTTTTGCAGAAGTTTCTTCCCTCTCATTTCAGTGTGTAGTCACACTAGCCGAAATACATCTATTCTGATAATTTTCGCATTGATTTTGTTAATAGTCAGTGATTTCTGAAAACTGTATGCTTTTTTAAAATGTTATTAATGAAAACCCTCATTTTAGAAGTCTTAAATGATGAAGAAAAACTGCAGAATGAAATTCGCTCTTCGACTTTTTCATGACCCCTATCACTTAAAAAGATAGTAATATCGCAGTAGTTGTTATAATTTTGTCTAGTTCTTGCTTTTTTCAAGATTTAATTATGTGAAACAGGGTAGTTTCTGGTTAGCACTTCACTTCTTTCATTCCTCAGTAAAATACTTTATTGACTGTGAGTTGTTGCTAAGTCAAGGAAAATTTATCTTGTAAATAGTTCAAAAAGGAACCCAGCAAATTCGTCTATTTTCATTAAGTAAAGAATATGGTTTGTAATCTACTCTAGGAATTTTTGAACAAACCAGAAGTCTTATCTGGTACGCAAAAGAAGGTTTCTTTGGTGTTTGATAGCAGTCATATTTCAAGATGGTAATTGAAAACCTTTTGAAATAAATACTGAACAAAAAAAGCTACGTTGCTTATCATTGAGGAGGACAAAATTACTGAGTGTATGGAAAGGAAAAGCATGGATTAATTTTTAATTCATAATTTAATGTTGAATTATAGCACTTTGTGAGGTTTTAACTCATTTTTTGCTCTTAGAAATGAGCTGTTAGAGTAAACACTAAAAATACTAATTTGAAACCAATTCTCAATTCCCCACGGAAATTCATATGAATAGTGTAAACTCAGTTAGTGTGCGAACTTTGCATGCACGAAGTTTGGCATTGTCATTGTGGTCGTAGTAGGTTGTAGGGTTGTAGATGCATAAGGGAGGAGGTAGAGGTCATTGAGGTTAGGTTACGCAATGTTGGGCGTTTTTTGAGTGGTTGGGCGTGATGCGAGCCACGTAAGTGACGTAGGGGGGTCTTATGGAAGTCCTGAGTCAAGATAATCTGAAATGGAAGATGGGTTCTCATTCATGTTGAATTCTCTGTTTGTAGTATACTAGGTATGCTGTATTCTACTATGCTGAGGAAGTATGCATTTTGGTAGTTATTTAAAAGTAGTGGTTTTTTTAGGCAGATTTCAGTACTATCGTGTAATATAAGTATAGTAAAAGATGTAGTCCACGTTTTTTTAATAATTTGTGTTTTAGGTATTTTGATCTTTTGAAATAATTTGAAGACTTCGTTTAAACTGGAATTACGTCAGTAAGCTAGCTGAAACATGCACTTGTCTATTAATTTCATCTATATGTTGTTTCAGGTTAACGAATACTTTTAGATAATTATATTCCGTCTGATATAAAGATGCCGTTAGCACGAGATTTATTGTACCCAGATCCACAGAAGGTGAGGTTAATCTTTTTTTTTTATTTGTTCATCATGAGATAAACTTTAAAATATGTTCCGTTGGTTATTCTGCTGGACCTGTCTGTGTTCTATATATGTCATGTTGAAGTTTATTTGTGTGTTTATGTGAATGTATGCTGCTTTATAAGTTCCGATGCGGCATACAATCTTTGAGTTTGCAAATATTTCAATGTTCGTTATATTCTTACTAATACTTATACTTAAATTCAGTGAAATTGCATTTCTGTTTTAAGGAACGGGAACGGTGTAAGTTGAAGAGGTTAGTGCAGCAACCGAATTCTTTCTTCATGGATGTAAAGTGCCCTGGTTGTTACAAAATTACAACGGTATTCAGTCATGCTCAATCCGTAGTAGTTTGTGTTGGATGTAATACGGTACTTTGTCAACCAACCGGTGGTAAAGCCCATCTAACAGAAGGATGTTCTTTTCGGAAAAAGCAGCATTAAACATCAAAATTGTTTCTGTTGTTTCATCTTGGAAGTATTATTTAGTATAACTTGTGAATTGTTATCACATCGTTTAAGTTGTTTCACGGTGATTAAGCAATAGAGGTTATTTACACTAAGGTCTAATCATTAGAGTGAATTTTGTCCATGTTAGGAGTTGATTTCTGGTATAAAGTTACGAAGCCCTATGGGTTTAAAAAAAAAAAAATGAAGTTCAAATTTAAGCACAATTGAGATGGATCCACACATTTCTTTGGAATGAGTGGTTTGTTTCTGTTTGTATGATTCATTACTTCTCAGCATATTTTGTTAACTTAAGAATAAACGATGTTGAAGGAATGATCTGTCCATTGGTATTCCAAGCTTTTTGTGCAAGTGCATAACTTGAATACAGTTGGTGGTCTCAACTAACTTTTCTAGTGGGGATGAAGTTTAAAAATCTAATTAATTATCTAATAACTTGGTCGTGTAGGTACTCGTCATCTAACTCGATATAAAGAACCATAAATGTGTCATGTCCTTCTGCATTTGGTTGTTATTGCCTGGACAAAATGATAGGATTTCGATTTGTAAAGATTTCATGACTAGGTTAAATTTATTGATTCGTTATTCCAGACACTAAGTCCTTTCATGTTGTAAAAATATGACGGAAAAAAGAACTGCACTGATTGTGATGGTAACACGTATTAACAAAAATCAACCTCAAAAGAGTGGGATTTAATTTTTCTTTTTTGTTTTGCAAGGAGATCAGAGTAACAAGACTTTTAAAACCTTTAAATGATTGTATTGAAACAAGAGAAACATGATTGGAATTATTAAATTTGAGTTTTTTAAAAATCAAAAATTACTGCAATAAAAATAAATGATTGAAAATAGGTAGAGATAGATGTAGAATTTTTTGTTGTTTATACCGCTATGGAAATTGCAACATTTGGACTATTATGCATGTTTGGCGCTTTCTGTTGCTGTAATGGATTTTGTTGATTTGATGAACATTGTTCTTGCATTTCACCACAATTGTTCAAATATTTTTTCGAATTTGGAGAGGATGAAAGCGAAAGAGATGGTGGCATATTGCTTTCATATTCATGGCTCCAACTCATAGCTGTTACATTCGCTCGAGAATTTTGTTTCTTTTCTTCCAAGGCTCGTTTCGGGAATGCAACATCAGTTTTAATATTATACAGTGTTTTAGCATGAGGATCATTTTCATCAATGAATTTTGGGTCCTAAATATTTGCACTGGAAGAAATGATATTGAAAACTTTAAATTTAATTTAAAAAAAAAAAAGAAAGAAAACGGTGGAAAGAAAAGCAGAACCAAATGATTCTAAAATAAACGCTAATCAATTGAATATAATAATTTAATATCCCAGAAGTGTAATTAAAATAGTGAATTCGTCAATTTTATGAATCTTTTTCTTTTTTTCTTCCTCTCTGTCTCTCTTTGTTTTTTATTCCATTAATATTATAAAATTACCTTCGGTTTTCTTTGATACTTACATGAAACAAATGTACAAACGACTAATAACATTAGCAATAGTGATACATTTCGAAAAAGCATTTCAATAAATTCATAGTACCAACTGATTGGCATCTTTTGAAAATTATACAAATGATAAAACATTCATTCCGATAAATAATTTATGCATTATATGAAATAAGCATAAGCAATGAAATTTATGCATTTGATTTATTCAATTTAATAAACTAATTAGTATTAATATATATTATTTATTATGAATGTGTATTGTATGCATGTTATCATCAAACAAAAATATCATTTCATTATATTTCCATGCAGTTTCAGTACTAAATCAGTTGTTTAAATATATTAGCTAAATGTTTTCGACGATATTTTTTGTTCAATCATTTAGTTAAAGTATTATTTTCAATGATTTTAATTATTAAAATAACATATTATTCATTAAATCATAAATATTGATAAGAACTTGAAAAAAAAATTTTTTAATAAAATTTTTTTATCAATTGATGATTTGTTGCTTTTATTTAAATTTTTTTTTCTGTTATTTTTTACTAGTCAACTTTTAGTTGTTACTTTTTAAAAATTAAAAAAAATTAGTTTTTGAAAAAAGTTTTTATTTGAGCAACTCAAATTTATTTTCAAATATCATCAAATATCAAATTTATTTTCAAATATCATTTTCAAATCATTATATTTTAATGTGATATACATTTATATTATTTCTAATTTCATCTTCGTTTCCAAGAATATTTGTTTGACATTTTCCAGTGACTTTTTTTTGTCACTGAATAACAACAAATAATGATGGCATTCATGACAAGGAGAAATGTGATAGGTATAAAATTTCATAGCTATTCTTTCTTTATAATTATCATTTTTTGCGGAAATAAACGAAACTAAACCATTGTTAATTTTATTTTATATAAACAAAGAAATGTATCCTTTACTTTCTTTATCTGCAATGTATTTATTTATTTGTTCATTTATTTATTTGCTTGTTTACTTATTTATTCATTTATTTAATTAATTAATTATTTTATTTATCTATTTCAGTGACTGACTAATTAATTAATTGATTATTTAACTAGATATTAATTAACCGACAAATATTTAATCAGTTAATTAATTATAAATTAATGGATTGACAAATTGGTAAATCAATTAATAAATTTTAATAAACAGTGTTAATTAATTAGTGTCGTTAATAATTAATAAATTAATAACCAATTAATATTGTCCATCTAAGTCACTTATTGTTCTTTTTATTTATCCATTTGTTTGTTTGTTTATTTATTTGTTTTCTAAATTCCGAAGTCTGTTTACATTTAGTAATATTAAAGAAAATTGTTAGTCTTATTAAATACTTCATTCACTCATCATGGAAAGTGAAAATATTATATAAAAGGTAGCAACTGAATATTTGCTAATAATATAAATGGATGAATTTTGATTTGAAAAGATTTGAAATTGTCTAATATATCAAAGTATCCCTCAATAATTGTTACAAATTATCATATATAAAATATATTTGCATATATGTGTGACAAGTTGAAAATTATTTATGTATAATAATGAATAATTAATCTTATTAGAAAATAAATGATTTGACAACTTTGATTAAATCTAAAAATTTAATTTAATCCAATTCGATTTTAATCTGATCTATTAATCTATGATGCAGATAATGACTTTTTTTGGTAAAAAGAAGTTTTTGGCAAAAACAAATGAGAAGTAAAAAATAAACAAATAAATAGATATTAAATTAAAATTGAAATGAATTAATTTTATTCAAAATAATTTTATAGAAAACGAAAAAAAGAAAAGATCGCAACATTTATAATAATAATGATGTTTTTTTCTTTTTATTTTGTAATATTAATATCTATATATAATAGATGATAAATATTTCGATTTAAAAAAAAAAAAAAAAAAAAAACTTTTTTCTTAATATTACAAAAGTTATCATTAGCATTAAATAATTTAATTGATATAAAAAAAAAAAAAATTGGAATTAAAGAAAATATTTGTGAAAGGTTTATTCAAGTAAGTGCAAATGTATAATTATACATAAAGAATGATTGTATGTGCGTAAATAAATGATAGTAATGAAGGATTTGTATTAAATATGAACAATATGGTGTTTCTCCTTTAATCATTGGCGCTATTTGTCATTTCGTTCCACTCTATCGTCCGTACCGGTTTTCACGTGGCACATATACGCATCGTATAAAAGACGCCCAAACAAGTAGAATTGTTGTTGTTGTAGTAGTTTTGCATGAGATAACAAGCAAAATATGACGACGAAATCATCGTTACGTTCCGTTGCTTTTGCAGCAGTCGTATTTTCAACGGTAGCCGTGACAGCGTGTATTTTCACGTTTCCTATGGTTTTCTATTATGTTCAAACATTACAAGCAACCGTACAGGTATTTATTAATTAATTATAAGTTTTAATAAGAAAAATTTTATTCATTTTTATTTACTATTTTTATTCATTTTGTAGCTAAAATTTTTGATAACTTTATTTCAAAAAAAAAACCAAAAATTTTGAAGTTTAATCAAAATTCATTTTATTTATTAACATTATTACTGATCATAAATTTTCATGCATTTTTTTTTTTTTTTTGGATATAAAAAAAGTGAAATAACAATTATTATGAAATTATTTTATGATTTTGTTTTACATAAATAGTTAAAATGAACTTCAATATGAAAATATATTTAAGTAATTTGGTCAGCAATTAATGTAAATTCCGCATATAAAATTATTTGGATAAAACTAAAAGTAATATTTTCATATATTACAAAATATATTGTAAATATATATATGAATATTATGTAAAGGGAAAGGAAAAAAAATGGTTCTGAGAGATCAAATTATAAAATTTACGGCAATGATATCTAAAAGCTTTTCAGATGAATGATTAGAGTTATATGTATGGTTAAAGTTTAAAAAAAAAAAAAAAAAAAATAGGTTAAATTCATTCTATCATCTGTTAAATTCTACAATAAATTAAGTAAGGGTAAAGAAGAATAATGCGAATAAATGTTGAAAAAAAATGAGAAAAGGACAAATATAGTAGTAGATCGTTAAATTTTGTATTAGAAAAAAAAAAATATTTTTTTTCTGAACCGGTTTTCATTCTTTTTGTTGTCAGGAAAAAGGGAGGGAGAGAAAGAGAGAAAAAGAAAAAAAAGAAAGAATGAGGACAAGAAATAAGTAAATTTATAATGAACAGAAAATATTAAAAAAATTAGAACCCGCTTCTGAATATATTTTCAAAATAAAAGCATGAAAAAGAAACTCTTTATTAATAAATTTATTTTAAATGACTGAAATATTTCAGAGAAATCAATCCGATTATTTCATTTCTATTAGATATATAAGAATATATAAATTTCGTTTTCTAAGTTTTAGAAGAGTTTTCGAAATATTTATTAAACTTTTAAATTACAATTTTTTAAGAGTGAAGTAGAGTATTGCAAATCACGTTCACGTGATATGTGGAAAGAGATGGTGGAGATGGGACCGGAAAGTGATAATGAACCGCTTGATATCCTGGTTCGTGCTACTCGTCAAACTGAAGCTCAATGCTGCACATGCCAGCAAGGACCACCTGGACCAGATGGACCACCAGGTATACCGGGAAGAGACGGTGCTCCAGGTGAAGGACCTGGAGCGCCCGGACCACCAGGTCCAGATGCTGATCTCCATGATCGGTTGCTTCCAGTACCTCCACAATGTCCATGCCAAGCTGCACCTGGACCTGCTGGACCGCCTGGATCACCTGGACCTGATGGACAACCTGGAAGCCCTGGACCAAGTAAGATTCATTTCTGATGTTTGTTAAGCTCTATATTTCTAGATACCATAAAAATTTCCATATATATATATATATATATATTTTTCTAGATGGTGATGATGGAGCACCAGGTCCCCCGGGACCACCAGGACCGCCAGGTGCGCCTGGTCAAAATGGACAACCCGGACAACGTGGACCACCAGGTGAACCTGGACAACTCATTCCGGGCGAACGACCACCACCAGGACCTCCTGGACAACCAGGACGACCAGGTCCACCAGGACAACCTGGCAGGCCTGGACCACCAGGCAGAGATGGTGAGAATGGAGCACCCGGTGGCCCAGGAGAGCCAGGACCACGTGGTAATGTTTGATGATATACATTCATATATAGATTTGCCATTCTTTTTAATTCGACCTAAATGCTCAACGAATTTAAAAAATTAAAAAATCTAACATTTGTTTATTTAAATATATTACTGATCAGATAAAAATTATAGGTCCACCAGGTCCAACTGGACAACCGGGATCACCAGGTGAGCAAGGTCAACCAGGTGCACCAGGAAGCTGTGATCATTGTCCACCAGCACGTCTTGCTCCCGGTTATTAAACATTAAAATGCAATAACAACAGTAATATATCAAAATCTCATCATCTCAACTTCTCATGTAAATGTTATATAGTAAAGAAAACAATAATAATCTGCCATATAGACTAACTCAATCACAAAATCATTAATCTTGAAATCTTTTAAAAATAATAACCACCACTGCTTTACTCTTTTTTTGATTATCATTCTGTTTTGATAACAAAAGAAAAAAAAGAGATAATCAATTGTTACTGATAAATACGCATCTCAAATAAATATAAAACATTTCTGTGGAAATTTCATAAATTTAATCTTGCTGTGCTATTAAAAAATATTAAATTCTTTAAATTTTCAATCTTCAATTACAAATAGCTAATGGAATGAATGAAAGCAAACATTACAAAAGATATTTTATATGAGATTGTTCATCAATCCACTAATTCTATTCTCGCTTCTATTCTTTTATACGTTGCCTGGCAATCAGTTGTGTGAAAGAGTGTTGGAAGACGATGAAATTAGATTTAAATTAAAGAAATGTTTTATTTTCTAGGGAAAATTTATAAAGCGCTAAAGAAAAATAAAGATCAAAGAAAGAAATAGGAATGTTTTTGTTAACTATCAGTGAAATACCAGATTAACTATCACTTATAATAACTGTTTTAAATTCATTGTTATATTACACTCAAGAAAAAAAAAAAAAAAAAAAAACAAAAAACTCACATGGCAGTCTTTAGAAATCGGAGGCTTCTAAATCCAACATATTTCTATGATCACACGATGAGATAATCAGGATTTCTCTAACATATTCATTCTTTCAAATTAATTCTTTTGACGAATCGATATTATAATTTATATATAAAAGCAGAGATAGGATAGGACTGTAATGTATTCAGCGGAAAATATTAAACACAAGAAATATTATTAATAAATTTGAATGACTTTTGTGAATACCTTAAAAGCTTCTAAAATGAGATTTGCGTTTGCAATACGGTGCTAACGGCAGTATGAGGAAAAAAAATTAATTTGCTCAATGACGACAAAATACAGTAGTAGGACTCTTGAAAACCAGTACATTACCAATCAATAATTTACATTTAAATTTTCTGAAAAAAATAAAAACTAATGAAAGCACAATTTTTTGAAGTAAATTTACAGAGTGAATAAATTTAAAATAGGATAAATCAAAGCATAATACCAACAAATTTCAATTTCTCAAAATATAACTGAGTAAAAGTACAGTACTCTATCATATCCTATTCCAAATAATATTACATTAGGATTTTTTTATAATATTACGAATAATATTACATTATTCGGCATAGAATATAAGATAGTACTATACTTACATTAGAATAAGATAGCATAAATTCTTGCCATTACTGTTTATTAAGATCGCAATACAGCATATTTGAAATTTTGTTTTAATTTTGAAATGATTACTGTGCCGTCAAAGGAAACTGAAGCGAAAACCCATGGATTGCTACCAGCCCATGCACAACTGTATACTGATTCCTCATGCTCTTCCATCTTCTCCAAACATTTATCACCCAAAACACTAAAAAACGATTCGTCGATAATTAACAGACAAGAAAATATTAGAAAAAAAACTGTCGGATATAAGTGAAAATTTCGATAGAATTCAAAAATGTATCTGTAACCGAGATGCCTGAAACTTTTTGTTCATTCTTGAATTTCATGCAGGTAGTGAGAAAATTGCAAGTGCAGAAAGTTAATCTTCAATTTTATTTTAAATTTAAAGAAATTACTTTTCGAGTGTAGAACAACTGTCGTCCAATGCCAATGCATGATTAGAATCAGAGCTAAGAGATTCCACGCTATTCAGGAATAATCTAGCATCACTGCCTGCTGATAACAACAACTGATCATGAAAAGGGTTGAATTTAACACACCATACCCTGCAATATCAACAAACGATTTTGTTAATTATCATTTTACAGAACCAATATTCCAGGACTCTATTTTCTCTTTAAGCAGTTTTAATAATTATCTCTCTTCAAGTAATTTTAATAACTTCATAATTTTTTAGAATAATTTTTAAAAAATTAACCAATTTTTAGCATCAAAAAGTACTTTCATATTAGACATTAGCTACAACATCGGGAAAAAGCAATAATTACAAAAATGCAAAATAACAAGAACTGATGAGAACTAGGAAACCTACATGAACTAATACAAAAAAGTTAAAACATCGGTTGCTTACTAAAATAAGGGAACTAAAATCCGTGAGAACCAAAAAGTTAATCTATCACTTTGGAAAGAGAAAAAGAACTGCTTTTGAAATAAAGACTCACCAATGCCTATGATCCTGTAAAACTTTCAATGGCATATCTAACTTCCGTATATCCCATAATGCCACTCTGAAATCATCACCACAAGTTGCTACAGTGTGCTCCACATTAGGATTGAAATCCAAATTTCTAACGCGAGGCGAATTTACATTTCTAATAGAAAATGTTTTCCTAAAATAATTCAATCCTTTTATAAAATATATGAGTTACATAATAAAAAGACAAACAAAACGTGGAATCGGATTTTATTTAAAGTGTAAAATTCGCAAAATTCTTTCACACACTGTTATGTAGAAAGATGCTTTTGATCAAATCTGATAACAAAACTGAACATAATAATGTCAACTTACTGCATAGTGCGAACATCAATTCCTTCCACTAATGTATCGTAAGCTACCGCTAAGATACTGCCATTTGAGTAAAAATTCCATACCGATGCACTTACTGGTGTTTTACCATCGATCGATGTAGAACTTTCTATCTGAATCATTTAATGATTAAGATAATTTAATTATTGATGTATAATGTGATGAATCTTGAAGTATAAGTCCAATTTTGAGAATTCTGAAAGTTATAAAATACTTTTTAGTTTCATACTTCTATTAGGATAAAAACCTCGTGGTCGCTATTTAGCAGTGAAATTTAAATTTATCAGAAAACGACTATTTGTAATTTAAGTTAATTTGTTGATATTGAATATGTTAAAATCTGAATTTATAAATGGAAATTTCATCAAAAGACGAAGGATGTAGGCTGTACAAATTATGAAATATGAAAACATGAGAAAATAAAACTATTTTCACAAAATTTTGATTGCTAACAGAAACAGTCTCTTTTAAAAGGGTCATGGATAATTGGAAATAGCTCAGTTCTATTGCAAAAATACGAAGTACAATAAACCACCAAATAAATTAACTAATCAAAAAGCAAGTAAGCAAAAGCAAAAAAACCTTTAGGGAATTAACAACATCAGCTAATAGCACAGAATTATCAACGGCAATCGCCAATTTATTTCCACTCGGATGGAATTCAGCTCTTAAAATAAATTATACGTGAAAAAATCTGCAAATGTTAAAACATATATAATCATAGAAAAAACTGAGAATATATGATTAAATATGAGTTAGCAACTCCAAATAGATTTTTCTCTATAGTTTGAAAATTTCAAACATTTTGAATTTTCAAGTATCTTGAAAATTTCAAGCTGTAGAAAAATTTGTTTGAAAATAGTAAATCAAGTTTAGAAGTTTAGAAAAAAATGATACATCCAAAGTTGTTTTAACCATGAAAAAATGATTAAACAAATTTGATAATTTGATAAAATATAACTATCTATATACACACTTCTGTTTCTTAAAAGTCATATGCATAGCTACACTGAAAGATGGCCAATTCCGATGATCTTATTGAATGTGCAGTATTATGCAAATTTTGATTGGAGATATAAGTAATTTAATAAGAACCATCAATAATTTTCTTTTGCTTTGTAATAAACACATTAAAAGTTACGAAATGCATTTTCCACTTTTCGAAGGAGATATATATTGAGCGAGCTCAACAAGATTTGATTCGTCATCATTGATCTTCCACAAACCAACACCACTTCGTATTGTGTCATTCCCTAAAAATTTCTTTATCGAATTACCAAAAAAATATGAATAAAATATGTGTTTCAAAAACTTATGAATAACGATTATTTTGATTTTCTTTTATCCAGCTGAATCCTTTATAATCTTTGCTGATTACTTTTATTAACAACTATAATAGTTATCTTGCGATGCCGACTTATTGTTGATTACTTTTGTAACGACGTAAACACTTTTCTTCTGTTTCCTAATCCATTTCTGTCATCTATCATTGTTAACATAAACTTTGATAATGTGTGTGTGCGTGAGTGATGACTGGACACTTACAAGAAACATAACATGTAGCAAAAATATTCGAATCGACGAATGAGCTTGACATAGACCAAATTTCACCAGAAGGATGATCAAATGACCTTGTGCTAATATCAAGCCAATTATCATCGACTTCCAGCATATAAATCTTAAATCAAGTTAGGTCAAGAGTAAAACATAAATGAAATTATTTTATGAGTAGCTTCGAAAATACACATTAGATAATTAATAAAAAATTTCGTCTGAAATATTTGGAAAACATTAACCAATTATTTGCCTTGCAAAGCCGAAAATAATTTTCAAAAACGACATTGGCGAAAGACAATAAATTCTCCCAACCATTACTTTTAGTTTCTAAAAGACAATTCCTATCACTTCAAAAAATCTGTTTCTTGCATATCATGAGATTTACCTGATTATCCTCCTTTAACGATTGAGTACCAACAAGAAATAAAGTTCTTTCCCCAGCTGGAAGACTGACAATACTTCGACTGGGCAAATTGATCCCATACTTTAAAGAGGCTTCTTCCGTCATTTTCAGCTAAATTTGCACAATGTTATAGATGAACAACTAACAGACCAAATCTGCAATGACGCTAGAATCCAGTAAAGACATACCAACCTCGAATACTCTTCCATGCTAAGATAGTTGTAAAGAAAAACCTCTTATTAAGGATAATTTTAAAAATTTATTCAAACAAATGGATGCAAGTATCAGATCTTTCACGTCAAAATTAATATAATGAAGAATGATTATATAAATGCATAATTTATTTAGTTGATATAAGTAATGCGATTTTGTCGTAATGCAACAATAATTATGAAACTACAAAACAATATATGTAAAGCTTTAAGACCATAAAAGAAAGCCAAACAAAAGGCAACACAAAGAAACTTATAAATAACAATAAACTGATTGAATTTTAGACTTAAACTCTTGCAAAACTAGCAAAACTAATAGAACAAAATCTCAATCGTACAGAAAGGCAATGTATGAAATGTCTGAAATTTATGACAAACACAGAAATGTTCCCAAAAAAAAAAAAAAAAAAAGCACAAATCAGACCTCAAGACAATCTCCTCAAGACAATGGTTAATAAGTAGAGTAAAATTACTAAATGAGGATCATCGTAGATTTTGCAGACTGATAAATTAGGAGTTGAATTAGTTATTTATACTATGAAGTCGCTGATGATATCGTAAACCGTATTAAATACCATTCAATCGTGCTTTTTAAAAATACCACAATACATAATATAACATACTACTATGGCAGAAAAACTTTGGTTGAATATAAAAATTAAAAAAAAAAACGGTCAGGTAAAACGGGTATTAATATTGAGCACTAGTATTATGACCACTCGAAACGATGAGCGTAAATAAGGCCCATTAAGGCAAATGCTGCATTGGTCCCAAGGGATGCAACAATTAAGACTGTCCACAATCCTCGATGTACGGTGGCACTTAGTAGCGTTCGTAATGACCCTGCAGGAATTGTGGACAGTATTTGTGAATTAACAGTCTCTTGATTCATCCCAATCCATGAAATACCACCTAAATTTGAAAGTTTAGTATATTCCATAACAATATACAGTGTTGAGACAAATCTATATTTTTTTGTTTCGTATCTTACATTCTCATTCCTTATCAATCAATAAAAAATTCCTCTCAGCATACAAATTTGTAACTGTGAAAATCTACCACAAAACTCACATGTTGTTTTCAATATTAAAGCATAGAGCACCGGCAGAAGAGGTGGCACAAAATAATGCAAAGCAGCAACATTGAAAAAATAAAAATAACGTTGTATCTAAAACAATAGATAGAAATCATTTCTTTTTTTTTTCTGTAGGATTAAACTATTTGAAAAATCAGAAAAAAATGGAACTAAAAACTTCCTCAAGAAGAAATTATTTCCTCGATTCATTTCACTAATGATTTACTCCATAAGGCACCTGAAAGTTGCGAAAGTCTGAAATTCTGGCTAACCTTCATTTGCAGCACTGATGTTTTGATCCAACCACTTTCACGATGAATCTTAGAAAGGGCAATCAGAGACTGATCCAGAAATGATTGCAAATGAGGTCGATATAAGAAAAGGCGCAACAATGCGGTTAGAATAACGATATATATACGCAGGGTATCCATCTGAGATTCATTCAATCTGAAAATATTATAAGGCAAAATGAAAAAAAAAAAAAAAAAACTAACGTGGAACTACAAATTTTTTTGATATTTCACACTTAAAGAGAATTATAAGTACTTGATTAACTAAAGAAACCCTTTTTATAAATAAAAAAAAAGTTAAAGAGTTTTGTAATCTAAACATAAATATTAAATAATTTAACATCTTGCAAAAAAAAAAAAAAAAAAAAAAAAAAAAAAAAAAAAAAAAAATAATAATTTGCATTTTCACAAAACGAAGATGCATAAATGAGGAATTTATTTAAGCAAATATAACTCACAATCGCTTAGGTCCATAAACCAGGTAGTTCTTTGCAGGATGAGAGTATAAAAACAATGCCAAAAATTGCGACATAAAAGTAAGGTGATATAACATCCTGGAATAATCACTCATATCATCAGTTTGATGAGAACGAAACAATTCGTAAGGATAACAATAGAGGATATTTCATATCTTTTATAAACGTTAATCGATATGAAAAATATGCAGTTAATGAGAGCTTAGTAATAAGTAGGCAATTCGCAAAGGAAGAGAAGTAAACGTAGTGTTTTTCCTTCTGTTATTTTAAACTTTGCATTTGTCCCAGTTTAAAATTATTAACTTGCAGAGAGATAATAAGACTGGTCGATACCCAACTAAAAAACCAATAATATACAGCTTCTATTAATAAAAAAATTTTTTTCTTTTTAAAAAGCAAGCATGGCGTGGCGAAAATCTAATAACTTAATAAAATTGTCATTATTTGCAAGCGTCATTAATTTCAATCCTCAATCTAATAATGGTTTACCACAAATATCAGTGCAAGTATGGGAAATTCAGTTAACGATATCAGAACAGAATTCAAAAGAATTTATAAGAGCAGAAAACTATTTGAAGAATATTACTAAAAATATTTCGACATGATATACAGAAAATTTTTACCTATCAAGAGGTCGTTCAGCATTTTTAACAACATCAGAATACATACGCGCATATCTAAAACCAGGAAAAACAAGCAGAGCAGCAAAAAAAGCCAACATGAACGCCAAAGAGATGAAAAAGAGAAGTGGCGAATGTTGAGACATATAATCTGGAACTTGACTCTCCGACATAAATTTTGCCGTTGCATTCTTCAGCGAATCGAATGCTGGAATCAATAATTTCGAAACCAACAACAAAAAAAATATATTCGAAAAAATACTTAAACTGGGAATAATTGTTACTGCAATTTCTGACTGCAATATGATTAAGGAATCTTAGAATCTTATTACCATGAAAGCTGAATAATTCACCTTCATTCACGGGCATATCAAAGAGACGTTCGGCGAACATGATTAAGATTAAAGAGAATAAAAAAAATAAAGACGCTATTGAAATGACCAAATTTCTTTCTCCAATGGCAACATTACTTGTAAAGTATGTGGCCGCTACTACAGTTAATGCCTGAAAATCCATTATACTAGGCATTTCCCAAAATAATTTTCTTAATAAATTCAGATCTTTCTAGTATTTTGTGAATGACACATTTCCAGCAAATTGCACCAATGTGAAATCTTATCTTTCATATCTTCATATTATAGTTCTTAACAATTTATGAAGAGAAAAAAAAAAAAAAAAAACTAATGCCTGAAGTAGGAAGAATACCGACAGGAGTAACCATATAATGGAAATATTAAAATCTGTATTGCTAGGAAAGACAAAACATATGACTTCGCTTGTGATGTAGGATATCTGCAAACATAACGCATTAATTTATCATAGATGAAACATAACATAACACAATTATATTAAAAGTAACAGAGCCATGAATTATGCTTGCTCATACATGCTTGCTGTCTATTACCTATAAATAGTATTGTTTTTGATTCATAAATCTATTTTATCAACATTGGCACACTCCATAGAAAACATTTGTGATAAATTGTGGATTCACTTACCACTTTTTCAAATTTTCCCATGAATTATAAAAATTTTTTTTTGTAAGAAATACTGAAATTTTGATTGAATATCATATAAATATTTAGATTTTTTTAATATTTATGTTTTTTTTATATTTTTATTATATACATATTAAAAAAATATTGAATTTTATTATATGAATATAAAATAAAGTGATTTCTTTATGTATTTGTTTACTTACAAGAGTAAGCAAAAAAACCGCCCTATGCCCGAAAATTACAGATAATTCCAAAATTGTCAGAAATAGAAGCTATTTAAAAATTAGCATTAACTAACAGTTCAAGTAAACTGAAATTAAGCTGAGTGGAGGAAGATGTCCTACAATATATGCAATCATATCTACCACTTTTCAACTCCATCATTATAGATTGTTCTGCTTAGGTTTTAAAGAAGTGCATTCATGGGTAAATCAAGGGTGAGACATTGCAACCTCAACTTACCACAGTAAAGCCAAGAAATTCTGCAGACCACATAAATGTTTCATAAAACTGTAAACGTTGCAAATCAGCGATATCCACCGGAATTGACATCAAATCTAATTCTATTTTTTTCGATACCAAAGCATCAGATTCTTCATCTCTACAAAACAAAGGATACATCAGAAAGTTTACCAAATTCTGGGAATTAAATTAAATTGAACAGTGAATTAAAAACATTTCGTTATTAAGGAAATAAAACTACCGGGGATGTTTACGCTTTCGATTTTTCACTGAACGTATAGAATGGGACTGGGATGCTTGTTTTAAAGCAGCACTCGATGGTGGTAAATAGCGCTGCAACCTGAAAGATTGAAAAATTTTAGTCCCATCAGGAAATAAAAAGTACTGACAAAAAAAGAGCCAAAAGTGAAAATAAGCAAGCGACCTCAATAATCACAAACTTTTTAGTTTCATGTGGAAAATGTAAAAAACATCGTCTTCAAGTTAGACTACAAAAGCTAAATATGAGCATATGCTTGAGGAAAGTAACTAAGCAGATTAAAGTGCTTAAACGGCCATGTAACTAACAGAATTTGAAAAAAAAAAAAAAAAAAAAGAAAAACTCGAAATAATGTTAAACTACATTTTGAAGAAACCAAAAACTCAACTCTCAAAGAGAACAAACTTATTACTATAAAATCTAAGAACTAACCGGTTACATAGGATGATCTCGACCAGTGAAAACCTCTTTCGAATTTTAGTTAAGAAAAAAAAGATAAACAATGAAGCAAGTATATGATGACCTAATATAGCCTGAAATAGAAAATGTTTGAAATTTTGTGAGTTTCATAAAAATTACATGAAATGTACTGCTTGTGCGACACTTTTTAATGCTGAAAAAACTTATCAGCAGGATTTTAATGCATTCAACTCAACCTCACCCACAGATTCTAATTTGAAGTTTATTTTTCTAAATTTAATTCCATTATCTACATGCATAACAAATAATAAAGAATAAAAAAAGTAGCTCATTACTCTTTATTTACTGGTTTTAATAATAAAAAAAAAAAAAAAAAACTCAGACTATATTACCATTTAATTCGTATATAAATTGTAATAAGAAAAGAATCTGAAAACATTTCAGGATCTCCCAAATATCGTTCTCATAATTCCGGATTACAAAAGCGCCATCCTTGTACGTAAAATAGTTCTTAAATACAAGAAAACAAATGTCAAACGAATCGAATGCATATGTAAAATCTATAATAACCTGAATTAGAATTTACGTGAAGATAAAGACATGAAAGGAGGAAATAATAGGAATGTGATTTAATTGAAAAATAATTTTTACGTGAAGATAAAAACGTGAAAGGAGGAAATAAATTTCACATAAAAATGAAACGGACGCAAATTCCTACCAGAAAATCATTCGGGAATGCCTCTTCAGTAGGGAACGGTTAGACGGTGAGATAGTTAGGTAATGAGAAAAGATAAAAGATTAGACGAGCGGAGAGAATAGTGACCCAGATTTAGAATAGTATTGTTTTTCTTCTTTCGTTAACTATTTCCTTTTTTTTTGCGCAGCAGGTAAACGTATAACACGTACGAGGAAATGTTGCGTGAAATATAAAATAATATTGAATCTGTCCACTGTTTACATTTTTTCAGCATTAAACAAAATATTTTGCAACATTTCATGATCAACAACAGTAATTTATCATTACCAGGTGATAATGTTAGCCGAACTAAGGCTGAAGAAAGACCGAGTACATGAAGAGGCGAAGTATGTTTTTCCCCTTCTCCCTCTCCTTCCCCCTTTTTCCCTCTCTATCCTTCTCTCTTTCTCCCTTTGTGTCTTCTATATCAATCTTATCATTTTCTTCCTCATACGTTTGTCATTTCATTCTTTCTATTTTTGTCAGCATTACTTATGACTTTTATTTCATTTGGAGAAATTATGTGATGAAACATTTCGTTTAAAAAAAATGTTTTTTTTTTTTTTTCTTTTTCAATAAGAAAAGAAATAGTCGTAAGATTGAATCACGAAAATTTTGTTTCATTAAGAAAATTCCATATTACAAGGCATACAGTTTATTTATTTTTTCTACAATAATGTTAGTTAATGGCAAATTTAACGGTTTTTACATATAAAATATGATAAATTTAGCTATATTCCTTAATTTTTTTTTTGGAAAAAGCAATATTCGTAATAAAGATTTTCCTTTGAATATTATCAATTATTTTTTTTCTCATCATCAAATTTTTGGAATTTCTAAAAAGGAAGTTTTTTTTTTTCAGGAGATTATTTGCTGATTGGAAGCCTGTAGTGAACAAAATGTTGGAGACTTATCTCACTCTTGATCCGGGCTTTTCGGATGCTCAAAATTATGCTTTATTTGATTCAAATCTTCCCATATATCTTTTAGGCGAGAAATTTACATCGAGAGGAGGTTAGCTAAGTTATTTATTTTCAGGGCTGCTATATTATGTAAATTCACTTTTGTATTAGGAAAAAGTGGAACTCTTTTCAAATTAAATCAATATTTGATCCTGTAAATTGCGATTGAGTTACATCGGTTTTGAAAAGCATTCATTTCTTTTTTGTTTTTATAACCTCATATGAAAAGCTTTACTGTGTTTATTTTGGTTTATTTTCTGGCTATAGATATGGCACGCGTAAAGGAATTTATGGCATCGTTGTTATGGTTTACATATCGTAAAAATTTTCAACCCATTGGTAAATTATTAATACTTCGGTTTGATGATACATGATTTTGTTGAAAACTGAATTAGGAAATACTACAATGATTAGGTAAATAACGCTTTTTATGACTGATTTAATAAATTTGGTATCTGCTGTTTTCTTTGCTTAGTGTGATTAATTGCTTACTTCATTTTTGCATGTCAGTGTTATGGTCTTCTTTCATGTTTGCGTATTTTTATTAAGTGTCCAAAACAGATTTGTTATAGGTGGTACTGGGCCAACAACTGATCAAGGTTGGGGATGTATGCTGAGATGTGGTCAAATGTTATTGGCTCGGGTGTTAATAGTGCGACATCTGGGTCGTAATTGGCTTTGGGACCGAGATGTCATGTTGACAGAATACAAACGTATTCTGCGTATGTTTCAGGATAAGAAAAACTGCCTTTTTTCAATACATCAGATAGGTAAAATTGAGCAATTTCTTTTGGTATTTTATTACGCTTTATCTGTTTATGCTTGTGGTTTTTAAAAAATGGTTGTTGTTGAATCAGAGACTACGTTGAGATTCAACTGAAATTTTGATTTCATATTTGAAAGTTGGCCTCTACATTCTATAAATTCTTCTGCGAATTTAAAGCCTGGGTTTTTTTTTTTTTTTTAAGTTTGGATTTGACCTAACATAAAAAGCATTATCAAAAAGTACCAATTGTTGCGTAAATCCGAATTTGGTGTAGTATTGCTTGAGAAGTAATATTGAGTTTTTAAAATTAGAGTTCTATTTTGGTGAATGTTTTGATAATTCGAAATAAGATTTGTCTATTTATAGCAAATATGGGAGTATCTGAAGGCAAAGAAATTGGAGAATGGTTTGGTCCGAACACGGCTGCTCAGGTTTTGAAAAAATTGGTCATATACGATCAATGGTCACGACTAACAGTACATGTAGCTCTTGACAATGTACTGATTACAAGTGATATACGCACTATGGCTTTTACTAGACCTCCTTACCGAAGGTCTGGGTAGTTGTTTTAGCTTTTGTGTATTTTTTTAGATAAATAATTCGACTCGATCCTTTAATTTTTTTTTATTGCATAAGATTTTTAAAGCATGCATTGCATACAAATTAAATGATTTGGACATAACTTTAGTGTCTTAAGAATTGTCGATATTAGTACTGTTTATCATTTACTTGACTGAAATTTTTATTGTAGATCTCGGCGTGAGACAGAAAGTGATTATAATGATAATCTCGGTACTATTGACCCTACTGGTAAATTCTTGTTTCATTCATATTGTTTATGCTAAAAAGGAAGATTTAAAAATATTTAAAACTTAAGCTTTCACAGAAGTGACTATAATTACTAATAGCTCAACATAAGTCTTATATGAAGATCTTACAGAAGCGGAAATATTACCGAAATCAACTCGATCTCCAACACGAAGTGAAACTTCGTCGATAAGCAGTTACAGTGGTGTCAGCGAAGAATGGCGACCATTGCTGATCATCATTCCACTTAGGCTTGGCTTAAATACAATAAACCGTTGTTACTTTCCTGCTATTCAGGTTTTCTTCTCTTATTCATTTAGTTTAATTCCGGAAATGAGGGAAATATGGCAGCGAATAATGCAAGAACCTTATAAGCACATTATATTTGCATTAAAATGCTCTTATTCATCGAATTTTTTTGGAAAAAAATGGTTGACTCATCTATGTTAGAAAATGAAATGTTCCAACTATAGGGATTTATACAAAGGAAAAATGTGACTTCAGTCTGAATACGGACGTTTTATGCAAACACTATGCATTAATTGAGATAGAGAAAACAAAAAAAAAAAAAAAAAAAAAAAACAATGATATAAAAGCTTGAATCCTAGTTTTTTCATTTTTTATTTTTTTTTTTTTTGCCAGGCATTTTTTGAATTGCCACAATGTGTTGGCATTATTGGCGGTCGACCCAATCATGCGCTTTACTTTTGTGGCATTGTGGATAACAATGTATGTTATAAGTATTGATACAGTTATTTGTTGTGAAATGAATGAATGTTTCTCTGAACAAAGTAATTATGAAGTAAATGAAACTACATTTCTCATCTTTAGTAGGAGCCTTTGAATCGAAGAATGAAGTAATAGTAAATTGACTTGAAGCTCATGCAATCTATGGTGTCATTCTCCAAGATTTCAAAATGTTATGATATCACTTTTAAAAAGGTGATGTTTTTAGTTGCTTTATCTCGACCCTCATTTCTGTCAGAATTTCGTGGATTTAGATGAAGCTACGACAACAAAAGATGAACGTGGTGATTATGTTGAGGTAAGATGCTTTGTAAAATTCGAGTCTTTTCAATTCATTGTTATGCATAACTCTTCAGATCATGATATCTCTTTTTTTTCCATTTTCAGTTCATTTTTTCATACATTTGCTTTCTTTCTTTTTTTGCAGATCAAAAATGATGAATTCAGAGACAGCACCTATCACTGTCCATTTATTCTGAGTACAAAGATCGACAAGGTGGATCCATCGCTGGCACTTGGCTTTTTTTGTCATACCGAAGATGATTACAGCGAGCTAGCAAACCGGCTACGGACAGTACTACTTTAAGTTAATCTATCCAAGAGAGTCAATCATTCTTGCAACATCTTTTAATGTTAACCTTGGATTCATCCCGTTCATTGATTTTTATCGCAATATATTATGTTTCAGCATTTGCTACCAGCTTCAACACCACCTTTGTTTGAAATGCTTGAAACAAGGCCGAAAAATTTTCCACCATTTATACCGTATGTTGGAGAAAATACAAAACTACGAGGTAAGTTAGTTAAATCAGCTGTTTCTTGCTGAAGTTATCTGGTAAATGATTTGAGGTTCAGAACATTTGTGACTAGTTTTAAACAATGATATAAGATGTGGCAGGAGAATCTATTGCCAAATACTAGATTACATAATGGAATAAGATAGTTTATTACTAATTTATGCTTTTTGCTATTATATATCATGCCAACTGCATGTATTGAACAAGAAATTACTTTGATATGGTAAAAGTTGCTTCACAGTGAGTTATTCTGTGGGTTACATTTCAGAGCATTGGGAATGCTTTTATATGCAACAGTGGACGGAGAGTTGTCATAGGATTATGTTAAAGAAAAAAAGTGTGTTAAATCTATCTCTTCAAGTTTGTTTTTCAGACTATATGGATCTCGGTGAAGTGAATGACAGTTATGATGAATTCGAACTGCTTGAATAGAAAGAGAGGAATAGGGCGAGAAGAGCTAATTGGAACTTTCTTTATAGTTTCTTCATAGTTAATTTTTTTATTACCATTTCTTACATCATTTCTTTAAGCAATCGATTTTGAGATTTCTGGGGAATTCTGCTTAAGTTCACTAAATGAAATTTTAAATCGAAAAAGAAGTTTGGAAATTCCAAGTGAAATCTCATGTATAGAAGTTTAGATTTCAGTTGTTAGGCTTACTTTTCTGTTTGTAATTTTGATCTTTATCTCATGCGCTTATATTTACTCTCGTGCTGCTTAGTACTGTACACACTAGTTTTTTAAAATTCTTTTCGTTCTTCTTTTCATTTATGTTTTCACTTTATGCATATACTTTCGCTTCTTATATCTTATAGTGGCTTAAGAACTATTGTTAGCCATTGATGCTAACATTTTATGTAGTTTGAAGTAGAGGACATTTGATTCGAGTTCCATGAAATAATCAGATAATATGACATCACTATGTTGCATAAGTTGAGTTATGTAGTTTTTCGAAGGTTTTTATTCTTGATTTTCATGAGATTTGAAATTTGCAGTGATGTTTTTCCGAACTTTAAATTCAATTTTCATTAACACTTAATCCTATTTACACAGAAGCTTGTAAGAGTTACACTGGACATATGTTAGCAAATTATTTTCTTTCTTCTATTCATATTTTTTTGTTATTAGTCTCTGTTTGTTTCCGGGCAATTAATTAACCAGATTAAACCCTGCGAATGTTCAAATAATTTTTCCAAATTGTATATTTCAGAATAATAAGTCCTCAATGGTTCGAGACAGAATTTAGCATGAGCTTTATTTTTGAATTTATTTGCCAAAGACATTAGCTAATATCACTTTTGTATCTCATTGTACAAACAAGAATTTCTACATTTCTGACAATTTGTTTTTTTTTTTTTTTTTTTTTTCTGCTGAAGACAAAGAAAAGTGAATACTTTATTGGGTAAATGCTATAATTCATATTTTTCTCAAATGCGCTGTAAAGATTAAGTAATACAGCCGGGAGATCAGAATCGAGACATTTTCAAGATTGTAAACCTGTAAAAGAGATATGTAATGCAAGTATCGTTATTTAGGAGTCACAATGCTTGAAAATAATCCATCCATTGTTTTCAATCTCTGTAACCTACCTAATATTCAAGCATCAAATTTACAAAGACTTTTATTATACCTCCTAGACGCTTGGGGTCACATCCGTGACTAATTCCTGAGGTTGGGGGACGCTACCAAACACACATTAGGTCTTAAGCCGAATTATTGCATACGGTGATCCGTTTGGCATATGAATTATTATAGCTAGCGCGGAAGACATGTTACATGGATGTGCGTGTTACTACACTGACGTCCGTCAGTGTATGACGTGAGCTTCACATTTATAACTAATATGTCACGTGTGTTGCAGTGTCTCGTCATAGCTATTTCGAAGTAGTGTTCATTTTTTTATAATGTTTTCCACGTGTTTTTTCACTTCAAGTATAAATCATCAATTTAAGACTGATGCTTTACTCTTCTATCCATCAGTATTATACTTTCTGATACCTTTCCTATCCGCTGTTCTATCCTTTCTATCATTTTTTTTTAATCGTATTGCGTAATTCACACGATGTGCCTTCCTTATTTTTTTTTTGAATTAGAATATTGACCCTAATCTTTGTGCTACTGATTCATTTCAGTGAGTAACAATTCATTGAAATACCGGAATGTATTCTACTGAATCTGAATTTTGCACCAAATCAAGGAATTTATAGTTTTAGCATCATGAATTCGTTTCCCTTTTTCCCTCACTCCATCTCTTCCTCAGTTTGCCGAACTACCCAAAATCTTTGGTGATGAAATTTATATTGTCTCACTCATGACTATAAATGAATGCTTATATTAGTTACTCTGCGGAAGAATTTTGAGCTCATTGAGGGAATTGGAGTCTTAAGACTTCTGTTACTTTAACTAGCAGTTTTGTTAGTTATATTGTTCAATAAAAGGCAAGAAGGATGAAAGAATTTCGATATTTTAAAACGAACTGAATTTAAAGAGAAGTTTTTCCATAATCCAATGACTTTTGAAAGAAAACAAATTTCTTTTTCCTCTATTTTAGAATTGCTCTGTTCTTTGGAAGCATTTTTTACTCACACATTTCCTAAAGTCATCCTAAAATATCACATGCACATATACTATTCGTTTGTGTTATTCTTAAAATCTTAGAATAATTTTACTGTTATTTGCCTTCATTTTCAGTGTTAATATCGTTTGTGATAGCAATAGGAAAGTGATAAGGAGTGGCTTACTGCTAATACTGGTATTGAATATTGGAATCACAATGATTTTTTAAATTTCTAATTAGAAAATGGTATGCTTATAACTAATTCAATACTTTTCTGCTTTAAAATTTTAATTCCTCATGGAATTCATTTTTTTCTGTTCGGGTTTGATGTTAGTGATGTAGGAGATCTTCAAAAGACTTCGATACATTCTTTTAAATATTAAATTTTAAGCTTTCTTAGTAATAACTGTACCAAATACTGCTGTAATAACTACCGGTGTTGCCAAAATATGCTTACAACGCATTGATAATTTTAACCACTTGACACTTACTGTTATCTCGGTTCTTTTGAAGGATTCTAGAAAAATGCACACCAAGTTACTTAGATTCTAGGGAAAAATCTGTTGATTTTTATAGAATGAATTTCATCACTAGTTTTTTTTTTTTTTTTTTTTTTTTTTGAATAGTTAACCAGAGTCGCTTTACTAAGCGGCAATGATGAATACATTCTTAGTGCAGCAATTTTTGGGAGAAAGTTGTCCGATGATCCTCCTGTCGATGATTTTGTGATGTTATTGTCTTTCTTCGCAAATGACTGATTAAGGGAGGACATCTGAGGTACAACTATGACTTCTTCACCAGTTACTGCTGCTCCTTCGAATTTGGACGATATCACTACATCACTTTTCTATCAGTTACGCGATAAAAACCGTGTAAGAATCAATCTTTTTTTTAAAACCTCTCTCTTTTACTTTGGTGAAATAACCTTTTAATTTGTTTTTTGATCACTGAATTTGCATTTGGGTTTTAACAATTTTTTGCCAGTTCGTGTTTTGAACACCTTACTGATTTTTGTACCTCATTTAGTTGTTTTGGTTTGATATTCATTAATAAGAAACCAGGTTTATGATTTCGATGTACTGCAATGCCCTAAATGTCCGGAACGACTGGAAGCTCTCGAACTTGACGTCTACCAAGAAAATGGTCAAACGTATCAAAGAATATGGTGGACTTGTCGAGGCATAAAAAATCAGGTCTGTTGGTTTTTTTTATTTTTGTTTGAAATGAAACACTGGAGATGTTGTTAGATGGCTTTAAAAAAGGAACAAACAATGACTAAGAAATTAAGTTTCTGGTTTTATTGTTAAAATTGGTTTTAGTTCCACACTTTAAAATTCCTAAATTTCTTATTTCTTTATCAGTATGCATTATCACACGTTGGTGAAGAAAAATGTAGTTTAAAGCGTTATTCAACTTCAGATTTGAATACAAATGATGTAAATTTTAGTCCAGTAGGAAGTTCTTGAAGCACATAAATTAAGCTGGTTGCATTCCATTCCTACTATATCACATGTGTGTTATTCATTTGTTTCTGTGGAAACTATCTTAAAAATATTTAAAACACTTCTGAATTTAACGGAAACGACTTATTTCAGAGCTGTTATTTTCCATTATGGGTGCCGAGGGAGGTTTTTTGGACAAGGAGAACAGAGGAGCAGATGAGAACGGGCTATATTCCTTTGCCAAATATTCACTTATTGCCACAACGTTTATGGTACCTCTATCCAAATGTTTTTCGGGATAAACTGAATCAGGGAGATATCGGTAGTGCCAAAAAGGTTCCTTTTTTTTTTTTCTTGCATTTGTAAATTGAGTCAAGTAAGAAACATGTTACTGTGCCTCATTTTCAGAATAATTCTGGTACAGTCACGCCATCTTCGGGTCATGCAACACGAGGCAGTTCAGTAAGACCTGAAAGTGTATTTGCGGAAAATGAGGAATGCAGTCGAGACTCGTTTCTTAGTGCACCTCTCCTCTCAGATGGAATAAATCCTGTTAGTAATTTTCTATTATTGTTTGCAAATCTTTTTTAATTATTCATCTGATGTTATTTTGTTTAAGAGTGTTCCAAATGAAACGGGAATTTGGGAATCTGATATTCCGATTCGACAGGTTCAAATAGATGAAGATATAGAAGAAAGCCTCGGATTGGTTGAGGACACCCACACGCCCTCTTCAAATGGTCAGCCTATTGCTCCAGATCAAAAATATTACAACTGGGAAAACTCGGGTAACGTGGAAGCAAAAGGCATGGTGTGCAACTCGAGGTTGTGCGAGATGAGCCTAATTCCAGAGTCCTGGGATTCTAGAGTTGTTACTATGGATTTTCCTTTGGATTCATTCACAGATTCTGTCGTTCATTTTTGTTCACAATCAGATTCAGCAGTCCTGCAACAACGAGAACAATTGGAAGGGAGAAATTCACAGGAGAGTTCAGATAAACAGGAGATACATTCAGATAATAGCACTGTTATTCTGGAAGTTTTGCGGTCAGCATCTCGAAATGACGTCGTGCATACTGATGAAGATTTAAAAAAAGTTCAGTGTAATTCTGAAATAGCGACAAAAATTACAAGAAAGCAAAAACAAAATGCTGGTTTCGAGGAAAGGTTTGATGAAGCAACTTTTGATGACACTGTATCAGCAACTAGCAGTTCTTCAGACCGGATATCGCTCGTGGCACCATGGGTGAAGACGGGAGTGCTAGAATCTGTAAATATTGCTCAAATATGGGAAGTTTTCCAAAAACAAAAGCAACAACGATCGGACTCGGAGGTTGTTGACGATGACTACGTGGTCGCCTCTTTAATGAAGGAATTAGTAGTTAGAGTAGCTCTGGAACTTAATTTCGTCACAAATGAAGCAGTGTCTACATCGCTGTGCATGGGACAAAAGCAACATCATTTGTTGAATATAATTTCCTTGGAGGAAGCAAAAAAAGACTTTGGTGATTTGACACTTGAAGAATTGTTGAAAGGTGTTAATAATTTAAAGTCATCTGCTGCAGCTCAGAATTATTTGAAGAATTGGTCTAAGACAAACATCCAGAAACAGCAGTCAATAATAAATGACCGTCTGCAACAAACTGTTGACACACATACATCTTATTTTGAAAAAAATAATTCAGAAACATTCCATAGAATTTCTAATGAAATGACTACGGGTTTGGAGACACAACCATCATTCCGGAAACGGCGGTCTGATAGTGCGGCTCGACCTACTTTGCCGAGGAATCTTCCGGCAGATCAGAAATGCATTGCCGATGTAGAAATGGCCTTAAAGCAGTCCCTAAAAAGTATTAAAGGTCCGGAAGAAACAAGTCTTGCTCCTCGAATATCCATTCTGTAAGTGTTCTTTAAATTTCAAGGGATAAAATATTTTGTTACCAAAGTAGGAAAGGTATAGAAATAATAGTATTAACAGTTGTTACTGGTCATATTTCTCACGAATGTCCTTCATATTTTTCCTAATTTGAACTAATAAGATTTTACATTGTCAAAGTTAAGTTACCACTTCCTCTACATATCTCAAGGATGAATCAATTATAATGTAAATCATATTATTTATGTATTGCATGCTGCAGAATTTCTATTTTATTTCTTGTTTCTTTATCATATTCTTTAAAACATAGGTATAACACTTTCCTTTTTTAAATGCACTGTATTGTTAGTGAATGCAATAATAGTACTTATAATTCTGTCCCGCCGTTACTGCAGATATAGCCGTTTTATTGTTTAAATTACATTTTTTCAGAAAAGGTTCTCCTTCAAAGTTTCATCCTGATATGATCTCAAATGAAATATTCGATTCACTGAATTGGCGTCGACCTGTGCATTTTGGCGGTCGTACAAATCTAGATGCTTTTGTAATTTTTATATTGCAGATGTTATCTCGGTGAAGTTGTAGTTTGAAAAAAAAATCGGCTCCAAATCTTCCGTTTTTCTATGCCTTCAGTTTTAGCAGTATTAGTTTTTTTTTTTTAAAAAAAAACAGTTGCTACTTTTTCTGTCAAATCCAGCCAAGAATATGCTTATGTAAACAGGTAACGGCGTACAACTTACGATACAATCGTGCCGAATATCTGGATGCTTTTGGATCCGAACTATGCAAACGCAAAATTATGAAATTTGTCCCATCAATACCAGTAAAGCAACAACGTCTTGTGCGACGTATGCAGCAGAGGTTGTCCGGCCGAGAAGATATGCTAGATTTGGAAATGCTCAAGAAGGCCATTGATCCGGATGCACTACGTGTTCAGATTGCTCATCGCCTTGGTATTAAAGATGTGAGTGTCGTTTTCTCTTTTTTCAATGTTCAAATAGGTATGTTTGGAGGTATACTCTCTTCTTTCGATGTTGCTGTTTTTTGTGATTTATAAATTCAATGAATCTCAATAAGTTAGTCGCGTGGTCTCGTATTTATTATGGTGATATTACATAATTACAGCTGGACAACATATTACCATGCTCAAAAGTAGGAAATAATCAAGATGATGAAATAAGTAATAAGATGCAGCATATTGCCTCTGCTCCACTTGTGTCACAAGGAATTTGTGAATCTGTTTCAATGGAATATATTCAATCGAGCGAAGGCGGTAAATTTGTCTTTATATCAGATTTTCTACTAAATTTCTCAAGTTCTTCTAGTTGCTCTATGTTTGGAATTTTATAATCTAATACTTGGACTTGATTTGACCTCTTTTATTGTATCCAGGCCAAATTCAGCATCTCAACAGTCAGTTTAAAAGTCTTGTATTTCCATCAAAATCCTAACTTTATAATGGGTAAAACGAATGACAATCATTTAGATTAAATAAATGAAAATTAGAATGCGGCTGAAAAATTTCGGAAAGGTTTAAAGGCAGTTAATATTTTCTATAGTTTGTAGGTGAGCAGGCATCAATATCAAATCAATCGGAAAGTTTACATTCATTTCCTGTATCTGAGTATGAAAGTAATATTAAAACCGGAAAAAAACGTGAACCAAAAGCGCCATTTATTCCATCATTCAATGATCCAGAAGTTGATGCACTAGTACATCGAAAATTTAAAAATTATGTACATGAAGAAAACTCAACCGATGTTGTTCTTCAGCAATCTTCAATGCAGCAGTCGCATATGCCTGAAGTAAGTTGTAGCTTTTTTAATATTTTGGTGAAGATTTGTATGCATAAAAACATTTTGATATTTTGGAATATCAAATTTTTATTAGAAGTTACAATACTGTTACAAAAGTGTGGTCTGCCAATTGAATGTTTTTTGATAAATAATGAATTTGAAAAATCTAGCTAGTCTCATACCTTTTATTTAGTTAATTGCGATAAATACCGAAGAGGAGGAAAAGAATCTGACTTTTTTTTTCTTTTTTGATGCACTCTTACCGACGATTAGGAGCTATTGCTATGAAGTACGCAGTTTAGATGCGGTGCGATTTTTGTTTTTCAGCATTTGGAAGCATCAACATCACGTATCGAATATGTCGATTTTGAAAGTGCATTTGAGGAATACGAAAATGATGAAATGCAACAATTGGATTCATTTTTTGATACCAGTTTCAATGGTCATTCATTATGAAGCTATCATCTGCAAATATCTGTTTCTCCAAGTATTATATTATTTTCATCCTTTATGTAAGGAATTAGTAAGTCTGGTCTCTGAATTCTCCCTTTTGAAGCTTCTAATATATTGAAAACCGAGTAGTAAGAAGTAATTCTGGAGGAGTGTTTATTATTGTAACTGTTCAAAAAGAACAATTGAGAGGTATAGAGGAAGAAAGTTGCTTATGTAGGCTGAAAATATTATCCAGGGAATAAGAATTACTCAGGATTGTTTCTTGTTATCAGACGGGAATCTTTTTCCTGCATTGAATGACCATACAGTTTCTTTGTGTACAGTTTTGTAATAATTTGCCATCTATTCGATGTGATATTACTTTTCGTTTTTTTCCTTGTATTATCTAATATTTTCGAAATAAATTAAATTTCATTAGTTTTATATGTGTATGCATGGATATCCACAATACTTTGCGGCAAATAGTTAAAAAATAATAAGCATGAAAAGAGACGATGAGAAAAAAGTAGAGCAAGTAGAGAGAAAGCGATAATGAATGAGTTTCTGGTGATGATTGATAAATGAGGGTAGTAGTATTGCGCTTATTACGACTGGTTATGAAGGCTTGGTGTGACTGAAGAGTTTTCCCTCCAGTAATTACGGGCTATAGTCATTTATGATGTCCAATTCTGGTTTCTTGTTCTAGGATATTTGGAAACTGTTGTTTCAGCCGATGTCTGCAAAATATTGAACTTTTGGGTAGTAGCTCATTGAATTTTTTGATAAGTATAAAGATTGCTAAGGTTATCATTGCAGACTACTTGTCGAGAATGGCTGATTTTAGTACTGTGGACATTTCTCAAATTACGTCAACTTCTGGAAGAGATTTTTCATCCAATGGATCAAGTGACTTCAACTCAGAATTTTTAATAAGTAAGAAGAAAGAAGTAAAATGGAGTGAATGCCGAGATTTGGTCGAAGTTCCGGGTGAACCAGAATGGCAATTACGATGTATGTGCTTTTCATAGTGATGGTTCTATTGAGATATTAATGGTCAGAAATTTTCCGTTAGTGCGTATTTTAACTGCGAATTGTCCTTATTAATGAAACTGTAAATAAATTGATAAATTCGTATTTTAATGAATGGATTGCTTAAATTTTGGCTAATTCTACTCTTCTATTCAATCAAAAACATTGCAAAACTTCTATTTCATATAATGTTGCAAATTTATTAGATATGGCTGAAGCTTTTCCACAGTATTGCTGGAAATATGTCGAACCACAAGTGATTGCTTACTATTACTACAACATTGCTACAACTGCTAATGCACCTGCAATGCTTCCATCTGCTACACTTCCCGTTTTCTATGCACATTTACCGAATTCATTTTCACCCTATGATTTCAGCATTCAAGTATGTCAATTCGCTCTTTCATGTATCTAGATCTGATAAAAATTTAGTTGATTTTGCACCATTTTTTTCAATATTGTTTTCGAATTTTTCTAAACAATCAAAAATTTTGCGATATATGTTTATTGGATATCAACGTTAACCTAGCTAGAAAATGAATTAATTTTAGCAATTTATATTTTAAGGCTCATTTAAGGTAATCGTTTGAGCATATCATTACAAAAAAATGGAAAACATACTGTGGTAATAAATGTAGAAATTTCATTGCAGCTGAAGTCATTAGATCGAGTCCGCGAGCAATTATATCGTCAAATTCAGACTGTATACAGTGCAGAGAACGAATTTGATGTTTCAAGTGATCAGGCATGATCTTTTTCCCGAAAATTTAGGTTGCTAATAAAGTGCATATGAAAATGTTGATAATGATGTAGGTAAAAGTTCGAGAGATTATTACAATTTCAATTTATTTTTAAATGTGTATTGGTGCACCGTGTGCAGTGTTGATCGATGACTGGAAATGGTTACGGGCAAGGATCTTGAAATTTAGTAAAGGAAATGATGTAATAGTAGATCTTGTGGATATTGGTAACGACAATATTGTCAACATAGAGAATATTCGGCCTCTTCTAAAGGTTTTTGGACGTTTGCCTCCGCTTGCTTTGCGTTGTCGTATGAAAGGTGTGATTTTAGAAATTAGCTAGCTATACTGAAGTAGATTAGATTCGATGCTTTAAACGGAAACTTCAGCAAAATTGAGTATCAATTCTTAATATCTAATATTGCGAGGTTTTTTTTTTTTTCATGTTAAAGATTAACCTAATTTGCATGTAATTATGCCAATAGAGAATAGAAGCTAATGAATAGCATACCTAAGCGTACAAATTATGGCAAGAAAGAATAATTTTTGTATTTTTATTGAAAAAATATGAATGAGGATGCAACTATTTCAACAGACGTCGACATGAACGATCTAACAATGGAAAAAGTGAATGCATTTCAAAATTTAATTAAATCTTGTGGTGATGTTGTTCGAGTAGAACTCGCTGATGTATCCTCCATACCATTTCTCGTCAATTTATACCATCCAACGGTACATGACAAAAATCTTGGTAAACCATTTTATCGTTGTAAAGAGCATGCCAAACATAAAGCAGCACGAGAGAGGCGATGGAAGCAAAAATTGGCTCGAATGGTATGTACCGTTTATTATTATTATTTGATATGATATTTATTTTGTATGTTTCTAAAAAATTTCTAATTGCACTTCTAAAAAATCTACGATGTCAAAAATTCTGCAAATGAAGTTTTTAATGATTCGGTCGTATAAACACAGCTGTACTGATTGCCATTTGATGACGAATTCATTTGAGATGCTATGCTTCGTTTTTATTTTAATTTACTATAAATTTATTCGGAGCACTCAAATGTTTTCTTTTTTACTTAATAGTAAGTATGTATAACTAGTATTAGTGAAGTTAAACTTTTGCATCTCTTAGAAACTACCAACTTTTTTTCTTACTTGTGCATTGTTTATCCTATTATTTGTCTTCTTTACTTATTGTAAATCAATAAGCTTTGGCAAAACTTTGGCGACATGTTACGGCAACCAAAAAAATGGAGTTAGAAATTTAAAAATTTAATTGTAGAACAATGATTTTTCAAATGATTGTACAAGTGAGGAAGGTTCCGAAGGTGAATGCTTACAACCTACACATGTGTTGCATTTGGAAAGGTAGTTTCATTACATCATTAAGAGAATAATGGTAACAAATTTCAATTGAAATAATTTTGATACATAGGCATGAAAGAAATTGAAATGTTATTAAGAAAGAATGAATTGAAATGGAAGAAATTGAAATTTTAAGAAAGAATGAATTAAAATGACCGAGAAAAAGTAATAACTTATCAAATTTCTAGATTACAAAAGCCTATCGATGATGAACCACTTTATATTGCTCATATCGAAAATAGTCGTTTCATTTATTTACATAGCAAATATCACAAAGATACAATCGAGAAATTGGAAAAACAATTGTTGAATAAGGTTTTATTTAAGTATCTTTAGTTCTTATTTTTTATTTACTTGCTCAAGTTCAAAAAATTTTTTAAACTATTCTATTATTCAACTGTCACATCCCGCTAAAATTATATCTTAATAATTTCCTGAACTTTTAAGTAGATTTAGTTGGTGTTATTCAACAAATTCTCTGTAACTGATAGAATTTTTTCATTCTAATGAATTGATTGAATTTTGAATTATTCAATATTGTTTCTTTAATTAATTAAATTTCTTTAGTCTATTACATGGGTTCCTTTAGGAAACATATTCTGTTTGTGCCGTTTTCTTCTTTGTCTTTTTTTTTTCTTTCCCTTTATCTTGCTTGTCCATTAGTATGTAATCAAACTTTCGTTTCAGTGGTCTGAGCTAAAAATTGTTCCTCAAAAATACTTGATGCCGGCATTAGCTTGTGCTTATTCGGACATTTCCAATTGCAATCCCTGTAGAGTCATAGTGGCAGAAGTTGGAGATCAAACATTGTGGCTACGTAGCGCCGATCATGGATGGAAGAAGAATTTGTCGAAATTGGATTGCCTGTCTGGTAGTTTACGTTTTCTTACAAAAGAATTCTCAGAAACACCACTTGTAAGTTAAACGTTTTGTTATTGAATCTCACACATTTAATAAAATATCCGCCAGTCTTTTGATAAATCAGCAAAATTAATCTTTATCATCAATGTGCTGGTTGAACTAGTCTCAATAAGCTTATCACATTTTACTTGAGCTTATATAGTTTCGTTGAGGTTACTAAGGAATGTAAACAATTAATACAACAACCTTAAGAAGTTTACAGTTCATAACTTAGTGAATGTCTATTTAAATAAATATCTCCAACATTTTAACTTCTGACTGAAAATTTAGCTTCCATAATTTCGTCAGCTCTATGAGTGATATAGATTCGATGTGGAAAATTCACTGGGCAACTTTGAGTTAGTAGCGTTGGCGCAGTGATAAGTGGTCCCATATCACACGGAAACCCGTAGAGTTCCAATCTGGCCTCGATTCTTGGCGCTCTGATGTCATTAATTCATCAGGAGTGTATGCATAATCAGAGGTAGAGTAGGTTGTGCCAATTGGCGCAGCAGTCGAATCACCTTCGGTGTCAGACATTACCCTTAGTGTTTGATATTATCCTCTGGATTCGAAACACTGAAGTCAGACCAATGGATTTAGCAAGTGATGGGACGTTTGCATTGTTGTTGACAATTTAATAATTAAACGTTTAATATCATTCTTGAGTAGTAGGTACATTTTGAACTTGTTCGAAGACTCGATACACAGGATGAAAAATCGATTGCTTTCTGCTTCAAACTTGTCATCCCTAACCTGTTTTAGATGTATCTCTGTTGCCTGCCAACCTCCACACAGTATTATCCACATCGATCCGAAACGAATATTCTACGCAGTATTTTACCAACCGGTATGCTTGTGAATATTCGTCGCCTTTCCTGTAAGCGATCTTTACCGTATAAAACGAACATTTTTTTCGAGAATAACGAATCAGTTACCGACGTCCTCGAACGGTTGTGAGTTTTATTCGCGCTAGACTTTCATAATTAAATAATTTTGACCATTTTCTAGTTTTCTTTAAAAATTTTTTATTTTTCAGTTTTTTAAATGCAGATTTCTTGGGTTTATCGTTGCAGTTTTGTCAGAATTCTGAATGTACAAATTGTTTTAAGAAAAGCCGAAAAACGAGTAATACATCCATGCTTCGACTTACTACCATACAAACCATCGCCATATAGTGAACTTTGCAAGCTTGACTGCGATTATCAGGAAGATCTCGAAATTTTCTTGCCATTTGCAAGAGGTCATCTGGAGTACGCCAACTTGTAGAAATTTAATAAGATCAGACACCCAATGCAGTCTTTTAACAAGTATCTTTATATTTTCTGTGAACTATGACTGCCTGCTACACATTATTGTTATTCAGATTCACTATTTTCTTTCAAATATGCTCATGGGTGAATTACTGCAAAGCAAGCGATTATTATTAAAATATACAGCAGAGAGGAAGAACTTAACCGGAACTTCATCCGGAATGAGGAAGGAAAGCCTTTCACCGATCCCTAGTTCTTTGGATTTTCTGGAATTTAATAATTTTTCAGTTACATGGATTAAGTTCAGTTTGGGATGTCATTCTAATTCAACAGAAATTTTTTCGCATTAAAACGAAGAGTTGATATGATAAGAAAACCGTGATTTACACTGACAAAGACTCATATACAACGTGAGGAGGTATATTCCATCGTTTATAATTTTTCGGTGAAACCCTTGTCCTTCTATTAACATCGCGGTTAGCAGCAATAATCGGACAAATAAATATGGCTTAGGTAAAATAATAAAGAAAAGACGAAATACAGATGATATACGCATAAGAACAATGTACCATTGTAATATCCCATAGCTCACCAAAATCACCACTGATATTTTAAGATTTTTGCGGCAGCAATGATAATTTCGAAGCGAAATCATTTCGAACAACCAACAAGCTATAGCAGTAAAATTTGTAATTTAATACTTCTCGGAGCTTTAAATCAAAATTATGATGACTGTTGTTGACTTGAATGTAGTTCTGGAGTCACTGATGTTTGTTCTCCATTTGATTTTGCTGCTGATGACGTTGCCGAATTGTTTACCTGTTCTAGCATTCTTTGTAATTGTGCTTGCGGATCAATCGTTGCACGATTCGTCTGCGCAGCCTGCAAAAGCATTGCAGCTTCTTTATGATTAACCTTAATAATATGAGAAAGAAAATAATTCAGTCAAAAGAAACTTGCATTAATCAAAGAGAAAAAAAAAAACTGACCTGACCCTCTTTGGTTCTAAGAAGATTGTTGAAAAAAGAAACTAGCGGAGAATTGCCATCTGCTCCTTCACTTGTCTGCTTCGGCGGCGGTGCAGTTCGTTTCGGTGACGCTATTTCAACACTTGCAAGTTTGTGTAAGAATGCTTGCTCTTCTTCTGCCTCCATTATTTGGTCCCGCATTGATTGTCTTTCACGCACCATCTATAATAGATAAAAAAAAGATCAACTTTTTTATTTTCTAAATCTTTTTTTTAAAACGATTTGAAAATGAACTGAAATATGGACATAAGATTTGCCATCAATTTCAATCGGCAATAGATCTCATTACGGATAACACATAAATTTCATTTAGTTTAATTCCAAACTACCAAATGTGTGTGCATTTTATGCTTCATTATTTGCTTTGCTAATATAATATCAGTAGAAATTAACCGCTAATGGATGGTCCACATCTGGAATCGCTTCTTTAATTATATCCAGTTTTTTCTCATTATCCCAACCTGCCGGCACAAATACTGAATCCTTGTCAACAACTTGAGCAGGTGTTGTGAATGGCATACCACACACTCGATGAACAACATATTTGTATAGCAAAGCTGTATTTTTTTCTTCTTTCGCTGATGTGTAAACCTGAAACATGTTTTTCATATAAGCCACATAATTGAATGAAAAAAGAAAAACTTTTGTATACAACGTAAAAGAAACACTAATGATAAAAAAAATATACAATGTCCTACCAAAGCAGCTCCATGTGCCATGCAAAATTTGCGAACATGATACTGTAAGCGATCGAGCTGTTCATCAGACATTTCATTATGTGCTAAATCACTCTTCGTTAGCACAACTACTAATGCAGCACCTGTATTTCGAGTTAAGATATTTTGTTCCAACGGTAACAATACCTGAAATAAATGTATTGAATCATTTTCTTTTTAAGCAGATAAAAGATAGTTAAGCAAAGCAGGAAAGTACAGTGTAAGAGATCATCCAACTACTGAATTAAGTATTTGAATGAAAGAATTTTACGAATAATACCACAAAATGCGAACGTACATGTTCTGTTTCCATGGATGGTATTTTATCGCTTTGCATCGAGCTATCCAATGGTTCAACATACTCCTGCCAAAATAACTCTTCTGAAAAAAATCCGACCGATGAAATAAGTGTATTTCGGCCTTCTTCCATCTCTAAGAATTTAAAGTTGTACATAGTATTAGACAGAATTAATTTAAGTGTATAGGTATAAAAGAGTTATAAAAGGTTTTTAGAGTTATATAAAAATCAAATTTTATAAAACAACTCACGCGATTTACGAGCATCTATAACGGTAGCTTTATCAAATATATTTTCGATCTGATCACTTATCACTTTTACCCATTTATTCAGTGATGGCAATACTGCCCCAGGTTCTTGCATCGACGCACATAATATCACAATGCTTTTGCTTAATGGTGCGGTTAAAGCAAATTTTACCAAAGGTGCAAACGCTACATCACCATCCAAAACCCATACTGGAAGTGTTACGCTTTCACCAGGTGCAACGCCGGCACCTAAAACTGTAATGTTTAAATAGTTGAAACATACAAGTTTCGATATTATTAACATAGATACGAAAAACCTTGCATAGAAAACTTACTTGAAGCTTTCCGCAATAATTTCTACGATTCTACCTTTTTTGGAACTTAGCTATCACAAGCGTTTTCTTGAATATATTTCAAACATTTATAATTGCCTAAAGTCATTTCTACTTACAGTCAATAGTCTTAGCAGATCTAATTAGAGATTTCGATCAAATAAAATGGTTGAATTAAATTTGATATATGTACCTGCTGAAGCCAACTGATACGCATAGCTTACATCCCTATAATCCGTGTGTACATTTAAGAAATGGTATTCTAGAGCAGAACCACGACCAGATGTTTCTCGTTTCTCAAGTCTATTCAATAACCAACTTTTGCCACTCTGCCTATTTCCTGCAAAGTAACAAAAGATAATTACTTGATAAACAGGCTTCTCCATTTTGTTGATAAATACCGCTGGAATATATTATCCAGTCATCTACAACAACATTCCATATTTTCCAGCTGAAGTTTCACTTCATGCTTCTTTATTTTTCTTAAATTTTCTTGATGATAATTCCTGCAACTGCGATAAATGCTTACTGAGTTACTATGAAAATAAGGCTTAATTTATTAAAATAAAAGTGACAAGAATTACAAGGATTTCTTATTGGAAAAACAAGCAATTTGACTCTTTAAATTTGACAGGTTATACAATTCTTTGTAGCGTTACCTAGGAAGAGAATTGTTCCTGGTGCACTGTTGCTCATACCATTAGCGCTTACCTCAGATAATATTTGAGTCCTGCAATCAATTTCAGTTTGGAAATCCCAACAAATCTGCTAATTTCTTTACAATTTCAGGCATACTTACTTTTTTAATGTGTACCAGCTAGCAACTTCCAACAAGAAAAACTCGCCCCTCAACTATATGATAGATATTAAACTTAATGCTTCTCTCCTTTCCCCTTCATCTCCTGCTCTCCTTCTCAACATTACTCGCCGAAAAATATCAATCTTCATAAAACAAAAACAAGGACTAACCAAATCCTTTCATCATCATTTCCACTTGTATTTACAGTCGCATTACCCGCCACCTGAAGCGACAAATTTAATGAACCAGTTGGAGGCATTCCGAACGATTGAGCAGACAAACCTGTAACCAAGGCATTAAGTGTGCTTACATTTTTTTTTTTTCTTAACTCCAAATAGAATTTCGAACATTTCCGATAAGAAATAGCCAGACGAATGAACTAGAATATATGAAAGATACGATATTGTTCATATACATAATACAACCCTTTCAATCATTACAATTTAATCTTTTACAAACATTAAAAATAAAACAAATTGGTAATAATATTGATAATATTAATATATTTCTTTAAATAACAATAATAATGATAATAATAATACCAACAATGATAAAAATAATAACAATAATAATAGTATCATAACTACTACTAGTAATAATAATAATTGAACTGATTGCTAAGTAATATTACACACTAATAATACTACTTATCAATAATATTAATAACACAATAACGATAACAATGTCGACGTCGATGATAACGATAGCATTAATGATAACAACACTGGACGCTACGAAATTACTTATGTCCCAAGCGAATTTAGCATCACTTAATTTGAGGGAATGAATTAATTCTTTATTCATCGCTATAATATTTTATAATTAAATTACTTACATACACTATTGAAGGAACTAACAAAGTACATTAATTACCATCCTCTAAGACATTCATAAAAAATCATTTCCGGGTTATTGAAAAATAACATAGAATTTCCGGAAAGATTTCTCAATATTGGAAAGGAATAATTGTTAAGTAATCAGTTAATTAATAATTGAACGATAAAAAAAGTATGACGAATGGTATATAAAAATGAATCTTTAATAAAAATTGCAGAAATAAATTGCATTCCTTTTTTTTTTTCCGATTAGATTCAAATATTTAAATTATTAATTTATAATTTTTATAGCAATTAAGTATTGATTTCTGCATAAATTTAAAATGTTTTAATTAATCAGTTAATGAATGAATTTGAATTATTAATTGAATTTAAATAATTAGATGAATATATCCAATTCTTCTCATCTATTTGTTTTTTTCTCTTTCCTTTTTGCTTCCTTATGCTTTTTCTATACCCATTCAATGCATTCATCCCACAAATTTCCTTTCCTCTTTTTCAATTGTATAAGAGAGAGAGGGGGGAGAGAAAGGGAAAGGGGAAAAGAAAGAGAGAAAAAGGAGGGAAAGAGGGAGGAAAGTAGAAACATTCATCCCGCATAAACTATTTTGTTGTTTCGTTGACCAAACAACAAGCACAAGAGAGAGACAAATATGAGAGATGGTTGTCCCTTCTATTCATTTCCCTTTCACCTTTGCTTGTTTTGATACTTTTATTCTTATTTTTACCTTTAACCTTTAATCATAACTCTTATTCTAAACTTTACTTGTAACCTTTAACCTTTCCTTTACTCTATCTTAACCTTTATGTTCAACATTTTCTTCAGTTATATCATCCTATCAGTAACTTGTAAAATTTTTTAGCATAAATTAGATTTTGAATTTTAATTTATAAAACAAATAAACTTTACTTGTAAAATTTTAAGTATTAAGCAAATTTTAAACTTCTTTTTTTTTTTTTCCAAACAAACATATATGCAAAGAAGTTATTTCTATACGGAGATTTTTTTCGATAAAATAGGAATATTTTGGTAGTATATCGAGAAAATTATTAAAATTTGCCATTTTTGAGCTTTCAAATAAATTCCATATTTATAATTGAACAGAGAACAAATTTGGAGGCTTACCCAAAAGTGATTTAATTTTTTGTGATAAAATAATTATGGATGAGGAATATATAATTAAGTGCAAAATGCTACCATATCATTTCAGGCTGGAAATCATTCGTATTTTTATGCAGAAATTGAATTTATTATTTATTTTTAGTTCTTTCGAAATTTAATTTATGATTTCAACATTTATATATTCTTTAGCAAATATTAACTTTTGCTATTTTATTTGATAAACAAGAAAGACGAAGAAATTGAAATATTATTGCAATGATCAGAACTCATTGCTGAAATCCTATCCCTTTCTCATATTATATGCTCCTCGCTTAACATTTCAGATGCATTCCATTTATTCATTGAAGTTTCAATTTTATTAATTCGTCAAATTTCAATTTCTAATTTAACAAAATGTATTCTCCAGCAAATAACATTTCAGAAAAAAAAAAGAGAAGGAATGAATTCTATTTTATTATTGGTAATTTAAAATTTTAAATGAATAATTACAAATTTTATTTATATTAATCTTCTTAATTACCTAATTCTTTGTAATTTGCAGTATTTCAATCAAAATGACATCTTTTATTTTAAATTACCAGTAGTAAAATACCAATAATATTACTTACCAACAAGCAATAATTTAATTTATTCATTTATTAATTTGAAAAAGAAGATATGGCAAATGGAAAGCGTAATATTGTAATTGCCATCTGCATTTACTGATCTCTCTATTTTACATAAATGGTAATCAATCACTTATTGATCGATTTTTTTTTACTTTGTTTTGCTTTTGCATTTTATAAAGATTTTAGGTTATTCTATGCATACATACATATGTTATATATGTACATAATTTTTTTTGAGATTCTATTGTTAAAATAAGCTTTTAAATAGTATAAACTTTCCTTTTTTTTTTTTTTTTTTTTTTGGACCATATACTTTTTTTCTTTTTCTTTTTTTCTTCACATTTCAGAAAGAAAAAAAAATCAAAGAAATGTTACCGACAAATAATACTGAGATTACTATGATAGGCCGAAATCCTTCATCTCAATCATTCATTTCATTCTTATCATTTGCAACTATCACTGATGACTTACAGATGAGCTTAAGATGATTCCTTCTTAAGCTCAAATCTTAAGAGTAAATAGCTTTTCACAATCTTTCACACTAATTTTTATTTATTTTAACACTTTTTAGTTCCATAACTGAACAACATTTATTAAAAAATATTTATTTATTAAAAAGTTATAATCATTATTCCATTATAATTATAACGATTCTTTACATTTTTACAACTGTGCTATATTAATTACAAAGTATAATCAAATAGTTATAATTTCTTCAACTGAACCAAAATTAAGTCCTGAGAATAAATTTTTTAAATTGGATAAATAAATATCAAAATTGAAAATAAACTTTTTAAATTGGATAAATGAAATGAACTTTTTAAATTCTATTTCATTCTAATTTCAACTTCTACATCTATCATTTGTATGTATTTGTCATTTACTTTCAAAATATCTTTCTGTCGATTAACGGTTTTAATATTAATTTTCATTTAATACAATGGTTTTTATTTTTAATAATATAATTTTGTTCTTCTGCGTGTTATTGTTTTAATTTGTTTTTATTTATTACTAAGTAACAACTGGTCCCAGTACAATTTAAATTTCTGTTTTGCATATTTTCTTATTTCTTCTTCTACATCACTTTACTTTCAATAATAATTTGGCGAATAATTTCATTTGAAAACAATAATTTGGCGAATAATTTCATTTGAAATTATACATTCAATCGATACATTATAAATTCTTACAAATAAATTTTCCTCATTGTATATTACTTTTTTTCTATTTCCTTTTCACTTTGATATTATTTCAATTTTGCTATTAAATTGAAAAAAAAAAAAAAAAACGAATTAAATTTTCTTTATCTTCCGTCTACGTAAATACATATTTTACTTCTGTAAGAAAAAGATTTTTTTTTTTTTTTTTTGTTTAAAAATTCTGCTATATTATGCCAAATTTGCACCTAAAAAAAACTTCTTTTCCAAATGTTTAAAATTCGAGGCTTATAATTCCGAAATTTTGATGTCAAATTTAAAAAAAAAAAAAAAACAGTTTTATAATTTGAAATCAGAATTCAGGTGATAATTTATGGAAATAATTTTCTGCATTGAAATTTATAAAATTTCATTTCGCTTTATGATATTTTGACATTTTATCGATGATCTACTTAAAAATTACCATTTGGTTAGGCAATTCATCAATTGAATGACATTGGAATAATATTTGATTGAATGTAAGAGGAGAAAAACGATGAGATTCTCATTTGTTATTAGAATAAAAGAATAGAAAATGTATTGGTGTAAATTGAATTTTGATGATTCCATTTCCAGCGATTTTGATTTATAGATTTACATGTTTAGTGATGTGACCATAGCAATCAACTAATTAATTAATCATTTACTGGCAATATTACTAATAATTTATCACCCACAAAATCGATTATTCAAATAATCGAAGTAATCATCTGATGGTATCATTGTTTTAATGATTACCAAGATTCAGATCAGTTATGAAATTATCACCACAATGGTTAAATAATTCGAATATTACATAGGGAATAAATTGAACACTGATTAGATTATTTTAAAGTTATCATAGAAGTTTATTATGATAGCTTCAAAAGTTCACATTTTGATGCGATTTACTGATATCAAAAGGTGATTCTGATTATTCCTAATACTATCGTTGAATTTCTTATTATAAAAATTCATCTTAACAACAGAAATACTTTTAATGAAACTGAAATTCTATTTTTCCAATAAATTATTTTTATTCATTCTATTTTTACAACTCCTTTTGCTTTTTGATCAGTAATTATCATGATTGTGATTTATGATTTTTGGTAACCGTTATTATTAACTGATAAATACTGTAAATATTATTGGATCGATTATTGCAGATATTAACTTCGATTGAATTGACACTTTTTGCTAACTTTTAACTGATTTGTCTATTAATGATTGAAATGTTATTATACACAATGCTCATAACGACATATGATGATAAGATGAAATTCAAATCAGATTTCATTTGTTGACGTAATATTTGAAATTTTAGTTCTTTAATCAATTATTTCTTATATTTTGATTTATACGATATTTTTGAGATCTCTACATATTTATTAGAAATGAATTAATGGTATAAAAGGATATGTGTGCTTTACCGACTATTCCACCTGCTCCTTATCGTACACCACTACTACCGCCATCTCGTTCCAGCTATCTCTCCGATTTTAACCATCTTAATAATGGTAATTCGGTAAGTACTATTGTACTCACTTATTGATATATTCTTATTTTTAATCGAAATTCACATATTCACATATTAAATTTATACTAATAATATATCTTAGCCTTATTTGCTTAATTCTTTGTTTATTTTCACATCTTTTTCGATCAAAAAGTTAAATTCTATAAGGTATTAAAAAGAGAATTCAAATTTAAAACTGACCTTATTGATTTGTTACAATAGCACAAATACTTTCTGTTATTTCCTCTCATGTGTTAATGATTCATTTTACTACTTAATATTCACACCAATAAAACGATTGTAAATGCCAGTAGAGTAATACGCGTAATGTACCACTACAGTAGTGCATGTAAATACTGGCGATGGATACAGTACGCCATTACAGTAGTACATATGTTGTTACAGTAATGTGCACACATTATGCCAGTGCAGTATAAGAGTCGAATAAAGATATATTTCAGAATGAAAGAAAAACAATTTGTTTTTAAAAGTATGTTTGCATGCAATAAACAGATGAACTTTTTAAACATAATAAACATACAGAGATATAACAAATATGCAACAAATAAGTTATAAAAACAAAGCAAAACTAGTATCTTTTATAATTGCGTAGATAAGGTTAATTTAATTAATTATAGAAGCAATAATTGGTAAAGCATAGATTATTTTAATGATAAATATCGATAATATTAATAGACATGACGATAAGTGATATTATCTTAGCTGTTTGATACATAGAATGTAGGTAGAACGATAAAGTATTACATTATCGGATCGAGACATCTGAACTACGAGCAAGTGAAGTGATTTAGGATTCGAGGGGAGGGACAGAATGACACATGTAACGATTGTGTGAACTTGTCATGTGTAAATATCGGTGACATTTTTTCCTCTTCATTGACGCTTTATCCCTTCATCTATTTTCATATGCCTACTTAATTTCTGTCATCTTTCTTATGTTTGATCTTCCAACAAATAATTTTTTATTCATCTTTGATTATTTTATTTTCATAATGTGTCGAGAAAAAACTTTTTTTTTAATGTAAAGTTATTCAAATGGATAGATGGACAACTGGATTAGTAAGCTCCTATTATTCACTTTTTCTATTAAATGATCATGTTGAAAAGATTTTTTTTTTTAATTTTTAAGTTTTCACTTGTGATTCTAACAAACAAGTTAATTTCAGGTTGCACCATCACCTTGTAGTCGTCGGATACATTCAATGCAACGCAAACCACCGTTAGAAGCTGATACGAATTTTCATAAACAACAAACTCAAATTCGAATAAATGTCGCCAGGGTATGATTTTCTGCACTTCTATGATAAATCATGCTAGTTAATTTCATTTTTAAATAAGCAAAGTTTAAGTTAAAAAAATTTTTGAAAAAAAGGAAAAAGAAACAGAAAAGGAAACATAAAAATTTCAAAGTTACCCAAATGACTTTAAGGTTTGTTAAATTTTTTTTTTTTTTTTTTTTTAAATTTGAATGCCAATTCTTAAATATAGGTCAAGAATAATTCGTTATGTAGTTTTGTTATGGTCTAGAATAATTCGTTGTGTAGTTTTGTTATAAGTATCATAAAAAATTTGTTCAAAATATAGCATTCGAGTTAAATTTATACCTAAAAAACTTCAATTCACTTAAAATTTCATAAAAACTTCTTTTAAGTGATATTCAAAAGTGCTTTTATTTCTTTTTATTAGGTCAAATTTTCGTTGTTGGTACTAGCGCTAATGTCCATTGTATCAATCCTTTTTGCATTCACGTCACTCTTGAGTTTACTTTCTATTCAATGGAGAACAACTACAGCGGAATCATCCGACTTGGCCACTGACGGTTCATTGATGGTGCGCAATATGATGTATGAAATAGCTAGTTCGCTATCTTTGATCGCTGTGACTACGTCTATTTCAACTTTCCTTCTATCAACTTTGCAACTTTTTTTTGCTCTCAAAATGTTGAAAACAAATCCGACATCTATTAAAAGGTTAGCTTAATTCTGTTTCTTTAAATGTAACAATTAATGTTATTAACTAAAATTTTATGACAATATCCAATTCTATATTGGAATTTCGTGGAAAATCCAGTATTATTCGTGCTGCTAGTTTTCTTTTCCTATTATGTAAGAAAACTTTCAATACTATTTATCCTTATTTAAATAATTTCTTAATCAATTACTTACTTATTCATTAATTATTTAATACTTTGCTTATATTATTTATTCTTTAATGATTTTCTCATTCATTTCTTTTTATCTATTGCATAAATTTTGAGAAAATAAATATTTTCAATGTTGAAATTTTTAATTTATCTTCCTAATTATTCAATTTATGTCTTTGTAATTTTCCAAATTTAAATCTTATTATTTAATGTTTTCAATTTTTCTTCCTCAATGATTTTACCAGGTAATATAGAATAACATTGAGTAATATGCTCAGGACAGATATCGCAAGATTTTCCGCATCATTTATTTCAATTTTTCGGTCATTAATTCAATAACCGAGACTGTAAATTGCCTTAACAAATAGTTGCAATTTGGTAATTTCAGATGCAACATAAGTTATTAATAACATATCATAGTTACTTGAAAGAGTAATCTGAGAATTGTATTAACAGACTTTACAACCTGAAGTAATCCTTTATTGAGAATGAAATATGAGAAACTTGGAAAGATCTAATCTGTCCATATCTGATCTTTTACTAGCGGAAATAATTGCAGTAACACAAAGAAATAAATAAATGCAATAGCAAAATTAGCAATAAAAAGAACTCTTATGATTTATCTAAATCGTACAATCAAAGTAAAACTAAATATGTTTTATCAATTTTAGTTATTACTATTAGACTTTTTCAATTTCACAAATTTGATTAAAACAATTAGCAATTGATGTATTTTTGCTTTTATCATTTCATTATTTCAACTTACAGTTAAACACTTTATCTTAAATTTGTCAATCGAATTTACAACTTTTTTTTGGTCGATTTTTCAGAGTACTATCATTTTTAAGTGGTGGACGTTTTCTACGTTGTATTATTTATACAGCTTGGTTTTTTGCCGTACTTTTCTTCATAGTAGGTAAGTAACTGTTAATAGAACCTTAATTTCATTAATAATATAAATTTAAATATAAACAAAAGAAAGGAATTGTAATGACTAAATATGATGAATAATGCATATTTTAATATTTTTTTTTATCATTTTCAAACAGGTATGTATTATTGATTTTTTTTTTGTTTCATTTTCAGGTAGCATGTTACAATGGATGCTATTACCAGGACGAGTTGGTACCATATCACGAGGTGTTGGCGCAGCATTTGGTATTGCGTCAACTGCGCTTTGTACTGCAGGCCTCATACATTGTATTTATGTGTGGTGCTCCAACGATGATAAGGAAGTCCAAGAAAGCTATGTAAATGGTAATTTGTCAACGCTGGTATGACATATATCTGGGAGTATTTTTAAAACTTTCATTTTTTCCTTTCCAAAGATTGAAATATTCAATTTCAGTTCAAAGATCATACAGACAAATTGAACTTTTCATGTTTCTTTGTTTTAGGAAGGAATTATTGTAGATATTATATCACATTTATATTAATTATTTGTATTTGCCATGCTATTCAGCCATGCTTTCTTGCATTTTCTGTGTATTTTTGTGTATATTTAATATATTGAAATTAATTTAATACTTTTTTAAATTACCATAAGTGTCTGTTTATATATGTATATATATCGAAAGAAGGAAGAAAATAAGACAATTCAAATTTGTATAATTTTCGGGAATTAAACATTCAAAAAAAAAAATGAAGTGGTAACTACTGTTGTTAAATTGTATAGAAGTTCATTTTTTTAATATATTAAATTTTATATTTAACAATTTTAAAATCTGATCCAAATTTCAAATCCAAATTGCAAAAAATTTGAGAATAATGTTGTTAACAGATAATTTACTATTGGTATTTATTTACATCGAATGAATTATTAAACCTTTTGAATTGCAAAAAAAAAAATACATTGGAAAAGAATAAAAGTGCCCAATTGTAGAGCGATAGTTACGATTTATATGTCATTATTAAATGTCACATCCAAAATTTAGCATTCATTTATATTTTTGTTTTCTTTGCATTCCATAAATATTAATTCAATTTAACTAAACTAAATAAATTTGATGTAATTTATATATACAAAATAAGTTTATGTGAAGATTATAAAATAATTCAACGTATAATATTTTAGCTAAAATTTAAAACAATATAAAATTTCATTTCATTATTAGATAAATGATACAAAAAAACTAAAATGCAATAAAAAGAAAAAACTAATTTATGATTTAATAAATTACGTGTGATTAATCAGGATAAATTAATATAATTATGGGAATTTTCTGTCGAATAATTGGGGTCAATAAATGTATCAATACATTTGCATGTGAAAGTTTCTTTTCATTCCCATATTTAATTTTCAAATGTTTTACCACTAATTACAAAGCATTTATTTGTTCAAGTAAAAATATTCCAAGTCATAATTCGAATCTGATTTGTTTATTATGAGCAGTCGAATAAATAATTACAATTCAAATGATGCCGAAACGATACGAATGAATTGGAAAAAAGATATAGTGATTACTTAGTTAGTTATATCAGTAAGTAATTTAAAATTGTTGGAAATTGAAAGATATTGATTTGCTAGAGAAAAAGGTGACATCTCAGTATCTTCAGAATCATCTTAATGATACTAAAATGGCTCAGAGTAAAATATTGAAGAAGATAGTTGTGTTACTGATAACATTTTTTGTTTATAAAACTAGAATAAAATAAAATTTAGTCAATGAATTTACTTTTAATTTACCGATAAAATTTGCATTTATCAATTAATCAAAAAAAAAATTCATTTTTATAAAACAGCCAGATTTATGGTTAATTTTCACTAATATTCTTTCATGACTGACTTCTTTTTTATCATTGATACCATGATAACATTGAAACTTAGGACTTTAAGTTTAGGTTAATTATTAATTAGATCGCAGAAGAGCTTTCTTATGGTCACCTGAGTTTCATCATTTTCAACGATTCTAGCAATTCTAGCAGATGAATGAACTTTGAACGATGATAGTAGCATTTTCAACATTTCCGGAAATAGCTTAATGATATCGAATTGTTGAAAATTGAATGAATGAAATGAAATGGTATGTAAAATCTTAGCATTCTCAAAAATTGTAACGCATGAATGCATCTTAATTGATTTATTGATTAAAATTTCCAATACACTAACAAAATTTTCATCATATATTAGCTTTTGTCTGAAAGCTTAAATAATAATGAATTCCAATAAAATAATTTTAATGATATAAGCAATATTTTATGTAAAATTGCTTGAATGTAATAATAACTGTTACAATTCAGTGATAAAACCCTACCTTCTCAAATTGCCAAGCAGCAAAAAAACAATTTTAATATTATGCAAATAACTTGGAAAAAATCAGTAATGTTACAGGAATTAATCAAATATAAAAATAGAATGCCACCAAATTCTATCAGGCTATGCTCAAGTAACGAATTCTGATCATCTTCCATTTTTTTTCAACAATGTCTTCCAAACAAAATTAGCATGAAAATGTAATGATAAATGAATCAATTGTCTTTTACAAATATAGATGTAATTGATGTAAAACTTAACTCGTAAGGGGCATTATTCGTCTTTCTCTTTTAAATTTAAAATATATTTAAGCAATAAAAAAGTGCAAAATAACAACGAAATTGATACGTTCGATATTTTTTTCAACAGAAACTTCCAGATTATTCAAATTCCAAAATTAGCAAAAAATTGTGGCAATGAACAGACTTAAGCAGCAATTGATAATGTTGTCCACTGTTGTTCGTTCATGTTGCATCCATGATAAAATGTAAAAAATCTCGCATGATTTCATAAAGCAGAAAACTTTGCTGATGAAAGTTTGATATTAAAGACAGAAAGCAAACATTAAGGCCATTCAGCATTCACCGCATATCAGTGAAAAAAAAGAAAGAAAAAAACTATTTAACTCTTCAGTAAAATGGTTGTTGCAGTGATAAATAATAGTAATAAATTTTATTTAAAAGAATAAACCTGAATCACAGGAAAAATGGCTAAGCATAAAAAAGTGACTAAATATTTCTAAATATTCGGATTTAAGCAGCATTTCGTAAAATGTCCTCAAATTTCTTGAACTGTGAGCTCATACTCATGTCAATGAACTTGTCACCGATACTCACCATCATACCACCAAGAATGCTCGGTTTTACCGTCATTTGAATTTGCAAATTCTGTCCAGGCTTTGCAAATTTGTTCAACGCTTCCCTCAGTGCCGCTTCATGTTTCTTGCTGAGCCGCTATAAATGAGATGATCCTACATATTTTTATCTTCCTGAACTTTTGAAATTTAATTTTAGGTCTAAACAGTAACAAGGACAGATGTTGGAACTAAATCATTTCATCAGTATCCAAGCAAGTCAACTTCTTAAACTAATATTTCTTGATTTCGATCACATCGTTTGATATTAACAATAATTCCTCATTTCTCATTAAAAAAAAAATCAAAAATAAAAAAAAAAAAAATAAAATTATTGATAGAGAAGTGCGAATGCTTTGACTGATCTTACCTCAGCAGTAATTACTTCGACAACCAATTCACCGCGATGCGCTCGCATGATCGAATCGAACAATTTCATAATCTCTTCAAGCAGATTTAGTCGTCCATTTTCCGCCAACAGCACTAAAAAACAAATAACTGCATAATCGACTGTTTGATATAAGAAATATACAAAATAAAAGGAAAAAAAGAAAGAAGCATTTCATTAGCAGTGAGAAAAAAGAAAGAAGCATTTCATTAGCGAGGATGATATAAGAAATATACAAAATAAAAGGAAAAAAAGAAAGAAGCATTTCATTAGCAGTGAGGAAGAAGTGAAAAGTAAACACTTTTTTCTTTGGTATTTCTATCAAAGAATTTGGAACTTAAAAGATTAAATTTTTCTTCCTCACTGGTAACTCAGCAATAACCCATAAATTCAACTTTATCAAGATCAATTATGAATTATGGAAATCTCGAATAAATTAGTTATGCAAAAATGATCATTAAAACGAAAACTTCACATTTCTAGTACTTCGACTTTTTTTTGGTATGAATATTTTTCGAAAAAATCCTTGAATTTTAAAACATTAAAAATATTCATTAAAAACATTAAAAAAATTAAAGTATTAGAAATATGAAGTAAACAATACAAGAATTTGCTGTATCAGAGCTGCAATCTATGATAACATATAATAATAATTACAGGTAGAAAATACCTTTAAAAGAATTACTAGTTTCAAAAATGATTCATTTCTTCCAAAACTTGGCGGTTGGTCACCTTACATCCCTTATCAGTTGTTCTGTATTCAATTAGCTCCTCACTTGATCAATTGCACATTTTGCTGATACATACCGCGCGTTATCATTAAATGAATTGCCACATTTTCTCAGTCGAACTTTGCAGATGGACAAAACAATTACCTTACTAATTTGTTGCAAATTGAATTGGAAATTTATAGAAGAATGTTTGAAAAATTTATTTCAGATGATGACCACTACTTCACCAGAAGAGGATTTGAAGGCACTTTTAAAAGCAATGAAAGCCTCATCACTGGAATCACAGCAATCAGAAACATCATTCTGTACCACTAATTATAACCCAAGCCTAGTTGCTGTTGCTGCATTTGGATTGATGAATAATTTCAACATGTATTTCATAAGCTACAAGTCATGGCCGACTATACTTTCAGGTTCATACTTTTATATTTCAATTCTAGCACTCCCATCATCCCTTCAATAACTTAAATTATATTCAGAAAATTTTAGGGCTAATAGCTTGTCTGCAAAGTACCCTTGTTTACGAATGGTTCAATTTGCATGGCATGAAACTGACGCGCAAAGAGGTAATCATTTCTTGGATGATGTAGTTTCAACTTTCACTGGAACTAGGAAATCTACAATTTTCCTTCTCGAAAACTCCTTTTAAAAATATACTAATGTATCGAAGTTTTAAGAAAATGATAAAATCAAAAAAAAATTATTAGTAGAAAAGTTTAAAAATAGTTAATGACTATTTCTTAAGAAATACCATAGTTCACTATTAACACTTAAAAGAAATAGGACTTATGCGTTCAAAAATACTGTAATCATCAATTAATTTAAAAATAATCTTTAAGCAAATTTACTTCGACGAGAAAAATATCCTAGAGACATCAAAACGACTCGACTTCAATTTACCACCTGTCATTGATGATTTAACCCCCGGTAATATCACAGGTAGAATTTTCTGATCGGTTGCAATTAAATTCTATTTACTTATATTTAACAATTTTCTAATCATTTTTCAACCGTCATCATTTTATTGCATTAAATGTGAATCGATGATAGATTGTAATGTCAGTAGTACTATACCTCAGTACAAGTAAAGCTCATACATAAGTAAGAGTTAATCAATGAGACATATGCATATTGTGAAAAATTATTTTAGAAGAGAGGAAATCACTACTAGCCGAATTGTTCCGAAATGAAAAAGATGAAGAAATGCAAAGAGTTAGTAATTAACTCGAACTAACTTCTGTCAACGAAATATCAACGAATGTTTGGGCTTTGCATAATCAGTCGTAAAGTCCTACCAATCTTAAAAATCAGTAACAGTAGATCAGAAAACTTTTTCTTGTTATTAAATAAAAAGTGTTCTTGAGTTAAATATTTCGATTTCTAATTTAAAGCAAACTAATTTTGATTAACCACATATAAGTTTATTTGTCGAAAAATCTCTTTTAACCTCCATTAAATCCATCAAATCTTGGATTTTTTAACTCCTATTTGGAACCTTTTTTTTTCTTGTATTATTTTCATGAGCTCTTTATGGTGCTTACTTCAAAATCTCAAAGGAAACTTTTCAGTGGTACCAAATGCATTATGGAAATGTTTATGAGCATGCGAAAAAGGCCGAACGAGAACGTAAGACGATGCAAGAAATAGCTAAGAAGCAAGATAAAATCAACTAATAATAACACGAACAATAAATGCTTATTTCCTTTAATTTATTGCTAATCAAAATAGTGTGTGATCTCTATCTCTACATAAATCTTCTGTTATTTATTGAAAATTCCATCAGTTTTCAATTATAAAGATGTACACAATCAGCAAATTATCAATGATCAAATAATTTATTCAAGTATTTATCCTTAAAAAATTCTTTAACTGCTGTCTAAATTAATGTTTTTAAAAGACCAAGGAAGACATCATATTTTATGCAAGCATATGCGTAAATCCACATAATCTATGTATAATAGAAAAATGCACCAACCTAAAAAATTGAGCGTTTCCTTGCTTACATTTAGATTTTTAGCAACATCCTTCACAGTGTTCACTTTAGATAACGGTGTTAATGCTGGATCCAATACAAAGTTCTAAAAATAGCTTCGTTCAGCAAAATTTTATACAAACAGTAAACGACAAAATAAACTTAACGTAGTTTTTGAAAAACTCACATACATGTGCATACAATACGAAGAACACAGTCAACGATTTGATGAAATGATGACAAGGAAATGTAAATTTTTATCGGTTAGAACTCAGATAAAAGTCTTCTTACTTCTAACATACCTTAAATTTAACACTAGTTTTATAAACATCTTGTAATGATTTGAGATCCTTATCGATAGTATCAAGGGTTTTGTCTTTCACTGCTGCTGAATATAGTGCCGCTGCGTATCGTCCTTCTACTCCGTGTACCTAAAAGTTATTTCATTTTTATAAAGTAATTAGGCACGAATACATACAAGAAAAAAAAACCATTTCTAGTAAGTATAACCTGCATCACATAAGTCAAACTTCAAATGAAATGAGTATGCAAAGCACTGGACGCAGGAACCTAGCATGAGTTATGTTAAACTTGAAAGAAATTCGGGTTATATTTGATGCATAAAACAAACTAAATCAAAACACCTCTTCCGTCTAGCTCAAAAAAATATCAGAAAACATTATATGACAGTTAAGAGCATCTATCCCAGTTCATTTTTTTTTTTTTTTACAGTTCCAAAAAACGAAATCTTACCTGAACAGGTGATCTAACAATATGTTCTGTTGCTCGGACAACAGCACTTAACGACATACAACTGCGAAGTACATGCAAACTCATTCTCGCTGTAAATAATGTACCAAATGGTTTAATAGGTAAATAAAATTTTGAAAAAACAATTAAAAAAAAAAAACACTTTTCCAGTTTACCCGTCTTGTTTGTTTAACAAACACATTTATTAACCAATTATCATATTTCTAAAAAATATAACAACCAGTTCTAAAAACAATAAAAACTCTAATTCTTCGTAATATCTCACTTATTCACAGCTATTTTTAATCTCTTCCAAGAGCTGACAACATTCAGTAATGTAAAACCTCATAAATTCTCTCAATCCCTCATCAATCCTCCTCCCATAAACCCCCCACTCCTCCTTCCTTTCCCTCTCCCTTCCCCCGCCACTACCACTTCTCTCACCCTCGTATCTCCTTGATTACCCCTCCCTTTTCAGGTGAGGTGTAATGCTTGGTTTTAACGCAGCCTGTTAGATGCTATCATTACGGTTCTTTTTAAAACCAGGCACCACCACTTTTTTTTTGTTTTTTCGCTTAAAATTACTTGGTGGTTCTGGAAGAATTAAGTCACAATCACAACAGTTCAATTAACTTACGTGAAGAACTAGAGAGACGGAGTCTAAGAATTGAATACCGGAATACCAAATAGGCAATCAAAATGGAACTAAAATTTCAGCACTGAAATGAATTATGTCATCTTGTGTAGTTTTTTAGAACTGACAAAAGATAAAATTTCTCTGTGCGATATTCTTTCAACTAGTGATTATTTTTTTTCTTCTAATACTAGCTTTTCAGGATTGCCTATGACGCAAGAAATAGGTGACGTGGAAATTTCTCACGTGAGTACATCAACAAGTGAACAAGCAGCTAACACCATTATGGAAGTAGACGATGATGCTAATGTTATACATAATGAATGCAGTAAGGGGGTGCTGCGTAAATCCAAATCAGGTCGATGGTGGAAATCGGTTCGGAAAGAAAGGTACGTTTCACTTTCTTCTGTAAAATGAGCATAGGTTTTACCTACTTGTAATAGCATCTGAAACATTTTGAGAAAAATCGAGATTTCCTTAACCATATAAATTTGTAAAGTAAATCAAATTTCTCAACACAGACTTTAAATTTAAATATATTAAATTCAGGTCTTCCGCTGTTGTGAAAGTGAAACCGCTGAAATCATCGTGGGAGCGTAAGATGCGTTTAAAGGCAAATCTGGAAAATGTTAAAAAGATGCAGCAGGAAGTGCGTGATAAGTTAGCTGCCAAAAAAGCGGTGAGTAAATATGAAGTCTTTTTTTCTTTCTTTCATTTTTACCTATTAGTGAGTCGCCCATTTCAAAAGGTACATTGAAACAATGACTTCTGCATTTTATGACAAGTTGTGGCAAAATGTTTTTGTTATTATAGGTGTTTTTATATTTAAACTACCCATTCAATTAAAATTCAGTTTAGTTTAAATTTTTGGAGCAAAAATAACGTGCTTAGGTTGAAGTTTTAAGTTAGGCACAATATTTTCTATTTGATGTTTCAATGTATTTTTAAATTAATGTGTTTTTTCAAGTTATTGATTCAGGCTAAAATAGAAGCGCGGAAAGAGCATGAAAGAAGGCAAAAAGAAAATGAGAGGAAAGCGGAAATCGTCCAAGTTATTAAGAATACAGAAAAGCTAAAGAAAACGAAAAAGAAGCAGCTGAGAAGAATCGAGAAACGTGACACGACTTGAATGAATTATATTTAGAAGTTTTTACTCTTACACATCAATTTAAATTTGAAATGTTTCGTAGCTTTAATAGAAGTTAACGAATTGTGATTTTACTGAGCTTTATGTTTCAATTAGAATGTTCAGATAATTTATACACCGAAAAAAAGTTGAGTTGGAAGGGGACTGAATTGATGAATCTTTTTTCTTGGGAATAGAAAAAGGAACTGAGACAATCAATATTAATAGTCAAATAACTTTTTACTAATGAATAATTTTAAATAAATGAAGTTAAAACTCAAAATTTGTGCTGTTCTTTCTAAAGATACGATACTGAATTCCTTTTATTGTTTTCGAACTGTTTGTTAGAAATTTTATCTGTTGTCTAATTGTTGAATTGTTCTCCAAGCTCATTTCCTACATTTTTTATAATAAACTTTTGATACCATTTTTTTTTTTTAATTTGTCTAGATGGATATACGTTTGCATATTGAAATCAAGGTTAATATTTTATTATGAATTGGATTTTGTTGAAGACATTCAGCTATTTCCATGGTTAGTTGATTGAGAAATATGCGCTTTTACGAGAATAATTAGGATGTTTTAGTGATGTACATTGTAATAATGTTTTGTTTTTGAAGTCATAAAACGTACAAAGATGTCCAAAGAGCAGGATGGTTCGATAAAGTCATATGGTCGAGGCGGTAGTCGTACGAAACGAGGTCATGATAGTTTTGCCGACGGTAACGATGATGTTGGCTCATTGAAATGTCAGCGAATAATTACTGAGGAAGAAAAAAAGGATTTCATCAGTTACCAAAAAGGTTAAACGACTTTTTCTTGAAGGAAGTATATTTTATTTCTGATAAGAAAGACCAATTTTCTTTCCTGCGAGATTAATCACCTCTTAATTAGACATTGTGTACAAAGGTAATTTTCCATGCAATTAAATTGCATAAATTGTAAAATATTGGAATACAAAAATAAGATAGACTGTGTATTACGATGTAACATATCAACCATTTATCTCAATCGATTTTGTTTCAAAAAATTATTACCATGAAATATATTCGAGAAAAATACATTTTAATGTTTAGTCAATCATTAAAATATGCCTAGTTCTAGATGTTTTTATTCTGTAGCTTTCTGAAAGTTTTCCAGAAATGGACGAAAGACGTGATCGGTATGAGAGAATCGTGAAGCAGTCACGTGATGTAATTATTGAATGTAAACGAATCATCTTCCAGTTACATCGTACAATCATTGTTAATACATCTACGAACAAAGGTAGAAGTTGGTTTCATTTTTCATTAAAAGAGTTGCAACGCTTTGTTAACATCATTTATTTATGAATTCTTCTTGTCAAAAACTTCAAAAAAAAAAAACAAAAAAAAAACAAAAATGAATGGTAACTCTAAGTGTAATTTGTGTTATTCTGGATTAGAATAAATGGAGCTAACTTGATAGGCTTCATTTCTCAGTTTAAACTGCTGTTACAATCGTTTATTTTATTTTTCATGGCGAGATTACTCTTTCTGTACGAGATGGAAGGTAAATGTCAGCTTAAGAACTAATTCACTAGATGATAAGATAACAAAGGACAGTAAGGTCTGTCGAATGAGCCTTAAATCCACTATCATTGATAATAAAGATAAGCAATAATTAGTGTTGTTTTTATGAGTTCTTATCATTTCTTAGTGGAAAGATTTTATATCCATTTATCACCATTTGGTTATTTCTTTACTATGCTGAAAATTGCTTGTTTTCTCCAACCATAATCTGATCATTTATCTCAACTGATAATTATAGCTGTTTCGATGACTTATTTATTATACCAGAGTTAATTAACTTTTGTTCACTTATTTATTATACCAGAGTTAATTAACTTTTGTTATAGCACTCATTAATTGGTATTGGTAATTTTCGAGAAGAAGAAATTTATTAGTAGTTTATTCAATCTTTCTGGTACATATAACTTCGCATTCATCTTTAGAAGAAGTACTAAATGAGGCAGATAGACGGTTAAAGGAGGTGCGTAACAAAATGCTTCGACAAATAGCAGAAGAGCTTTATAGTTTGGATCATTACTATTACCTAAAGTCTTATGACTGGGCTCTTGAAGGTATTTTTTATTTTCGATAAAAATATCTCCACCACCATCCATTTAATTTTGCTTTTCTTCTTTGACTTTGTTGGTAACGATTGTTGAGAAATGTTGGTGGATAAGTAACGGAGAATTTTAAAAGATTAGTGGCTAAGATAAGCCTAATTTTGCATTTAGTGAATTGTGTTAGATCTTTCAAAATATCAGAACTTTGTTTTTATCTATAACGACTGGTAGATATTGATGTAAAGAAAGTAAAGTCCATTATTTTGAGCAGTAGAAAGGGACACTCATTTGCTGTTATTTAAGTTGTCGGTTCACCAGTGTTTATTTCAGAATATATTGAAGCTTTGGCATTCTACAAATTTTTAATATCTGGTGAAGTGCTTTTATACAGTGAGATAATCGATATATTACAGTTTGCTGACTTAGTTTCTGAAGAAAATAAAAAGTTAGTTTTTATTTTCTCGAGTTTTCAGTTCAATATACAAATTTTTAATGCGTCAGGGTCTGCTGCATCTTCTTGCAAGATTTGTACTAAGCACGAAACTGTATTTTCCATTTTATCAGATATCGAAGAAAAATCACCCATAGTTTTGATCGTTTGTTTCAAACTTGCTAGTCAAAATATCGCCGTAAAACTTGATCACATAATTCATTATTATCATCTTTTTAAGATTTTTTTTTTAAGACGGAAATGGTTTTAAAAAAAAGATTTTTCAGATTTTAAAAGAATATAGCTCTAAAAAAAAAAAAAACTAAAAGGCGATTTTTCAAATCTCTAAAAAATAATTTATTCAGTTGCTAAAGTGTGCTGTTTTGTTAACTGTACATTAATTAAAATTTTCAGGTTTTATATTGAATTGCCTGAGATAACATATTTGATGGGACTTTTCGATGTGGGTGGCGAATTGATGAGACTTGCCATTAGTGAAGTTTGTAATTTAGAATTTTCAAAATTTTATTTTTTTTTCATTTTGCTATTTTTTAAAACGGAGAAACTAGAGTGACACTATAATTCTGATAATAAAACGTTTAAGCTTAATGAAAGACTTAAGGCAATAGAAAACGAGAACCTCTATTCTTAGTCTTTTGTTTGCCAAAATATGAAAACACGGTACATTTTCATAAAGTTAATCTTAAAATGAATCGAAATACCATTCAAATTTTACTTAACACTTATTTTCATGAAGTTAGTCTTAAAATGAGCACGAAATACCAAAAGAGCATATTAGACCAAACTATCATTGTTTAAATTTTACGGTGTTTTAGTAAGACGAAGAATAAAACTAATGTAAAATAAATGGATTCTTAGACTTTTGAATTTGTAGATTTCAGCAGGTAATTCTAATACGGCTGTAAATATTGTTAATTACATGCGGTCATTACATGGCTGTTACGAATTTTTGGGCAATATAGTGCACACTGCTGAGTGGACGAAGAAATCACAGGTTTTCCGGGATTGTTTGATGAAGGTTATTTCATTTTCTTTAATCATAAGTCAGTTGTTAGCATTACATGTTATTATAAAATTTGATTTTGAAGTTTATAACTTTCCGGAATATCTTTCCTTTTAGATCTCTATGATGAATTCAAAATTTTTATCAGTTGTCAACAATTATTTAGATGATTGAGTATCGTTTTTTGAAGTAAAACTGGCATTTATAGTGTATAATATTAGGAAAAATTCGGAAGAAATTTTTTTTCTTATTTTAATAATTTGGTATATGGTATGTTTTCAAATTTGGGCATTTCATACTATGTGCATGACAAAGTTACCTTATTTTCAGGTTGAGAACGCCTTGTATAAATGGAAAATCCGTGAAAATGACATGCTGATAGATGCAAGTTTATTAACGTAATGTTTTCAGTTATCTTAATTTACAAGAGAGTAATTATTTGAATTGTTATTATATATAGTGATGAAAAACAGAAATGTTCGTTCTTCATCTCAAAAAGTCTCCTTTCAAATCGAAAGTTGCTGATATTATTTTAAACGCAAAGTCCTTAATCTGATTTAGATCATTTTGCTTATCGTAAGTGCCGCAATTTAAGATTTACTTCAAATCAGATTAGAACTAATAGCTATTGTTTTAAACTAAGAAAAAAAAAAAATCGCCTTACGATTTTCTGTTGTTTTTAATTTGTTATTTCTTGTGTTGATGAATAATTGTTTTGGAAAAAGTTCTACTGATTTCTTTAATTTTTTGAATGTTTTTGTTTTTTTTTCATCACTATAAAATAATGACATTTTTAATGCATTTTCAATAAAACCAATGTGAATATTAGGAAAATAATGATATTTTGTTGGAATGTTTGATTTTTTCTTCGAGTAATTTGATTTAAATATTGTATTTGTTTCAAACCACTTTTATTATCATTAGTTTTGATTATTCGAGATATCGGAATAAATTGAAAGTAATGAAATGATTCTCACTGATTAGTTGCATGACTCAACAAGATTAACGTTATGTTAAATTATAAATTCACAAAAAACTGTGATAACGTTAGTTACGGAATATTTCACTTCATGCATTGAATATCTCATTACACATTCATCAAATTTTTAAGATGTGCTTGTAATGCTTTTCCAAGGAATTAGAAATTTATTATCTAATTCAATATGTAACAAAATTTTCAAATTAGAATGATTTATATCATTGTGAATTTCTTAGACTTCAAAGCTGTTAAGATCATTATTTTAATTCAATTAAATTATCTTCTGTCTGATCCATTTTCAGCAATTCTTTTCGTAATATCTTTCCAGCACTATTAACTGGCATATTATTGATAAACTGAATACCACCTTTGAGTTGTTTATAACTCGCAAATTTAGCTAAAATATAAAATTATTTATATATTTTAGAATTGTCTAAAATAAATGATTATTATTCATTAATCATATGAAAATTTTATTTGTTAATCACTGATTTATATTTCTAATAATTATAATTTTTAAAAGAAAATTAGTGACTGTAATTTATTTTTTACTAGATGATTTTCATTGGGAACACATTTTCTTTTTTCAATGAAATTTTTATTTTTTTTTTCAATTAAATATTTTCAATTTTTTTAAATCAGTGTTGATAATTTCTGTGAATATTAAAAACAAAAATGTTGTAGTATTATTTTCCAGACACATTATTCTTTTGTAGTATGCCTTTTTTTTCTCTTTTAAATTTATTTAATATGAAATATCACATTTAGATAATATTATATATTTAACTAATATGACAATTAGGTGACATTATTCCCTCTCTCTCTCTCTCTCCCTTTCTCTGGCTCTTTCAATATCAATATTTTGAACTATTATTTAGAGTTATATTTCTAAAAATTTTTAGGTATGAAAAAATAAAATTAACATACAATTTACTAATCGATGAATTTTATTTTCATCTGGTTGACATCCATCATGAAGTTGAATGTAAGCTTTCGGTAATTGTCCACTGTACTCATCAGGAATGCCAACTACAGCGCATAATTCAACATCTTCTAATTCTTGAATTTTTTCCTCAATTTCATATGGTGATACCTTGAAATCATTATGTATTCGTTATAATTTATCAATTAATGGTATAAAACTTTTTTTTTCTTTGTATTTCTTCTAATTAAATAAACTATGTTTTAATCTTTATGTCTCATTTTTAATTTTTTTATCAGTTGAAATTTCATATTTAACAAAATATGAGTATTTCAGTTTTTTTTTATATTAAAATAACTGAAATAACATTTAGTTATCGTCAACCTGCCAACCGCGAACTTTGATCATTTCTTTAACACGACCAGTTACATAAATAAATTGATCGAAATCATAATATCCCAAATCACCTGTTCGATACCAACCATTAATAAAAGCATCGCTAAAATATAATTCGATTCAAAATGATATTTAAGTGAAATTTATTTCTTAAAGGAAATAAACAAAAACATGGAATATTTGAGCATACTTTGTGTCGGCGATTCTTTCGAGATAACCTTGCATCATTGTTGATGTCTTTAACCATATTTCACCGATTTCTTTTTCTTCACATTCTTCATTACTTGATAATTTTACAATCTATTTTTTTTTAATTTCATCAAAATGCAAGACATTTTACGGCATAAATTAAAATCCGGAATTAATGATTGCCGTATCGATCAATTATCGGAAAAAATTGGAAAAGTACAGCTTGAAAAGAAATCTTAAAATTCAAACTATCATAATACTACCTATATATTTTTCTCTCTCTCTCTCTCTCTCTCTTTGTTTTTCGTCCTCTCAAAAGAAATGCTAAATGTATGTATATTCTACAAATTCATTAAAGCTTTGGTAGAGATGGTAATAATTGAAGCTAAAGTTGAAATTTGAAATTAGAAAACTATTTATTGTTACTTTAGGTATAGAAAATATTAATTACTTAATTGGAACATTTTTTAAGTACCATTAATATCACAAAAGTTATATCAAATCATTACTTTACTCAATCTATAAATCCATCAAGTCATTAAACTGAGGCATATAATTAAAATTTCACTTTGCATTCAACATTTGGTAATAAAATTCCGCAACTTCCAATTTTTTTCTCCCCAAATAACGGTTGCATGAAAACGAAAGCACCAGCTTCTGTTGTACCATATACTGAAATATTTAAATCATTTCAAACAGAAAAAGAAATTTCTTTTCGAAACCTAGGTTTTGAAAAGAAATCTTTTTAGAAATTAACCTTTGCGATGAAACAAAATCAAACTAAAAAAAAAGATTTTTATCAAGATATCACAAATGGAACTATAAATATAAAAATACTTTCAGTATTCTGATAAACAAAATGTTTATTCATCTATTGAGCATCTCCAATTCTTTTTAATAGTTTCAGCAATTCCAAAAGGTTATTAATGTTTAATAATTTAAAATTTTCTTAAAATTGGCTCACACTGAATAATATTCGTTTCAGATAAGCGATATTTTACCATTTCGACCAGTGACTCATTAACATGAGCTGATCCTACGAAAATGTGTTTTAGAGAATGTAACTCTTCAGGATTTAAATTGGGTGTGTCCGCAAGGAATTTTAGTACCGGTGGTACTAATAAAGCTGTTGTCACCTGAATTTTATACGTTTCAAATATCATTTATTTCGGAAGTATTCTAATTGGCAAAAATTTCTTAGTAAAAGTTTGTCTAATATAAATAATGGTAATATGAAAATTAAAATTAAATTTAAATTTCTTGACTGCATGTGCAAACCTAAACCAATATTAAAATGAGGAAATGTTTTAATGCATTTGAAATTGCTAATTTGTAACTTTGCAGTTTTTAGCCATTATTTTTTCATTTTTTTTTTTTTTTTTTTTATTAAAAGAAATATAAAAAAAGGAAATAGTGAAATATTACCTGATAATTTCTTAGTATTCCCAAAAATTGTTCAGCGTCAAATTTTCGATTTATAATTATTTGAACACCTAATCCTAAAAGGCTCAAAACAGTAAGCAGACCACCTGCATGAAAGTACGGTAGCACACCGTACACCACGTCAGTACCGCTCAGACTAACCATTTCATATTCTGCGCATTTGATTCCTTGAGCTTTGCTATAATTATATCGTCAATAAAATAAAATAATTTATGAAAGATTTTTGGCTCATTTCACATATACCAAATCAATATGACGTCAGTTTGTAATTCGTCCATAACTAATAATGGCATAGCAATATTGGTGACACTTGCTATGATCTTTTTTCCTTTCAGAGTAAATTTCTTTAGGAATTAATTTCGAGAAATATACAAATAACTCTGTGTGTGTGTGTATATGTGTGCATGTGCATGCATGCATGTGTATGTGTACCTGTCGTGAACAAATTTTTGAAAAGAATGTTTGTAAAATTGTCAGATATAAATCAATGCAAACATACCGGACTAATTCAACATTAGCAATAAGTGTTCGATGACTTAAACGGATTCCTTTTGGCAAACCGGTTGTTCCGGACGAAAAGAAAATTATTGCCTATAAATTGTATTTATTATTAGTTTAGGTAATCCTAATTTTACATTTTTCGATTTTTTTTTTGATAAAATTATTTTAAATAACAAAAAATTTGATTCATTTTTTCCTATTAAGTATATTACATAATTTAAAATAACAAAAAGCAAAAGAATACGAAAACAAAAGAAAAAAAAGAAGGTTGACTTACTGTATTATAATTGTAAATAAGTTTGTTTTGAATGGCATTTATCATTTCATTATTCCAAAATGATTTACCATTATTCAAATAACATTGCAAAGTGTAATATAATAAAGTTTCCTTGGTTGAATCAAGCATTATAATCTTAGCCTATAATTAGTTAGCATTTAAATTTAAATTAAGATTTAAAGTAAACTGACATCAAATATGGAAACCATAACAATCTGATATTTCTATTACAATCAAATCAATAATCACCTGAATGATCACCATTAATCGTATATATCTGGTGATGGTTACACTAATAAATAACTTAATCATATCACTACTATTTATCTATTACAATGATCATAACTTAATCATATCACTACTATTTATCTATTACAATGATCATAACTTAATCATATCACTACTATTTATCTATTACAATGATCATAACTTAATCATATCACTACTATTTATCTATTATAATGATCATAACTTAATCATATCACTACTATTTATCTATTACAATGATCATAACTTAATCATATCACTACTATTTATCTATTACAATGATCATAACTTAATCATATCACTACTATTTATCTATTACAATGATCATAACTTAATCATATCACTACTATTTATCTATTACAATGATCATAACTTAATCATATCACTACTATTTATCTATTACAATGATCATAACTTAATCATATCACTACTATTTATCTATTACAATGATCATAACTTAATCATATCACTACTATTTATCTATTACAATGATCATAACTTAATCATATCACTACTATTTATCTATTATAATGATCATAACTTAATCATATCACTACTATTCATCTATTACAATGATCATAACTTAATCATATCACTACTATTTATCTATTATAATGATCATAACTTAATCATATCACTACTATTTATCTATTATAATGATCATAACTTAATCATATCACTACTATTTATCTATTATAATGATCATAACTTAATCATATCACTACTATTTATCTATTACAATGATCATAACTTAATCATATCACTACTATTTATCTATTATAATGATCATAACTTAATCATATCACTACTATTTATCTATTATAATGATCATAACTTAATCATATCACTACTATTTATCTATTATAATGATCATAACTTAATCATATCACTACTATTTATCTATTATAATGATCATAACTTAATCATATCACTACTATTTATCTATTACAATGATCATAACTTAATCATATCACTACTATTTATCTATTATAATGATCATAACTTAATCATATCACTACTATTTATCTATTATAATGATCATAACTTAATCATATCACTACTATTTATCTATTATAATGATCATAACTTAATCATATCACTACTATTTATCTATTATAATGATCATAACTTAATCATATCACTACTATTTATCTATTACAATGATCATAACTTAATCATATCACTACTATTTATCTATTATAATGATCATAACTTAATCATATCACTACTATTTATCTATTATAATGATCATAACTTAATCATATCACTACTATTTATCTATTATAATGATCATAACTTAATCATATCACTACTATTTATCTATTATAATGATCATAACTTAATCATATCACTACTATTTATCTATTACAATGATCATAACTTAATCATATCACTACTATTTATCTATTACAATGATCATAACTTAATCATATCACTACTATTTATCTATTATAATGATCATAACTTAATCATATCACTACTATTTATCTATTACAATGATCATAACTTAATCATATCACTACTATTTATCTATTATAATGATCATAACTTAATCATATCACTACTATTTATCTATTATAATGATCATAACTTAATCATATCACTACTATTTATCTATTATAATGATCATAACTTAATCATATCACTACTATTTATCTATTACAATGATCATAACTTAATCATATCACTACTATTTATCTATTACAATGATCATAACTTAATCATATCACTACTATTTATCTATTACAATGATCATAACTTAATCATATCACTACTATTTATCTATTACAATGATCATAACTTAATCATATCACTACTATTTATCTATTACAATGATCATAACTTAATCATATCACTACTATTTATCTATTACAATGATCATAACTTAATCATATCACTACTATTTATCTATTACAATGATCATAACTTAATCATATCACTACTATTTATCTATTACAATGATCATAACTTAATCATATCACTACTATTTATCTATTATAATGATCATAACTTAATCATATCACTACTATTTATCTATTACAATGATCATAACTTAATCATATCACTACTATTTATCTATTACAATGATCATAACTTAATCATATCACTACTATTTATCTATTATAATGATCATAACTTAATCATATCACTACTATTTATCTATTACAATGATCATAACTTAATCATATCACTACTATTTATCTATTACAATGATCATAACTTAATCATATCACTACTATTTATCTATTATAATGATCATAACTTAATCATATCACTACTATTTATCTATTACAATGATCATAACTTAATCATATCACTACTATTTATCTATTACAATGATCATAACTTAATCATATCACTACTATTTATCTATTATAATGATCATAACTTAATCATATCACTACTATTTATCTATTATATATAACTATTTATCTATTACAATGATCATAACTTAATCATATCACTACTATTTATCTATTACAATGATCATAACTTAATCATATCACTACTATTTATCTATTACAATGATCATAACTTAATCATATCACTACTATTTATCTATTACAATGATCATAACTTAATCATATCACTACTATTTATCTATTATAATGATCATAACTTAATCATATCACTACTATTTATCTATTACAATGATCATAACTTAATCATATCACTACTATTTATCTATTACAATGATCATAACTTAATCATATCACTACTATTTATCTATTACAATGATCATAACTTAATCATATCACTACTATTTATCTATTACAATGATCATAACTTAATCATATCACTACTATTTATCTATTACAATGATCATAACTTAATCATATCACTACTATTTATCTATTACAATGATCATAACTTAATCATATCACTACTATTTATCTATTACAATGATCATAACTTAATCATATCACTACTATTTATCTATTATAATGATCATAACTTAATCATATCACTACTATTTATCTATTACAATGATCATAACTTAATCATATCACTACTATTTATCTATTACAATGATCATAACTTAATCATATCACTACTATTTATCTATTATAATGATCATAACTTAATCATATCACTACTATTTATCTATTACAATGATCATAACTTAATCATATCACTACTATTTATCTATTACAATGATCATAACTTAATCATATCACTACTATTTATCTATTACAATGATCATAACTTAATCATATCACTACTATTTATCTATTATAATGATCATAACTTAATCATATCACTACTATTTATCTATTACAATGATCATAACTTAATCATATCACTACTATTTATCTATTACAATGATCATAACTTAATCATATCACTACTATTTATCTATTACAATGATCATAACTTAATCATATCACTACTATTTATCTATTATAATGATCATAACTTAATCATATCACTACTATTTATCTATTACAATGATCATAACTTAATCATATCACTACTATTTATCTATTACAATGATCATAACTTAATCATATCACTACTATTTATCTATTACAATGATCATAACTTAATCATATCACTACTATTTATCTATTACAATGATCATAACTTAATCATATCACTACTATTTATCTATTACAATGATCATAACTTAATCATATCACTACTATTTATCTATTACAATGATCATAACTTAATCATATCACTACTATTTATCTATTATAATGATCATAACTTAATCATATCACTACTATTTATCTATTATAATGATCATAACTTAATCATATCACTACTATTTATCTATTATAATGATCATAACTTAATCATATCACTACTATTTATCTATTACAATGATCATAACTTAATCATATCACTACTATTTATCTATTACAATGATCATAACTTAATCATATCACTACTATTTATCTATTACAATGATCATAACTTAATCATATCACTACTATTTATCTATTACAATGATCATAACTTAATCATATCACTACTATTTATCTATTACAATGATCATAACTTAATCATATCACTACTATTTATCTATTACAATGATCATAACTTAATCATATCACTACTATTTATCTATTACAATGATCATAACTTAATCATATCACTATTATTTATCTACTATAATGATCATAACTTAATCATATCACTATCATTTATGGAACTTAATCGGTTCAGTAATTAAAATTTTGAAAAAGAATAAAAATGGAAGTTAACTAGTTATTTTGATTTACTCACTTTTATATTTTCCTCATTTAAATGTTGAATTTTTTCAAATAGTTTTTCTTCTGTTAATATCCATTTAACCGAAGTTTTCTTGAAATATTTTCCAATTTCATCTAAAATTAAATTTTGGTTAATGTATAAAATATTTATCAAATTAATTACAATAGCAAGTAGCTACTGCTAAGCTTTTTTATGTAACTGAAATCTTCGTCACTATTCTCATTAAATTTAAACTGTTAATTTTAAATGATAACATCATTTCAATATAAATATATATTTCTTTGCACATTTTATTATCATTTCTCATTTACAATTATGCAAATGATAAGTTTTTTATTGATAAATATAAAAAAAATAATTAATAATAATGAAAGCAATGTTTCATTGCTGGCTATCTTTTGTGATAAATTCATCAAAATAATAATCATTTATCCTTTTTCTTTTTCCTTTTTTTATTTTGAATTATAGAAATGATTGGTTAATTTAATTTACTAACAAATTTTATATGATGGATTCAATGGTACCAAAATAGCTCCAATGCTAATAGCAGCTAAAATAAAAATGATATAATGAGAAGAATTGTTGACATATGTACCAATTGTGTCACCAGATTGAATACCTAGTCTAATTAATGCATTACGCATTTGCTCAGATTGATTAATTAATTCCAAATATGTAAACGTTTCCATGGTTTCTGGATCAATCTGAAATATTTTTTGCCAAAAATTTCCCTTTTATCTCATCTGAATAGTTTCAAAATTAAAAAATCTAAAATTTACAAAAAAAATGAGTTTCATTTTTTATTTTCCCTAATCTGTTGGTTTTAATAAATTTTTTCGTTATTTATTTTGATTTTTTTTTTCACCGAAATTTTATGATTTTTTTTCCTCTGTTGAAAAGAAATGCATTAAAATAACAATAATTTAATCATATACTAGCTGAATTTTAATTTAAATTTAACTTATTAAAATGAATAAATTGATAAATTGTTAAGATTTTTTGGAACAATGAAGCAATTTTTACTTACCAAAGCAATAGCATTTCCAAATTGTTTGATAATTTCAAGAAAATAATCATAGAAAGAATTCTCAATCATTGGTATCTTTTCGATAAAATAATTTCGTACTGTCATTTTTTTTTTTAATTTAGCAAATCTGAGTGATAACTGTATTATAGAATATCCCATATCATACTTTAAGTATTTTAATCTATTTTAGTTTTCTTATTTAACAAATAAAAATTTTTTATTTTATTTTAATACGCTTATCATGCTTTCTCTATTCATTTTTAGTATTTTATCCAAAACTTATCATCCGATCAATGATAACGACTATACCCAAAAAAAATTACACGATTTGTTCATAATATTTTAATTTTTATATTTTTTTAAAATAAAGCTCTATTATTTTACCAATAAGATATCATTTACAGTTGAAACAGATAAATGGTAAATGATTTCGAATTAATAATGATAGCAAATCATGATAAAGAAGAATTAACAATTGATGAAATATTTAAGATCATTTAGATTTTAGTGCAATTATGAACTGATAAAAATTTTTATCTCTAATAAAATCATATTTAATCCTTCAGATGTATAAATATTAAAATTTATGAACAGACAATTAGCTCTATAAAATTTGGCATAAATAAAAATCGAATTCTTCAAAGTTAATTATTTTTTTTTTTTTTAAATTGTCGAATAAATTAGAAAGTGATTAGAAATAATTAGAGCAATTGATGGTTACATCAAACTAAATCATAAAATTTAAGGAAATTCTAGAAAGCAATGACTGTATAAGAATGAAAATGAAATTATTAAATAATCCTATCAATCGTTTATCTTCCATCAATCTTTTCTTGCAGAAATTTAATTAGTTCAAATTTTGCTATTCTTTATAGTCTATTACAGTTTATCATCATTATAATGTCACCTAATAATAACAACTATTAGGTATATATTTTTTTTTGAATATCATTGCAATAAGAAATTTCGAACATAATTATATTACTGTTATTGCAGTTAATTTTTAAGTAAAAATAATCAAATTCACATTTCTTTGTTGAAATATTCTCTTTTTCTTTTCAAGATTTTGAAAGAAATATATAAAAAAAAAAATGTTTTTCTATATTTTTATAAAATTTTGTCACATGATGATCAAAGAATAAACAAAATATATATATAAGTAAAACTTTATGTCATTGAAAAAAATTGTCATTCCCTAAAAAAAAATATCAGAATTTGGATTATAATTAAATTCGTAATTTTTGTTAACAATTTAACCGGAAAATAGATTAAAGCAAAAATAAATTTTGGCATTTCAAACTTCCTTGAAACAGCTGACTTTTAGTTTGTTTTTTTTTTTTTTTTTTTATTTTACGACAGTATACTTTACTTTTAAATATAATAAATGGCCATTTTTAAACACTTTCAGGAGCTTTTATTTTTTTTATTTTTTATTTTTTTTTTTGCTTCAGAAGTTTTTTCTCCTTTTTTTGAAAATTATCTAAAGAAGTCTGAACTGTGCACTATGTGAAAGTGTAATTAGTAATTTGTTCAATTCATTCATTGCTTAGCTAATTTATGATATGCATACTTATTCTTCGCTCAATTTTAATAAAAAAAAAAAAAAAAATGAAAGTCCCACTAAAGGTGAGAAGGAAGAAATAGAGTCATATTTGAGGAGGCGAAAAAGATTGCTAGGATTTGCAAAATATATTGTGTTAGAGATTGAGAAAATTAAAAATATTTCTTTTTTAATTGCTCATTTTTATGTGATTGAAAATATAACTAAGAAACTAAATAACAACGATTGCGTTGTGTAATACTTTAAATTGTTGGAAATGTGATGAATGACGGAAGTTTCATTTTTTAGCAATTAATAAGTACATAGAATGGATTACTCACGCAGAGATTCCTTTTTTCTTGTGTTTTTTTTTTTTTTGAAATACATAAAATCTAGCGAGATTACTTCGATTTTTCATCTTAATGATATCATTTTTGGTTTGAAATGTCAATGATATCATTTCGGTCTAAAATCTCAAAAAAGTTATCATTTCCGTTCCAAATCTTAGTGATATCATTTCAGTCTTAAGACCAAAATTTTTAAATTTAAATATTGATATCATTGATATCATTTTGTTTCTATCATTTCGATACTAAAATTTAGAGGCATCATTTCAGCTTCATAAAACTTATGCTATCAATTCTTTTTACACTTTTCTTTTCATGTATTATGATAATTATGAATTTCATTTGCTAAAAAAATTGACAAGAAAAGATTATACATACATTGATAAGTTGTATATTATTGATATTCTTTTTTGCAATGTTGTTTATTTGATAGTAAAAATTATTTGATAAAAAATGTTGACAATCAATTTATTTCATTTTTTATTTTAATTTGAACAAATAAATAATCAGCGATTTTTTTTACAAACATTAATGCGCAAAAAGTTTTTCGTCCTTTTTCAAACTTTGTTACAGAGCTATTCTTTAATTTTTGTCAAAAAAGAAGTTGATTTCTGTTAAATAAAAAAAAAAAAAAAAAAAAAAAAAAAAACGAAAAAGGAAATTTAAAACTAAAAAGGAAGTTAAAAGTAAAAAAGTACAATATTGCTTTATCAAATTTTAATATAAATTTCGCATTTTTTTCTTGTCAACAAAAAAAAAAAAAAAAACTGAACTTAAAAATGAATCATTTCCATCTTTAAAATACTGGCGTTCCTGGTTCATCTCTTATCTTTCCCTTCTCGTTTTCTTTACTCTCTTCTCTTTCTTTGCCATCAAAAATTTTTGAAAATCAAAAATCAAAGAAAAAAAAATTCATTAAATTCAAATCAATCAACCATCTGCCATTACAGAAATGAAATGGGGACGTTTCTTACTTCAGTTTATACTTCATACAGTTTCAGCTCAGTCATTTTATTTTTAACTTTTTCATTTTCAATTTCAAATTCATTTTTAAATTTTTTTTGTTCCTTTCAAATTCTGAGAAGTTGAAAAATATAAAGGAATTGGATAGATTTATACAATTAAAAACAAGTTGAGAAAGAGATGAAAAACTCTTCTCCCCCGCCCCTTTCGGTCCTTCTGGTATATTCGCGGATAATTTGTCCATATCTCATATTCCTCGATATAATATATACGAGGAACTTTTTATTAGCTGTTCTGATGATATAGACGCACTTTACTATTCGAGAGTGCAACTTAAATTCTTTTCTTTGCATACAGACTGGTGGACAGACAGACAGACAGACAACCTTGTGCACACACACACACACACACACACACACACACACACACACACACACACACACACACACACACACACACACACACACACACACACACACACACACACACACACACACACACACACACACACACACACACACACACACACACACACACACACACACACACACACACACACACACACACACACACACACACACACACACACACACACACACAGCCATTTGTTATTTACTTTATTTGTAATGAATTTTAACTCCAATTCTGGCATCTTTAATTCGTTATATCGATTTTCAAATTATTCTAAACCAATCTTTGACCTTTCTTTCGGTATTTGTTTTTTCCTTTTTTCTTTTTGTTTGCTTATTTTAAATGTTAAAAATATTATTTGAAATTTTGAATGAAATTTAGTCTTTTTTATTAGATTAAATTGGATTAAACTTTTAGTTAAAATTAATTGAACTATTTCATCATAAAATTTTTTGCACTAAAAGTACTTGAAATTTTCATTTTTAAAGTTGATTTGTTCTTTTATTAACATTTTAAACAAGGGTTATTCAAAGAGAAGAGAGGGAGAGAGAGAGAGAGAGAAAATAACCGGTTATTTATTTGTTGTTCCAAGCATCACATTATTTGACCTCTTTTACTTATTTATTTACCTATCTTGTTTCTCACATTATCATATTTCTGCCTTGCAAAATCTTCATTTTTATCTTTTTTTTTTTTTTTTAATTTGTTTAAAACAAAATTTAAATCTGACTGGATGATTGGAACTGTCAAGCAAATCAAACTAACAATGCGGTATAGTTACTCAAACTTTAATAATTTTTCTACATCTTTTAACATATATTTAATTATTTCAGTTATCGATTTTAATTAGTTTCTAATTAATTAAAGTCGTACGCCGTGAATTTTTTATCACTTTCACATGTTATAATTAAATATTAGAAATCATCTTGTTTTCCCCCTTTGATTTTATTATTTCTCAATAATTATTTCTTATCAAAAACAATCAATAGAAATTCATATCATTCATTATCAATATATTCACTCTTATTTATGTGTGCTCATTTCGATTTACTAAACATTTATATCACAAATTTTTTTATCACTTTCACATGTTGTTATAAATAATATTGAACGAACAGTTTATGATAATGTAAGCAAACAGTTAACTATAATATTTTTATCAGTTAATTCTTTTCCTTTTATTTCTTTGAATTTAAAACAAGAAAAAGACAATCATTAATTTCCTCTTTACAAATATTAATGTTTTATATCAATAGTTGTTAATTAATATAAAAGTGATAAGAGAAAGTGGAAATGGGAGAAGGAATCATTTCTATTTTTTTTTAAAAAGAAAAAAAGCATAAGATTGCTTATCTTAGATTTATTCTATTAGCTGAATGATCAATGAATGGCAAAAAAGCTATTTTATCATTCTCTTCCGAACTATTTTGATGATTATTGATTGTTTCGAGAAAAGTACAATTGTGATTGAAATTGAGGAATGGAATAAAGAAGTGCTATAAACTCTTCCACATAATTTCATCTTTTCTATTCTATTTTTTCTTTTTCTTTTTTTTTTTTTGTAACTTCAATCTAACCATCCATTAGTAAACTTAATAATAGCAATAGCAAATTTCGATGAAGAAAATTTTTTTTTTTAAAAAAAAAATGAAAGGAATAGAAATTAGAAGAAATGGTAGTATGAGGAATTTATATTGAAATAATATTAAATAAGTAAAAGTAATATTAATTAAATCAATTCCATTAATCATTTATTATCAAATTTTATCGTCCCTGAAAAAACGAATGTAATGAATGATGAATCATAT